GCTAGTAAGCCTAACAGTACGCTTACTTACTCAGCTACCAGTTATGTGTCACTTATTTATTAGATATTTACTTTTGTTACTTATTTACTGTTTTAAGTTTCACTCGTTTCCGGTTAGTTTGTTTTCTTGGTGCACGTTAGGATTTTAATGTTAACAATTGATAGTGGAATGTATTACAAATGTAAACTTTGTATTAATGGCGTTAAATATATGAATGCATGCGGGGTATGTGGAGGTGCGGGCTATCTGAAATTTGTTTTACACAAAACGCTCTTTTTACGGGGTAAATGCGTCTGTGAGTTATATGCGTATGCGGGCTCTTTGCAGGAAAATACGGTACTGGCTTTTCCAGACAAATATCACCTGCCAGAAATTGTTCAAGCCAGAACAATCTGAACCAGCTTTGACCTTTGGGATCTTGTTTTTAGATATGAGGAGGCGGATAAGGTGGCATCATCACAGCGATGAGCCCACACCTGACGCCATCATTCTTGTGCAGAGCATTGTCTACTGTACATACAACAATGACAGTCTAAATGCATTGTCTACTGTACATACAACCATGACAGTCTAAGTGCATTGTCTACTGTACATACAACCATGACAGTCTAAGTGCATTGTCTACTGTACATACAACCATGACAGTCTAAGTGCATTGTCTCGTCTGTACACACAACCATGACAGTCTAAGTGCATTGTCTACTGTACACACAACCATGACAGTCTAAGTGCATTGTCTACTGTACACACAACCATGACAGTCTAAGTGCACTGTCTACTGTACACACAACCATGACAGTCTAAGTGCACTGTCTACTGTACACACAACCATGACAGTCTAAGTGCACTGTCTACTGTACACACAACCATGACAGTCTAAGTGCATTGTCTACTGTACACACAACCATGACAGTCTAAGTGCATTGTCTACTGTACATACAACAATGACAGTCTAAGTGCACTGTCTACTGTACATACAACAATGACAGTCTAAGTGCACTGTCTACTGTACACACAACCATGACAGTCTAAGTGCATTGTCTACTGTACATACAACCATGACAGTCTAAGTGCATTGTCTACTGTACATACAACCATGACAGTCTAAGTGCATTGTCTACTGTACACACAACCATGACAGTCTAAGTGCACTGTCTACTGTACACACAACCATGACAGTCTAAGTGCATTGTCTACTGTACACACAACCATGACAGTCTAAGTGCACTGTCTACTGTACATACAACAATGACAGTCTAAGTGCATTGTCTACTGTACATACAACCATGACAGTCTAAAAGCATTGTTTACTGTACGTACGGCCGATGGTGATAGCGGAATCTGGAAAGCTGCGTCGCCTGCACAGCTGTTCCAAAAATGGAACCAAGACATGTCACCCCCTTCATCAATGTCACGTCTGTGTCTCTCCAAATTGAAGAGAGGCAACCCTAGCTGTACTGTAAGCCACGGTATGTTTGGCATCGCAACTCCAGCACGGGTGCAACTGCATGTTACGGGCTCAACACACTAGCTGTACACTTAAGATCTAATTTGGCAATCCGCCGCTAGATGATGGCCCCTTGCATGCCATGTCAGGTCATGTGGGTTTATGTAAACGTAGAGCACCATGCCGGGTGAACTCTGGTCTCAAGTCTTGCGAGGTCTGGTCACCAATGAGCAGAAGGGCCTGAGGAGAGATAAAGCGTGTAAAATCTTCCGGGCAGTGATTGACATAGGCTCTGGAACCTTGCAGGCAAAAGTACTGAGGATTTGTGCGCCGCGTCCCAACAAGATCGCAACGTTGGGTGCTCGGCAGTAGTTGCTAGGGATTACGTCATCACTGCACAATCCAATCACCTGCCAGGAAGATAACCCCCATGCAACATGGCTGCAGTGAAGTCCCTGTGCAATTTGGCCGCTGTGACGTGAACCTGGTTGTGGCAAGTTGCATACAATATTTCTGTTAAGTGTGTATGAGTTTGCGTGTATTTATTTGTGCGCATGTGTGAGAATGCATGTCTGTAATTGTGACTTTAGGTGGGATTGTCTTTATGTGTGTGTGCGAGTCTTTGTTATATAGCGGTTAGCGCGCTGCGCTACAAGCCCAGCTACCCGAGTTTGGTTCCTGCTCACGGCCAACGCCAGTGACGATTATTTGAACCGGTCCTGGGCCTCCCCTAGGTCGAATCAGCCTCAAATAAGTACTTGGTGTGGTGTATAAGCATCGCCACTAGGGAGACAAAGGCGGCCGAGCGTGGTTCTGGCTATCCATCCCCTCGTGTACCGTTGCGGCCTTCATGGGTGCTCGCAAACAGAAATTGACCAAAAAGTATGTTAAGGCTATACGGAGGATCTTTGTCTTTGTACGGGCGCAGATGTGTATGGACGTACTCATGGACTTTATAGTGGTCTCAACCCCCTGGAAATGTACGCAATTTTTATCGTGTGAATCCCATATAGAATCAGGGTGAAGGACAAGCCTCAGCCTTCACAATTTCTAGAACCGTGCAAGTGGTTCGGTACTCAGGGGGCAGAGATTCTCACTCGATATATGCTCGGCTGGCTGGGGAGTCAGGATAACCGGCGTAAGGCACTACCACTCGAGCTCAAGTTTAGCCTACTGTTTTGACTGAAATTCTGCAGTTCCAATGACTGCACACACAAAAAAAAATCACGTTTCATTAATTTCGGCACAAAAGGCCACACGATCTGGGAAGAATGATGGAGTGACAACCAAAGCAGGGAGCGCACACACGAGCGGCGGTGGCATCACCGCCAAGACCAGCGAATTTATTCTGGGGGGAGGTTTGGAGTGGCTGCTACCCACGTGGATGGTAACTCCAGCACTGTGGAGGTACAAATGTTGTGAAACTCCCTTCCCCGCGGGCGTCGTGGAGGAGCCATCATAATGCCCTGTCTCGCTAGAAGGCAGTCGAGCAAATTGTGGACTCCACCTGTTCCTTCAGTGTGGGATAGTGTTTCTCCCTCCCTCGCTCGCTCGCACACGAAGGTAGTCGTCTCCCTGTGCTCCGGTTTCCTCCCACGTGTTAAACACTCATTAATTGGCCGCTTGGCTGCTGCTGCTGCTTCTTTCCTGCTCGTCTGTGGTTCACTCCTGGCGCCCGAGTCGTTCTCCTCGCCCGACGAGTGAGCGAACAGCCGTGGAGCGCGTTACAAACTGGCATTGCAATAAATTATTGTAAAATAAACTTTTGCTGGCTGGCTGGCTTCATGGCGCGCGGCCATTGTGCGTCGTGGTGACGTCACCGATGGCGTCATAATCACCACCCGCTACCCACCCTCCAACGCAGAGCTATGAATATAGAGAACCGTTAAGGGGCCGTCCATAAATGACTTCACGCGATTTTGGACGGTTTTTGACCCCCCCCCCCCCCTAGTCACACGGCGTCACAAAAAGTCAGACCCCCCCTCAAATATGACGTCACAAAACTCTGCCCCCCCCCCAAAAAAATAAAACATGCTTCAAATCGCTTTAAGCTATTGTCATTGTAGTGCGTATTTAATGTGGCGCTGCACTCTGATGTTGTAGGAGAAAACATTTATTAAAAAATCTATTTAATTTAGAACGTGTTGTCTATATTTATTTAAAGTTGCGAATTTTGATGTGATGTCACATTTCTCAAACCCCCCCCCCCCCTTCGTCACACATGTCTACCTCCTCCTAGGTGCGTGACATCATTTATGGACGTCCCTAATACATTTATTTCCAAAGGTCCGGAGTGTGCGCTGACGTGACACTATCATAGACAGGAGGACTGTATTCGAACAAAACGTTTGGCTATCGAGAGCAGGGGTGGGCAAACTGTTTCACTCGCGGGCCACAATGGGTTCTAAAATTTGACAGAGGGGCCGGGCTAGGAACAGATGGATGGAGTGTTTGTGTGAACTAATATAAATGACATGTAAAAATCATTACATGAAAGGATTTGGCCCTTAACACGTAGCAAAGCATTTATTTGCAAGGAAATGTAACTGTGGGGTCTAGAACGGACTCGTGAAATTCGGAGAGAACTCGAAGTTTTGTTTGTTTTGTTGAATTACACAAAGTGCGCCATCTAATGGGGGAAATGGGGGCACATTACAGGAGGAAGGTAAAATTAAATTTAATAATATTTGGACAAGTTCGGCGGGCCGGATTAAAAATCCCAACGGGACGTGCTTTGCCCCTGTCTGGTCTAGAGGGACGGATGGTCACGTTCAGCGGCTGGATTGGTGCGCATTGAGGGATGGCAAATGGCTTGCGGCGGCCTTCATCCAGCAGTGGATTGATGGTGGCTGCCGATGATGGATCGAGAGGATGGGAGTGGCACGTGTTCGCTATTTTAGCCCAGCAGCGATCTCGGGTTCCATGCCATGGCCCCGATGCTCAGAGCCGCCGTGATGCGCATCAATGAGCGGCCTGGAGAGCTGCCACATCCACCACGACCCCACAGCCACCGCTCTCCCGCTACAACAACGAAGCGGCGGTGACGTCACCACGAGGCTCGTGCCAGGCTAGGTGCACCTCGACGCCATTACGTGAATGATCGAAGGTTCGCTGCTGCTGATGGAAGGTGCACGGAACGGAGTGAGGTGCCACGTGTTGACCGAGACGACCGGCAGATGCACCACCACCTGTGCTCCCCACGAAGCCACCACCACCATCATCAGCCATGGTCACTCCACTGCTGGATGAAGGGCTCCTTCGTCGTGGTGACGTCACCGCGTTAATACGGCCAGGCCACGCAAAGCGTGACAACAACGTTAAAAAAAACCGTTAAAAACGGGCACGCGTGCGCGATGACGTCACCACAACATTTTATTTCACGTATTTACGTGGTGACGTCATCACGCCCGCGCGCTTCACCCGCAACGGCTTAACGCGATTACGTCACCACGCCCTCTCAGAACGTGCCCGCGCTGTGCGTGATGACGTCACGCGCAGAGGCTTCGGGCCTTCCCTCCCCCTCGCCGCCGTGATTGGCTGGAGCGTCGGCACGTGACGCGGCGTTGTCGTTGGCGTTTGTTTTTGAACAAATGGCGGTGAGGGCGACGCGCAGGGAGGTGAGAGGCGAGAAGGAGGCGGCGGCGCGGGGCTAGCAGCTCGCGGCAGTAGCGGGCAGCCAGGGCGCACGGCTTGCCCCGCAATTGGCTGTCCTGAGGGGAGATTTAAAATGATAACGGCAAGGGACAGATCATTTGTATGGACTGTGTGCAAGCGGCAACAGGTCTGGCTCAGCGCGTGAGCGGTTGAGTCTGAGTCTGGCTCGCTGCTGGCTCACTGCCTGAGTCTGTATCACTGCTTGAGTCTGGCTCACTGCCCGAGTCTATCACTGCCTGAGTCTGTATCACTGCTTGAGTCTGGCTCGCTGCTGGCTCACCGCCTGAGTCTGAATCACTGCCTGAGTCTGGATCACTGCTTGAGTCTGGATCACTGCTTGAGTCTGGCTCACTGCCTGAGTTTGAGTCTGGCTCACTGCTGGCTCACCGCCTGAGTCTGGATCACTGCCTAAGTCTGGCTCACTGCCTGAGTCTGTATCACTGCTTGAGTCTGGCTCGCTGCTGGCTCACCGCCTGAGTCTGAATCACTGCCTGAGTCTGGCTCACTGCTGGCTCACCGCCTGAGTGGCTCACTGCTTGATCTGTCTCACTGCTGGCTCTGCTTGGGTCTGGATCACTGTTTGGGTCTGGGTCACTGCTTGAGCCTGGCTCACCGCCTGAGTCTGGCTCACTCCCTGAGTCTGGCTCACTGCTGGCTCACTGCTTGGGTCTGGATCACCGCCTGAGTCAGCACTCTGTAAACGGGACCAGGTCTAAAACAGTTGCTGAGCCCAGGCCCAAAATCCCAAGCGGCCAGCAACAAATAGCGCTATCAGAGTTGTAATAAATAAAGATTGGAACACGTTTATGGACTTGAGCTAGGTTATAGGTTTGGGAAAATTTATGATGGGAGGGAAATTCCAAAGTGGAGCAGGATAGAAGCATGAGGAGGATGGAGTGCTGTGACCTGCAGTGTGATTAGTGGGTGTTTGAGTAACCGATTGAGTCAGTATAAGTGAGTGGATGAGCGAGCGAGTGAGTGGGTGAGTGTGGATTAAGGGCTTGAGCAGAGCTATACGAGTGAGTGGATGAAAGGGGTGAGTGTGTGGTGGGTAAGCGCTTGAATTAACTTTTGGGTGGGTGGTTGAATGAGTTCTGTTGTGACCCACAGTGTGGCGAATGAGTGGGTGAGTGTGTCATGATTATACGAAACAGTCTGCTTGACTCTTAGTCCTCGTGCCAGACCAGATATCGGTACCACACAAGGTGGAAAACTTCAATGGTGCCATTTTATTTGTTACACCAACAGAAGTAAATAATACCTGATAACCTTTCCAAGTGATAATTTTTTTTTACCCTTTTATCTGGCAACAAAACTGACACCGTTTTACAAGGAGTCATGCTTGCATTGACCACAATACCTGCGGTCGGAATGCAAACAAAAAAGGTGACAGTTTTGTTGCCAGATAAAAGGGTAAAAAAACAATTATATTTTGCTACTGGCAAAGGAGGTTTCAGTGGTGCAAATGCTTTCCAAGTGACTTAGTTAAGTCTGTTTCAAGCAGCTTGTTTGCTCATGATCATTTACTGGCAGGTGAGGCAAGTACTGGTGGTTCTGTATTATTTCTGTTCAGTAAAGATATCTGAAGTGCTAACTTTACCCTCAATGTATTGTTAATGTACCTGTTAAGATTATTAGGTAAGGCCAGGTACTACTTGCAAAAAGAATGATTTTTGTTCATACTCTTTGGTTCTTTCGGTAAAGTCACGTAGTTGAAAAATACAAATTAAATACAAATGATAAATAATACATAAAATAAAAATGTTCACCTACGTGACTTTACCGAAAGAACCAAAGAGTATGGATTCTTGCAGTCACAAAAACTTCAAATCTAGGATTTTTGTTCAGCTTGTCAATTTTTTTTTAATATTTTGCTTCTATAAATTGTAAACTTTCATAACATGCACACAATTAGTACCAATAACACTGTTATTGGTAATAATTGATTATTAAAATCATTAAAACTAACTATTTATAATTTATACATAGTTTCTACGATTTTATACAAACTTCGCCAAGTAAACAAAGCCTTAAATTCACGTTTTTTTTGCATCTTTCATCGCAATTTCTCTGCATTTTTAGAAATAACCTAGTTGAATTGCATATCATTGAAAAGCTTATTCTGTGGAGCAGATGTCTGGCTTAGTCATATATGGCTATTTACTTTGCTGTCATGGCAATAAGAGGGGGAACACAAGTATAACTCTCAAATATCATTGCTACTAGCATCACAATGCCAGAATTGGCATTGCAATTTTCTCAAAATGACATTTTGCATGCCGAGTTTGACAACTCATGTTTCATAATAGGTCACGCCACATAATTCTGCATACTGGTTCCTTCTTGGAATGGCTAGAAATGTTCAGAGGAATTTTTTGATATCTTTTGTAATTTTCATTTTATGTGGTATTATACATATTAAAAAAATAGGCGAAAATCTAGTTTTTTAACATGTGTCAAGTTTATTTTAACATAATTAACTGAAAGAACAATATTTTGACAAAAGCTTCTGTAGATTACCAACCAATTAGTTATTGATCACATTAAAACAAACCAAACAGTTCTGACTTAATCTCCTAAGTCAATATTGGGGTTTACATAATATGCACATTTGTGCATATTTAATGCGATAACGCATATGCATAAATGAATGGGGGGAAAGTCACAATTAAAAAATATGTAATATTTTTTGTGTATTTTCATCTGGTAATTTTTCATTCTGATAAAAGGACAGGAATTTTTTTTGCCCATTCACCTGTATTACCTCCCCTTAATTTAGTTAAGATTAGTAAAGATGAATTTTACCCTTTATCAATGTTAGTTTTGCTTTTGGGTTGTCACTCTCTGCTGCTGTAAATGTGTAACCAAAGTACTGACAGAATAATTAATTCATAATATAGGTTTTTTGGGTCAGATCGCGTTATTTATAAATGTGTCGTAACCCTCCACCACCCGACACGACCAAACAGTAAAAAATTTCACGTTTTTCAAAGGACAAAATAATTCACTTCTTTAGCCCACCGGTGTGTTGAAGTGAGAATCAACAGCATTTTAAAATTTGAGTACGACGTTTCGCTGATAATTACAATCAGCTTCATCGGGCAAGAATGGTGAAGCTCTCTTGTTGCTTCCGGTCTTAAATAGAGCAGCAGCAGGGTGACGTCATCATTTAATTCAATCTGGCGCAGTGATTCGAAGCAAAGGGGGGGAGGGTATTGTAATTATATAGATTGGTAATCATTCAATTGCTATTCATTGGTATTTGTTTCCCTTATAAGGAATTGTATTTATTTAATAATTCGCTTCCAGGCCGCACTAAGCTTGTAGCTGTCAGGGCGACTGAGGTTATTTCTGTTTCTCTCAATTTCAATGGATTCTCTAATTAGTCTTGGCCAGTAATAATTCGTTTTACACAACACTTCAACGTTATCAAAATCAATTGAGTGTCCTTGTTGACAAGCATGCTCTGCCACTGCCGACAGTTGTGTTTGAGATAATTTAATGTGTCTTTGGTGTTCTTTTAGTCTTACGCTGATGTTGCGTCCCATCTGTCCAATATAGCATCTGCCACATAAACAATTAATCCGATATACACCTTCTGTTGATAATTTAGGCAATTCGTCTTTAGTGCCAGATACCAGTTTTTGAATGATGATGACGTCACCCAGCTGCTGCTCTATTTAAGACCGGAAGCAACAGGAGAGCTTCACCATTCTTACATGATGAAGCTGATTGTAATTATCAGCGAAGCGTCGTATTTACATTTAAAAATGCTGTTGATTCCCTCTTCAACACACCGGTGGGCTAAAGAAGTGAATTATTTTGTCTTTTGAAAAACGTGACACATTTTTTACTGTTTGGCCATGTCAGGTGGTGGCGGGTTATGACACATTTATAAATAACCAGGTATTCAGGCAAACAAGGTTAGCTGAGGACCCACCATCTGTGAAATTCCACGACAAGATGACCAAGCAAAGTCTGAAGACATTCTCCAATATCAGCACATAAACAGAACATGGAAATAAAGCACAGGATGTGGTTCTGAAGGCAGATAGAAACTTGTTCAGCCACATAATCCTGGTGGCTGAAAGCAGGAAGGATGTCCTTGCCCACCCACTGGGCCCACTGCCATGGGCACTGGCACATGCTGATGGGTCCCTACGAAAAACAAACAAGTCTGCACTTGCCAGGCAGCTTGAAAAGAATGTGTCTCCTGCAGAAGACATCCCAACATCTACTTCCATCATTGATGGAATGAGCCTGGTCCAAAAAATTAATGGCAACAACAAAACCTTTGCACAGGTGGCAGAGTTAGCCTTGACCCAGGTCCTCCACGAGGGGGCACAGAGTGAGAGGATTGATGTTGTTTTTGATGTCTACCGACAGACTTCGATCAAAGATTCTGAACGACTGAACCGGGGTGCAGACACCACTCTCCAGTACAAGAACCTTGCAGGGGGACACCATGTCCAGCAGTGGAGAAAATTCCTGTGCAGTCTCTCCAATAAGATCAGTCTCATCAAGTTTCTGGAAGTGGAAACTCCCACGATACAGAGAGATGCTGCATGGCAAGGTGTTGTACATGACCTGTGAGGAAATCTGCTATAGGTTGACAGAAGATGAGTGTGAGGAAGTAGCAGACCTGCACTCCACTCATGAAGAAGCTGACACCCGTCTGCTCCAGCATGCATTGCATGCAGCAAATGTGGGCTTAAAGGCAGTTATCATCACAGCTGAGGACACTGATGTCATGGTGCTTTGTCTTGGCTTCCAGAAGGACATCACCTGTCCCATTTACTAGAAGTGTGGGACACAGAACCGCACACGGTTTGTCGATGTCAGCAAACTGCAAGGTCACTTGGAGCCAGCATCTGTGACAGCCTAATTGGCTTACACGCCTTCACAGGCTGTGACACTGTCAGTGCATTTTCCGGTCGAGGGAAGCTGAATGTTTTGAAGATGGTGAGAAAGAACACTTCCTGCCAAGAGACTTTTAGTCGACTGAGGCAGTTATGGAATGTGAGTGATGAGCTGTTCCAGAAAATTGAGCAGTTCACCTGTCGCATTTATGTTTCTAATAGCAGCACTGGTGAGGTGAACGAACTGCGCTACCAGCTCTTCTGCACCAAAAGGAGAGAAGTCGAGTCCAGCCAGCTGCCACCATGTAGAGGCTGTCTCTTCATGCATGGTCAACGAGCCAACTATCAGGCAGCAATCTGAGAAGTGCTGTCTGCAAGCTAACCCTGTGGTGCCAAGCCATACTGCATATGGATGGACAGACGATGATGGCAAGCTGGCCATTTACTGGATGCGCTCCCCACCCATACCAGATGTGGTCTTGGAACTGCTAGCATGCAAGTGTGTACGTTCATGTAAAATGCCAAGCTGCATGTGCCTGTCAAATGGACTGACATGCACAGACATGTGCAGATTACAGACCTGCAGTAACCAAAAACTGCAGGATGATCCAGAACCTGACTTTGAACTCGGGGAGTCAGATGACGAGATAGCCAAGCAGTTTGAGTGACACAGGGTGGTGATTTTGATGGTATTACTGTAGTAGTAGTATACATTGATGCACAGTGTGGTAATTTTAGACTTGGTTACCCTTGTTAACACCATTTAAGTACACACAGAGCTTGATAACAATAATGTAACCTTCTTCACATATACCCATCACTATCGATATATATGGGATTACATGTATCATTGACAAAGTATATGCAAATGTTAATGTTTATAATATTCAAGTAGTTCCTTACCTATGGTATTCCTTATTATTCTGTGTTTTCATTTTGTATTTAAACCAATAAAGACCAGTTTGTGACCTAACTAGCTTTGGTCTAGGTAATTTTTTAGTAATAATGCCCATTTCATCGTTCCGGACGCCTGTCATAGGGTATGGGTATAAAAGTCATGGTAACTACAACTAAGCTGCCACTCCGCAAAGGTTATCATTTCAGAATGTCCCACACACATGGAGGATTACAAAAATCATTACTACACTTTGCCACCTCAGGTGGTACCAATAAGTGATTTTTTTGGTCTGGACCCATGGACTATCTATTTTGCGGATGAATCGACGAGTGAAGTTCACGGGAACAGTGGGGCATGGTAACAATTGCACAGTTGGCTACGTACGGTGCGAAAGAAGTTCAACACATAACGGCTGACACGGGTAGCAATCGGAATCAGAATATTTATTTCTACTGCAGGAGAAATCCGACGAGCTATAAAGCTCTTTTTCACAGATGTCCAGTATAGGGGCGGGTAAGAACGTTACAACAACACACAAGACACAAATCATGATCGTAGTGCAAAGTACAAGGAAGGTAAACATCTTCTTGGTTCTTTCGGTAAAGTCACGTAGAAGGGAAGTAATAAAATAATAAAAATAAAACATAATAAAACAATTCTCACGACGTTTCGGCCACAACGCAAGCAGCCGTCCTCAGGTGAAGAATGAGACAATGCCAAGCTAGGAGCTTATATATAAGCTGCGTTGGAGGTGAAAGAAAGAGCGCCTTAACAAAAGAATGTGCATATGAAGAGGAATTTAGCATATACATGGAAAATGCGTAGGAGGTGGGCGGGGGGGTTTCAAAGTCATATTATGCCCATGCATTATGCAGGATCAACAGCACCAAGGGGGGGTGCAGGGATTAGCAGTTATACAGGGTATAGGTTGGTTTACAGCAATACAGTATACAGTATATAATTTAATGTTGGCAGTATATAGTACGGTATATGCTCGTGTGATACAATAGAATAAAGTTTAGATGGAAGCATATTATATAATTTTTACGACGTAGAATTGTAATGTATTACTTGCTGTTAGTAACTCAGCTTAGTGTAGAGTATAGTAAGTATACTGATGGTGCTATGCAATTTATACTTTAGTTTTTCATGTAGTTTATACTTTAGTTTTCTACGTGGTTGTTGAGTAACTGCAGCTACATATCATTAACATTCCTTTCCTTTGTTACTGCTAATCCCTGCACCCCCCCCCCCCTTGGTGCTGTTGATCCTGCATAATGCATGGGCATAATATGACTTTGAAACCCCCCCGCCCACCTCCTACGCATTTTCCATGTATATGCTAAATTCCTCTTCATATGCACATTCTTTTGTTAAGGCGCTCTTTCTTCCACCTCCAATGCAGCTTATATATAAGCTCCTAGCTTGGCATTGTCTCATTCTTCACCTGAGGACGGCTGCTTGCGTTGTGGCCGAAACGTCGTGAGAATTGTATAATTATGTTTTATTTTTATTATTTTATTACTTCCCTTCTACGTGACTTTACCGAAAGAACCAAGAAGATGAATCCCTGCAGTCACGAAAGCTTTAAATCGAAGGTAAACATATCGCCCAAACACATACAAATAAAACTAAACCATCCCCATCCTACCAGGCAAAGCCCACCGAGGTATAAACTTATTTTTCTGAAGCGACCTGCCCATCATAAATTAAAGCCCAACGAAGTTGCCCATCATTTGGACATTTATTGCACCAAAATAATCTAAATAATATCAATGCAAGTTTCTCGAGAAGGGAGGGTTTACAGAGGTTGCATAGAACAAAAGTTGGGAAATGTAATTAACATGGCTAATTAATAACCAGAACTGTGTACAATGGAAATCTAGCTGGAAATCGGTGAGCGACTGACAAGTGAAGTAGTTGATTTGAGATGTGTGGGAACCTTGCTCCGGTGTCCTGATTTCAAGTTTATTCTAAGCACGTCGGAGTTCTGGAGACAAGCATAGCCTCGATTGCAAGAGTGATCAAGAGCGAGCAGTTGCCTGCGATTTCTGTTCAGGTTTGTTTTTTTGCGGACTGCGTTAGGTGAGACAGATCGGGCCTGTTTGAGTAGAACCTCGTACGGTTACATGGTGGAACTTGGGACGAGGTCTGTTTCAAGTTTACCGTATTTTGTTTAACCAGGTGGGAACTCAAGAGACCAGGATAGTCTCATCTGCAAGAGTGAGTGACCTGGGTCACCACAATTTACAACAATGCAGCAAATATAAAGAATCAGAGAAACAAATTTTTTTTACAGGAATACCTTTCACTATCGTCTGGTTAGGGACCAGAGCATGGACGAATGTCACAAATGGACGAATTCAAAATGGACGAATGTCAAAGCAGAGCCTTTATTTAGCTTGCAAATTAATTTTGGCGTGAAAAACGTGCATGCAAATAACTACAGTAACTATATAACTCATGCGTGCGAAACCTAAATAAACAGCAATAAAAGAAAAGTAAACCTAAAAATACATAGACAAAACTAAATAAATGAATAAAATGATACCTTGAAATAATTGTTTTATTGCGTAAGTGGACGATGAATATATTGGTGATTTAGGGGGAATCTAGATTCATAAAATGAATACTGTACACGTGTTTTATAATCACGAAAATAACTATGAACACTAGTATACTGTTATCACAAAAATAACTTAATTAATTGTTTACAGTATAATCACAGAAATAAGTACGTTATTAATAATATATGAATAAACACAAATATAAGAGATGCTCACTGAACGACTTATATTCAAAGACTGAACGAAAAAGATGGCGCGTGGCGCGAACGTCGTGGAAGGTTAGGGATAAAATCGGATGAAAGAGGAAAGCACGTGGACGAAATTTGAAATGTGGTTATAGTTGAAAACGGCCAAAAGAGCGAAGCGATGAAAATCAAGTGGGCGAAAGTCAAGGTATCACTGTAAAAGATATCAAAAACAATGCACCAACACGGTCCAATTGACTCTGTGGCCTTCTAACTTGATTCTGAGCCAACGTATGCTTCCGTTGTTTTGCGATTTTTTTTCCGTCTTTAGTTGGCGTTGGAAAAGGTGCTCGGGATTACGTTATCATCAAGCAGTGGACTCTGCTGTGATCCCAAGACCGGCTTAGTTGCCTATCCTGCAGGGTGAGTGAAAAGCGTGATGTGTGATGTACGCCTGCAGCTTACAGCGGAACTGGACTTTGGGTGCTCTGCCTCCTTTGTGGTATCGCACGACATACCTGTGAAGTCATACCTGTCAACCCGTGTACGGTTTACCCGTATTTGTGTACAGGGAAAGTGAGTTTTCAGGTCCATACAGTGTACAGCCGTTTCAATATGGACAGACAAAATGTTTTTCGTCTATTTTGTGTTTCTCCCTCGTGATGGGACTTTGTAGCATGAACGTTGAGATATTAAGGGCATGGGGTGACCAATAAAGTCTGAATTGGTCTGTAATAAGGTAGGGCACTGATAAGGGGTTGGCATGTATGGCACGTGCACAGCTCTTTGGCAATCCACTGCTGGATGGGGTGCCTCCGCGGGTCGTACTGCTCGTGAAGGTTGTTTGACCGCCCCTCTGCACACGGTGGTCAGTGGCGGGTTGGTAAATGTGGGGGAGCAGAGAAGTACAGTACAACACTGCGTTTTTCTGCACTGCCCTCGGCTATGGTTTTATACTGTACAGAAATTAATGTTTTTAAAATATAAATTGCATTGGTTACTGCACTTGTTATCCTATCAGAGACCAAAAATGATTGCATTTCAGTTCAAATGCTTGTCTCTTGGCTGGGTATGCAGATATTTCTGTATTGTAAACATTGGAGAGTGTTGCTGAAATATGGGTTGTTGAAAAGGCTTGTTTTCATGCTGCATCCATTTGCGGTTTCTTTTCAGATGTACTGTGGTCATCTTCAACCCAAAGAAAGGGAAGCAGACCCATATCTTCAATGCATCCAGGTAGAAGCTTCATAATTGCTTTGTTATAACTTGTATTCAGACCTAGATGTAATTCGAATTACAATACCAGAGGCATTGTAAGCTGACCTGTAAAGGAGCTGCATGAGGCAGTGACGTGGCCCAGCAGTAGCGCATTCTCTCATTGTTGCAGAGGTTCGTGGTTCGACTCCAAAAGGCTACCCTGGTCATTACTGCAGGTGTATGCAATGTGAAATACTAAGCGACGTCCGCTTCATTCACAGTGGACGCTAAGGGTCCCGTGTCGTCATTCGCAGAAGAGTAGGCCACTGTGCTTGCATCATGGTCCAAATTTTAGACCCGCAAAAATACAAATTGCTTAATTGGGAAATACATTGCAATTATTTAATCACACCATACTGCAAAGACACTTTGCAGGATCCCCCTGAAAAAGGGATTGAGGCTTTCTTGGGTACATGCTGCTGAATTTATTCGTTATTGACATCATTTCTTTGGACTGTGCAGGAAGCCCATTACGACGTTGGCGTTCTCGCCGGATGGGAAGTATCTCGTGACAGGCGAGGTGAGAGTCATTTGCTTCGTGCAAACTCACGCTGCGCTTGCCGCGCTTGGGACGTTCACGCGATCGTGCAAACTTTTACAAAACATTACGTCCGCAAAGTTCATCTCAATTATGCTATCGGCATCGCGTTACGGGGCAAGGATTTTTTTTCTTCGGATTGCTCGCTGAGCGGCGCAGCTTTCTCTGTGCGTTCGAGAACGACGCGGTAGGAGGCAGAACTTTTACCCGCCCTGAAACCAAGAGTAAGGTTAGTTACATCAGAGGCAAAACTAATTTTTTTTTTATTTTCAGAGATGGAGTTTATCCAAATTAAGTGCAGAACTAAAATTGATGTTTTTTCTTTAGTGCAGTTGAAGTACCGGTGAAGACACTTGACGCCGAGGTGGAGGCACACGGATATTTATTCAACACAACTCGTATGTGACATACAGTACTGGAGGGGGTATCGGCCCCCTCACCCGACTAGCTCAAGGATACACTTCCTGGCTAAGTCCTAGCCTACCTCACAGTCCTCCACTACTGGGCTAGGGGAGGCTACTTGGCCCGACACTGGTAAGTCGGGCCGGTACCCGGAGTCCCAGACCAGCTCTTAGAAGAGCACCGGCTCTGGCTTTCGGGACCACGCCGCTGGCTCGATCCTGTTCGGCCCTGACAAGGACATCGAACGAGGGAGTCCAGGGCTCTATCTAAGACGTCTTCCGTCTTCTTAGTTAACTATAACATCACTAACTCCCGAGCCCATATAACGTCCCCTTTTATACCCAACCCTCCCTGAGGGGTGGGGCCCCGGGGGATCATAACGCCAAACCAGCCCCCCCCAGGGTGTCTGGCTCGGACGTCGCAGAGGGCACCTCCCTGTGCACACACGTAGCCCCGCCCACTGTGTTTCTTTCCCATAGACTGCCATACATAACGGCCCTCTCTCTAACATCCCTACATCACTCCCCCCTACATAGCTCGCAGCCGTCCCGGCTGCCAACATACAGAATGACAATAAAAATGAATTTTTACCGTAACCGCGCGTGTGCCTCACTAATTACCAACAATAACAAGAACGGTAACAAGAACACAAAAAAAAATGCAACAGCAAGAAGGAAAAAAAAACAACCCGACGCACCCCCCCTTGAATAAATACGAATTCCGTAAGAACAAGCTATATACAATTTGCAGCGAAGCCACCATACATACAACAGCAGGTGAGCACAACGTATGTAAATTCAATGGGCAGGGAACACACCCCCCCACACAACACACAATGAACACAACATATATACACATCTTGCGGTTTCACAACAGTCTGCGCATTTTTGCGCGTGTCCTTGCGGCGGGCCCCTCACACGGGGAAACCCCGGGTGGCGGACCGTCAGGTGGTAATCGTCCGTCCCGGAGTGAGATCTCCTCTGATGCCGCGTGACTGTTGGTATCCCCAGAAGGGGTGGTCGGGCGTGAGCCCGTCAGTCTCGATGCACCTGGAGGTGGCACGGCCGGCAAGGCATTAGGTGAGCGCGGTGGAGACGGACCTAGTGAGTCGGTCGACCCCCCACACGTCTGGCCACGCATGCGTGAAGTGGGTTTGTGTACCGCGACGAAGGGTTTCAACCGAGAGGGGTGCACGAACCATCGCCGCTTGCCCCATCGAATGCGCACGCACTGTGGTCGCAAGACCTCGACCACTTCCACAGGGCCCCGCCACGGCCGCGCCAGCTTAGGGGAGGTAGCCAGGGGCACTTGGGGACAGTGCAACCATGCCCTGTCCCCCGGTTTCCACTGTATTACATGCGCCCGACCCAGCCTGAGGCGCTCGTTCGCCTTTTGACGGCGGTCCGAGTTCAACCTCGCAGCATCCCGCGCCTCAGTTAATTTAGCCAGATTAAATTTGACGTGGTCAGCCAATTTAGTTTTTCCTTGTGGGTCGGGGATCTGCAGCTGGGCGCGAACAGGCGGGTCGGGTTCGCGACCGTACATAAGGTAAAAGGGGGAAAATCCCGTAGCTGCATGGGGTGCCATCCGGTATGCCGCCAAGACCCCCTGAATATGCAGGTCCCAATCAGTCTGTGAATCTGAGACCTGCTGTGCCATCATTGACGAAATGGTGCGATGCAGGCGCTCGACCATTCCGTCAGTCTGTGGGTGATACGGGGAGGTCCGAATTTTCTTTGTGCCTAAGAGGTCACAGACTTGTTTAAGTAATTTGCTGGAAAAATTTTTACCCTGGTCGGTCAGCAGCCGTTCCGGAGCACCTTTGTCCAGGACGTATCCCTGAACAAAGGCGTCCACGATGGCTGCTGCCGACTGGTTGGCAAGGGGCCAGGCCATGGGCCAGCGCGTAAAATACTCGACTCCTGTCAGCAAATACCTATTGCCCCTGGGGGTGGCGGGAAATGGGCCCAAGATGTCCAGCGCGACAAGCTCATTTATTCTGGACACCTTGATTGATTGCAAAGGCGGGTTAGACTCCCGTGCCGGCGGTTTCCGTTGCGCACACCGCGGGCATGAACTCAAAAGATCCCCAACATCCTTTGTCATACCAGGCCAAAAAAAATCTAGTTGTATCAGTGCAAGGGTCTTTAGAGTCCCCAGATGTAACAGGCGCTCATGCGCGGCCCACACCACTTTGCCTCGCAACTCAGAAGGGACGACCAGCCGATGTCGCTGTGATTTGCCGTCCCAATGCATGAGCAGACCCTGTACCATTTCCCATGCACCCGAATCACCTTTCACCCGCCCAGCACCCCCGACGCGACGACGCCACCCGAGGAGGGAGGTATCCTCCATTTGGAGGCGCCCCCACTCAGTGACGGGCAACCCCAACAGGGAATCCCTTCCCTGTTGTTCGATCGAATTATCAGGCAGTTGTTCGTCGTCGTCGGTGGCTGCCAGGATCGGAACCGATGCGTCCCCTGAAGGTCTGCAACGTCCCGACCCCAGGAGGCATGCACATTCCGAGGTGGTTGGCATGCGTGACAGAGCGTCCGCGTTGGTATGGCGAACGCCCTTACGGTAAGTGGTCTCAAAATCAAAATCCTGGAGAACCTCCAACCATCGAGACAACTGTCCCGATGGTTGTTGAACTCGCAGGGCATACTGTAGTGCCGCATGATCTGTGCGGACGGTGAAATGCCGACCGTACAGATATGGGCGATACTGTTGGATGAAAAAAACAATTGCCAACAGTTCTCTACGGGTGACACAATATCTCTGCTCCGCAGGAGACAACACCCGACTACCGTACGCGACCACCCGTTCAACGCCATCAACCACCTGGGAAAGCACACCCCCAATACCCGTGTTGCTCGCATCGGTGTCGAGCAAAAAGGGCTTCGAAAAATCAGGGTAAATCAAGGGAGGGGCTTTCACCAGGGCGTCCCGAAGGGAGCGGAACGCAGCCTCCTCCTCTTGACCCCAGTGGAACCGAACCCCTTTAGATGTTAAAGCGTGCAGGGGTTTAGCAATTGTTGCAAAATCAGCAACAAACCGTCGATAATACGACGCGAACCCAATGAAACTCCTGACCTCTCCCACCGAGGTGGGAGTCGGCCAGGAGCTGACACACTGCGTTTTGGTGGGATCGGTAGCAATACCTGAGCGTCCCACGATGTGCCCCAAATAACGCACCGAATCACGCAACAAATGGCATTTTTGGGGCTTGAATTTCAAATTAGCAGCCCGCATCTTTAGGAAAACCGCCCGCAACCTCTGGAGATGTTCATCAAAAGTATTACCAAAGACGATAACGTCATCCAAATAAATGAGGCACGACTCCCATTGCAGTCCAGCCAAAACCAATTCCATTAAACGCTGGAAAGTTGCCGGCGCTGAGTGTAAGCCCATCGGCAACCGGTTGAATTGAAACAAGCCGTGCGGTGTACGAAAAGCAGTTTTAGGCTTTGACTCATCATCCAGAGGAAGCTGCCAGAATCCCGAAAGTAAATCGAGTGTGGAAAAGAATCGCGCTCCCGCCAAGGCGTCAAGCGATTCATCCATCCGAGGGAGCGGGTATGCGTCGGCAACCGAAATTTTATTAAGACGCCGGAAGTCAACGCAAAACCGCAACGAACCGTCCTGCTTTTTAACCAGGACGATCGGCGCTCCCCAAGGGCTGGTGGAAGGAGAAATAATGTCTGCGGCCAACATGTCATCAACAGCCGATTTGACATGGTCCTTTTCGGCGGGACTCAACCGAAACGGATTTTGGCGAATTGGCGCGCTGTCACCCGTGTCAATATGGTGACGCAGCAAGTGAGTGCAACCCAAATCATATTTATTTCGACTAAAAACGTCGGAAAATTCTCGCAGTAGTGTTTTAAGTTGTTGACGCTCTGAATCGGACAGGTCCGTCGATCCCGCACAAAGCGCCTCGAGCCACCCTTCATCGCTGTCCGAATGCGGTTGCGACGCAGGGACAGTGTTGACGCTATTTACGGCAGGTTCCTCACACGGCACCGGCGTTGCGTGAGCAAGCACGGTCCCCTGTGGGACCACCACCGTCCGCGAGCCCACATTTAGGACCGCGATGAAGGGTTCACCATTCCCTCTCACTATGGTCTGGGCCGGAAGTAAGTCAGGTCCACTAACCCCGGCCCTAGACGGTCCCAACAGTACCCCTTGTGCCCCAGCACCCGTAACGAGGGGCCGCCGAAGTTTCAAGGGTACCAACATTTGCGTCCCCGGAGGGACGCGTACCGTTCTCTCCACGAACGCCGGCACCGTCGCGAACGCCGTCCGCGTCGCAACCGGTGATGGCAGAAACGCCATGCGTCTGCCCGACGGAAGCTCTATGCAACCCTGGTCGATCAAAATTACAATCGGCATTTTGGCCAGGAAGTCTGTCCCCAGCAGGCACGGAACCGCCAGCGAGGAAGAAACAAAAATCGGCCCAGATAATTTTATTTCCCCGATACAAATTTGGGCACGAATTTGTCCGATGATGCCAAGTGAGCCCCCGTTAGCCGCATAGAATGGTATGTTAACTGGCATCAAGGGACGACTCCGGACAGGGAGAATATTATAAATTAATTCCGAAATAATAGTCGCCGATGCTCCCGTATCGACCAGGATGCGCACTTCAACCCCGTCGATATACCCCACAACGGCCGACGACCCCGACGATGCGGCAACCACACGATCGGCCAGCACGGACCACTGGCCGGGTTCGATATGGGCACCCGGAGTGGTGCGTGATGGTGCGATGGTGCGTGATACCGGCCCCCCTCTCGTCGCGGTGTTTGAGTGCGTGACGGGTGTGTGTGTGGGCCAAACGTGTGGGGTGCCGCGACTCGCCGGTTTTTGATGGTGGAGCTTGGGATGAGGCCCGTCGTCCCGGTGAGGTGTCGTCCCGCGCTGACGAGGAGAGCGGCACCCCGAGGCGACGTGGCCCCGGACGCCGCAGTTAAAACACCGTGGGAGCGGCGTCGGAGGTGACGAATGGTCGGAACGGCCCGACCCGTCCTGGCCCGGCCGTGCACTCGTCGCCTGTTGCCGTCGGTGGTCGACGGCGTAGAGTTCCTCCGTCGGAAGGGTGGCTGCAGCCACCGCACGCCCCGCCGATGCCCTGCTGGCTTTCCGCCGGAGCGACAGGAGGTTTGCGTGGAGGAGCCGCGCCGCCTGGAGCGATGTCATTTCCGCGTCCTCCTGTGCGACGACAGCGATGTCAAGGTCGTCAGCCAGGAGGAGTATTTTCTCCGTCACCATAGCGTCGATGCCGTCGTCATCCATACGGGGGAAGGCCGACTTGGCCATCGCCAGGAGGCTCGTTCGGTACGCCAGGGGCGACTCCTTTTCACCCCGCTTGCGGTCGTAGAACTCCTGTCTGCATTCCGCCGATGGTCCGTAGACCCCTCCCAGCAGCTGCAGCGCCATCGGTAACGTCGCCCGCCTCTCTTTAGGTGCCGATGTGAGGGCTGCGAGCGCGTCGCTGTCGAGGAGCGCCGGCAGCGCGCAGAGAGCCTCCTCGTCTGTCCACTTCGCCATCTCTTGATGGGCGAGGAATCGCCTGCGGAACCCGGCCCAGTCCCCCTCCGCGCCGACGAACTCTTTCAGCGGGGGCAGCCTCTGATGGAGTGCAGCGGTCGTTGTTGATTCCCGCGGGCGGATGTCACCTCCACTTGGCTGTGCGTTGGTACGAGCGGCCGATGGAATCGCCTGTCGCGGTGGTGATGACGTCGTGGCTTCAGCGACGGCGATGCCGGAGTGGATGTTTAGGCTGGCCACGCCCCGAACAGCTGCAGCGTCGATGGCGGGAGATTCAAACTCGGGCTGCTCCGAAATGGCGGGAAGGCGCCCTGGTCGTTGGGCCGTCTCGCCCCGTGCTGAATCACCGGCCCCCAGCCGCGTGATGGACTCCAGCGTGGCGGCAGCGGCGTATAACAGCTCCGCCAGCCTCCCGTGAGCCAGCCGCAACGCGTCTGACTGTGATCCTCCTTCACTCGGATGCCCCGGTGAGGAGACATCAGGCTCCGGCTGCACTGTGGCTTGTGTAGCCGTCCCGGGCGTTTCGATCTCGGCAGTATCTTCTTCTTGCGGTACTATGGCCCGCGTTGTCTTCCGCGTGTCCATGTTCGAGTTTTACTTCTGACACCAGTTGAAGTACCGGTGAAGACACTTGACGCCGAGGTGGAGGCACACGGATATTTATTCAACACAACTCGTATGTGACATACAGTACTGGAGGGGGTATCGGCCCCCTCACCCGACTAGCTCAAGGATACACTTCCTGGCTAAGTCCTAGCCTACCTCACAGTCCTCCACTACTGGGCTAGGGGAGGCTACTTGGCCCGACACTGGTAAGTCGGGCCGGTACCCGGAGTCCCAGACCAGCTCTTAGAAGAGCACCGGCTCTGGCTTTCGGGACCACGCCGCTGGCTCGATCCTGTTCGGCCCTGACAAGGACATCGAACGAGGGAGTCCAGGGCTCTATCTAAGACGTCTTCCGTCTTCTTAGTTAACTATAACATCACTAACTCCCGAGCCCATATAACGTCCCCTTTTATACCCAACCCTCCCTGAGGGGTGGGGCCCCGGGGGATCATAACGCCAAACCAGCCCCCCCCAGGGTGTCTGGCTCGGACGTCGCAGAGGGCACCTCCCTGTGCACACACGTAGCCCCGCCCACTGTGTTTCTTTCCCATAGACTGCCATACATAACGGCCCTCTCTCTAACATCCCTACACAGTCATTAGGCTGTAACCATCAACTGACTATACTTGAGAACACAGACAAAGATCCCCCATATAGCCTGAACAGACTTTTGGGGCAAGTGCTGTTAGCGAGCACCTCTCCCTAATGGTGTTGTTTTTACACATCATACCAGGTACTCATTTGAGGCTGAGTCTACCTAGGGGGGGAGGCCCAGGACCGGTTCAGATAATTTCCACTGGTGTTAGCTGTGAGCAGTAATCCAACCCGTGTCGCCAAGTTCGTAGTGCAACACGCTGACCGCTACTACAATACCGCTCCTCACACAGGAGAACACAGCTTTAAGTCACAAACCCAGAAACTCAGCGGAGTCAGGTTACTGCTTTGACCTCCGAATCAACCGACCGACCACCACATTCTGAATATATTTTTTTTTTACCGGCAACAGAAAACAATTTGCCCGAATTAAAATGGAGCTCGAGTTCAGCCTTTCCAGATTATGATCTGTATATCTATTACACGCGGTAACAAGTGGTTCATGACCGTTGTCTTCATACAAACACAACTATTTAAATCCATAGTTGCATTAAAAAATGTTCTCTGCATTATTCCGTTATGAACGTGTGCGCGGTGGTCTTGAGAACCCTTTGGTCGTCTGGTGCCGATGCGTGCAGAGCGGCCACATGCCGGCCGTGCGGGTGTGGGATCTGGCGGACAGGACCCAGGTCTCCGAGTTCCAGAGGCACAAGTACGGGATCTCGTGCGTGGCCTTTTCCCCCAACGTCAAGTACGTCGTGTCCGTGGGCTACCAGCACGACATGATGGTCAACGTGTGGGACTGGAGGGTGAGTTTCTGGGGCGGTGGGCGCGGTGTGGCTCATGTGTTTGCATCACGCGAGCAGCGACGTGGCCCAGCGGAAAACTAGGGCCGTATTATCCAATAGGCCACAGTATGCACCGTGCTTAGGGCCTACTCACCCACTCACCCATTCACTCACTCACTCACTCACCCACCCACCAGGGCCATATTATCCAATAGGCCACAGGCACCGTGCCTAGGGCCTGCGAAAAAACGATTTCACCATGCTTTTGTTTTTGTGATAATGTAACCAGGATATCTTCTTGAATAAATATATGTATAAATAGCAAGGATAGGCATAGTGTATATACAGAGGCAGTGTCATGCCAATCGTTTTTTTCCATCAGGCGAGAGAAATTTACACCAGAGATGAACTTTTAGAGATTTTTTCATTGTAAAATTCGCAAATAACATCTTCAAATGGGTTTTTTTGCACAATCTCATTCTCAATGAAGAGCAGTGCAAGGGAAGACAAGGCGACGTTGTCCTATGATTGATCGGAGACAGTTTTTTTTATTAGCGGCTGTAATACCAACTGTAGAAAGTAATCACTGAGGGCCTACGAAACAGAAGTGCCTACAAGAACCTTCATCCAGCCCTGCGGCAAACGCGTTGTGCTGCTCGTCGCAGAGGCTCGCTGTTAGAATCCCGTGGGCTGCCCTGCTGGTTACCACGGGCGTTAAAGGTGCTACGCTGCCGTCGGCTTCGCTCACGTCGATGTTACAGATCCCCTGATATCAATTGAAATTAGAAGGCCGTTGTGTGCCGGAGTTGCTCTCCAGATTTTCCAAATTCAAGAAATTATCCCCGCAAATTACTCAAATGGGATCACACATAGTAGCATCTACCACTGCTGTGAAATTACTACAGATAATGTCTGAAACTTAGTAAATTCCCTGATAGCCCTGCCTTTTAAAAATGGCACAAACTTGTTATCACAAAATATGTTAAGTTTTGCTCGCTGCTGTTAATAAATTAAAACTAAACTGTTTTACCAGGTAACACCCACTGAGCTACTCGTTCCTTTTCAGAGACGACCTGGCCACAAATGATAGTTCATCGAAGTGACTTTATCATCGTCACACCTGGGAATTTATAGCAGCAGCCAAATAATCTAAATGCACGTTGTTTCCAAATGTGTAGGGGAACACCTAGAGAACAATTCACGTGACCCCGGGGGGGAGAGAGAGAGACACGCAAACTCGAAACGTAAGGCATAGTCAGGATCAGGATCGAACTCGCGAGCTGGTGCCTCCAAAGGTGCTGATGCGTCCGCATGCCGCCCCTTGCTGCCCTTGCTGCCGACGATGGCGTTGAAGTTGTTGTTGTTCCCGTTGGCAGAAGGGCGCTCTGATCGCGTTCAACAAGGTGTCCAGCAAGGTGACCGCAGTTTCCTTCTCATCTGACAACAGCTACTTTGTGACGGTCGGTAATCGTCACGTCCGCTTCTGGTACCTCGACGCCTCCAAAGTCTCCAAGGTGTGAGCGGTTACTGCTTCTTTTTCCTCTTCCTCCTCTTCATCCAATTCCTTCCCTGCCCCCCCCTTGTACAGATTTAAGGATGTTAGACATCCTATGATTGCGTCTTTGTAGGACATGGGGGGAGGGTGACATGGATATCATAAAAACCATAACCACCGCAAGGGGGGCGCTACTGCAGGAGGATAGCTAGGAGGTGGCTTGCTAGATAGTGATTGGTTGAGAGGTTTGAAAGAAGGAGAAGGCAGGAATGTTTGAAAGAGGCAAGGGGGGATCCGTTTGGGACTGTTAGAAGGGGAGCAGAGGGATTTGTTAGAAGGAATGCATGGGCTGGGATTGGAGAGGGGGAGAAGAGGAGGATAAGAGGGTGGGGGAGCGAGGGGTGGCTTGGCAGAGGGAATCAAAGGGGGTGGTGTTGGCTCGCGGTGAGCACTGGACGTTGTTGTTAAGGACAATCAAAACTTTATCCAACAAGTGCCGCCTTTGGAGTCCTTCATTACACAGCCTTGAACAGACTATGCTGCCTAGCAAGTGCTGTTAGCGAGCACCTATTAATAGTAACGCTACATTGGGTTTTTATTTTATGATTTTCATCATACATGCGGGAGGAAACACCCTGAGAAAGCTCACGCCTTGCGCGAGGGGGCAACACTCTATCCCCTGTACAGATGGAATCAGATGATGATTATAAACTACAGAATCACCTACTTTAGTGGGAATCCATGGAATCAACGATGATATTTGTTTAATGGTGATGGTTGTGATGATGATAAATAACGATGGTGATAGCTTTACGATATGATATGATGATGTTATGTGCAGTGTATTATCATACCCAGTGTTTGTCACGATATAATGAATAGCCTAGGAATGTCTTCATACAATGGAGGTTACTTTAAAATACAGACTTATAGCGTCTTGTTAAGTCCTTATGATTATTTTGGATTTGTCCACGTCTGCACAAATTTGCGTTGGAAGCACCCTCCACCACCCAACGCAGCCAACATATATGCAATTGCCATGCGTGTAAGCGTTTAACAACAGCGTGCAAATTAGTATTGCTTTAGCTCCCTCGCAATGCCCACAGACACATCCAGCAGCCACTCACTAGACGACGTGTCGCCTGAACCGCTTTGCGCGTCTGCAGGTCCCGACTCAGGAAGTCGGGGATACAAAATCGTGTGTTTCCTCACCCGATGTCAGGTGACACGGTTATTCCGACTTCCTGGATCCTGTCCCGACGTTGTTTTTGACGCAGTTTCAAACTAAAGAGTCGCGGGTATCCGTTCGCTACATTTGTTTCCGTTAAACGCTTGTACACGTGACAGTTTAATATGTTTGGCCTATGTCGGGTGGTGGAAGCTTTCCGTGATGAGAAAAAATGACCAGATCGCTACGTGGCCTAACCCAATTTTTTCTATTATGAATCGTGACATCGGCTACCGAGGCCCACACGTGAACCTCGCGTTGGGAGACTGCTCGACTGTATGTCTGGTCTCGTCGGTTTCAGGCGAACCTGACGGTGCCACTTCTCGGCCGCTCCGGACTCCTCGGAGTACAGCGCAACAATTTCTTCTGCGACGTGGCGTGTGGGCGGGGGAGGATGTCGAGCAGCACGTACTGCATCACGTTCTCGGGGCTGCTCTGCGAGTTCAACGACAAGCGCATGCTCGAGAAGTTTGTGGACCTGAAGGTTCGAGCGCTTTCTCTAATTGCGTGCAGATTATTTATCTTGCTATAAATGTCCACGTGATTATGAGCCACTTTGTGGTCCTGACATTTGTGGCCAGGTCACTCCTGAAAATGAAACTAATAGCTAAGTGAGCTTTACCTGGTAAAATAAGAATATTTAAGTTTTATTTGTACATATTTCAAAGTGATTTATTTACCTTTCCTATACTTTTGCACTCCTATCATGTTTTTATACTGTTTGTTGTTGTAACGCTCTGACCCGCCCCCACTGGACATCTTGGGAAAAGAGCTTTGTAGCTCATCGGATTCCTCCACTCTAAATAAATATTCTGATTCTGAATTGCAAATACCTTCAGACATCTACTTATTGATTCATGTGGCCTCTGTAGAGCAACTGTTAGAGATTCAGTTGTAAAATATTTAGCCATTCTATTGCTTTGTGGGTTTGTGAATTATAGACCCTACCCACCCACCCAATAGAAGGCGCTAGTACTTTATGTCCATACTTTCGAGTGATCTTCCTTACGACACCCTACAGTATAAATTATAGGTCCAAGCTGTCCGGTGGATCATTGCGGAGCCCCGTTGAGATTCACCAGAATGGACCATCACCGCGCTTGGTGAATCTGCCACCACTGGTGTAGGCTATGCACCTTGTCAGTGCAGTCTCCTGTCGGATTACGAGCACGTTCAACACCTAGACCTTGTGTAAACCATCTCGTCCCCATCCACCCACCCGTGCATTTGCACGCAAGCCGACGCATGTGCACACCCGCCCCACGCATGAACAATCTGGGACGTCCCCGTTGACTTGCGGAGTCTCTGCAGGGCTTTGTTGGCGTGTGCAGGGCGAGTCAAAGAGCCTGCCTTATTCATGGTGGTGCAAGTTTACAGACGGAGGAAAGTGAGAGGCGACGAAGCGGCAGCACGCGACCGGATGCCCTCCCTGTTTTCCGTGCGTCGTTCACGCGCTTTCTCGGGTTGCGTGCGCGCGTTGCTTGGCGACCCTTGGCAATGTGTTCGAGCGGCGTGTCCGCTCCCTTCTAGACGCCGATGGCGAGCTGCATCTACGTGAGTGAGGAGCTCATATTCTGCGGCTGTGCCAACGGAGTGGTGTGCGTGTTCGGCGCGGAGGACCTGCGCAATGTGGCCATCCTGCCCAGGCCGCACTGCCTGGGCGTGGACGTGGCCCTGGGCGTGCAGCCGAGGTCGGTATCCTTTGTAGGGGGGTTTGTTGTTGAAAAATCAGGAGAGGTTTCACCCTATCTGGCAATAAAACAGCAGGTGTTAAGATGTTCAAACACCAAATAGAAACCCTTTGCAAGGAATCATGTCTGCGTTTGTGGTGAACATGCAAACAAACATGCTCTAATAATAGATGCAATGTAGTTGAAACTGATTGGCCTACGTCAGAGACAGCCTTGTTTAGGGCCTAGTCTCACCGGTGTCAGACCAGAGAACGCCACAAGGTGGACAGTACAAAGACAATGCACTATCAGAGTGTTTATAGCTCGGGGTGAGCATCTACAAAATGGGACATTTTTGCCCGTATTAAAGTATTGCCAGAAAGGGTAAAACTTATTCCTAATTTTCACAGTTTTATACTGGGAAAAAAGGTCCCATTGTAGGTTTCTTGTTGTAGTAACAGAGTTGCTGAGCACAGGCCTTAAACGCCCAAAACGTCAAGCGGACAGAAACAAAACAGCACTTGTGATGAGAAGAATTTTGGGGGAAAATAGATGATGATGATGATGATGATGGTGGTGCGAGGGGATTCCAAGTTAAGCAGTGTGGGGGAAGACGCAGAAAAAAAAAGTGTCATGACCTGCATGCAGCGTGGCGAGTGAGTGAGTTGATGAGTGTTATAACCTTCAGTGTGGTGAGCGAGCGAGTGAGTTGGCGAGCGAATGTGTTATGACCTGCAGTGTGGTGAGTGAGTTGGTGAGTGAGTGTGCTGTTTATGATCCTCAGTGTGGTGAGGGAGTGGAGTTTGTGCGCAAGTGACCTGCAGCGGTGTGAGCACGATTCTCGGGCCTGCCGAATCTTTTCCCGTCGTGGCGACGTAGACACACCTGCGATTCTTCCCTCCCAGCCACCTGTTCGCCAGCAAGCTGGACGCGCGGTTCCCGGACACCGTGGCGCTGACATACGACTCGAGCAACGCGTGGCTGACGTGCGTCTACAACGACCACAGCCTGTACACGTGGGACGTGCGCGACGCGCGGCACGGCAAGCGCTTCGGCAAAGTCTACTCGGCGCTCTACCACAGCTCCTGCATATGGGGCGTTGAGGTATGCACATGCGCGTGCACGCACCGCCTTGCGCGCCGCCACACACATATCGCCGCACACACATCGCTTTGCGCACACCACCACCGCGCACGCAACCGCGCACGCCGCCAAAGGCATCACCGCGCACACCGCCATGCACACCGGCGCGCAGACCGCCAAAGACACCACCACACACATCGCTGCACGCACACTGCCACGCACACCGCCACGCACACCGCCACCCACATCGCCACCATGCACACCACCACGCACATCACTACACACATCACCACACACACGGACCCAGGGCCATATTCACACTCGTGGCCAGGCTCAGACTTGCGCCGCTCAGTGTGTGATGCCCCACAGCACTGTGTGTGTGGTCCCAGGCTAGGTGCGCACAGAACCGTGTTATGGCTGGCTGTGTGTGTGTGTATGGTGCCGGGCTAAGTGCACACAGCACTGTATTATGGTCGTATGTGTGTATGCTTGGTGCCGGATAGGTGTACACAGCACTGTGTGTGTGTGTGGTGCCGGGCTAGGTGTACCCGATGCTCGAAGAGAGCAGCCCAGCGTGCCTCCCTCCTGGCTCGTTCCTCACCTGCTCTTCCGACAGCACGATCCGCGTGTGGAGCATCGACGCGCCGGCTGCCACCCAAGCGCCGTCCTTCCACCGGAACGTCTACAGCAACGTACGCCTCGGCCGTGCACACACACTGCTCTCGGAACACGCTCGCCTGGCGCACCGGTGCTGGGCACGGCGCTGAGCTTCCAGGGTTCGAGTACAGATTTTGGCCGCCCGGGTTTTTAAGTTTAAGACACTTCGAGAAAAAAATAATAGGAATTTAAATGTATAAAGCGCCCTTAAATAAAAGTTCTATGGGCGCCACAATCGTTCCCAGGGGTAGTCTCATTTGCCGGAGTGACCTGGGGCGTTAGTCTGCGAGCACGGGGGAGTCCTCGCTTCAAGTTAATTCAATCAACGTTTCATTATTCCATCGTCAATACAATAGGGACTATATTCCCTTATGATGCCACGATGTTGGCTTTTACGCTGCGAGCAACGGGAACTACTTTGTGGTGCGTTGAGTGTAGTCGCGCGCGCGTAGCACAACGTGGCGTGTTCCACCACGCCATCTTGTTGTGTAAAGTGAGATTCAGAGAACATATCGTGCTTTTGTGATATAATCGATAAAAAAACCGCCGTACGCCCACTTCACATCCATCATTGGCAAGTGTTACTTTATTAAAATGTATATTTATTAGTATTGTTTTTGTATTTGAATGTATTTTATATTCTCTTGCTCAATTTCATTTCACAACTTGCATTTTAGTTCGGTTAAAAAATAGCGTACACTGAAACGTAACCCCCAACTTCACTTTATTTCTTGTGGGAGGCAAAATTGGTTTGCCTGAACTTCGCTCTGATTTAAGTCGCACTTATCAGCAACGCAACTGCAATGTTCGGCGAGGACTCGCGGTCGTGGGCGACCGATCGCCGCGCGTTCTTCCCAAATTGAGTCCTTTTTGAATTTGGCAAATGTGGACCCCTGACGTGCACTCCGCAGCAGACGACGCCTATCATTTTACGAACGTTACAACCGTGCTATTAACCGGGGCGGCCGCTGGGTACTAACCGTGAACCCCCGTGTTGTACTGCGCATCTCTCCCACCGTGTTTTTGGGTTGCAGCGCGTGTTGTTTGGCACGATGTCTGACGTTTTGCTCAAAGGTGCCAGAAGCGGCTTCGGAGAATCCTTCTCAGTTCCTGAAAACATGTCGGAGAGCTATGTGTTAATCGGCTGACATCCAGGCAATGAATGGCGGGCTGATATATATATGTAGATCACACCTGACACTGCGTTGCAATAAATAGATCACACCTGACACTGCGATGAAATAAATATCTCGCCGTAAAGACGCAGTCGTGGATCTCGCATCGTATCATGTCGCTGACCGGTCGAAAAATGCTTTCCCCGTTGGGCCGCAGGAGCTGCTCAAGGTGATGTACTGCGATGAGAGCTTGCAGTCGCTGCAGGACCTGGACTACAACCCCGCGGGCAGCACCGACAAGACGGACCACACGCTTACCGAGGCCAAGCTGGGCATCCGGGCCCTGTGCGTGAGCCCCGACGGGCAACACCTGGCCTCCGGGGACCGCATCGGCACCGTCCGGTGAGCAGCCCGAACCCCTCACCGGATTCGTAGAGTCCCTCCGGTACTCGCGGCGTCCCCGCGCCCCCCCACGCTCCCTCGACCCATGTTGGGCGTGAGGCGCTCCCGAAGCAAGGCGCGCCGCGTTTAGCAGGCGGGTATCTGTCTGCGGTGATTTCGCAGGAAGGGCCGACTGTTTGCTAAGTGGATTCTATCCTACGTAGGTAATTTGCAGGTGGCTTTTTGAATTTGGGCTGTGACATGGTGCATAAAGCCCTCCCTCCCCCCCTTCCTCCCTCCCTCGACATCTGCTGTGAAGCGGACGGCGCATGATATTTCTTTGCGGTTGATACACCCACAGTATTTCCAAGCTTTAAACTTTTAAACTCCTTTTACCAGGGGGGTTGCGCCGCTCGAACCACAAACCTCTACAGTGAACGGCAAACACGGTACCGCAGTGATGCGCCTGTAGCGTCGTGGCATCCTGGTGTGTGCCATGTGCCGGCAGACTGCGTTGTTGGAGAGTTTCGTTGTCCACTAAACCTGTTTATTTTTAAATCCTTTATATTAAGTTCACTTGCTTACTTGCTTGCGCGCTTACGACCGTGCAAATCTTTCGATCGTTTTTTAACCCACTTCCCGTGATCCAATCGAGCTGACATTTTGCACACAGACTCGTTGTGCATGACAATTTATTTTCGTGAAAAAAAATTTCCTAAATTTTCCACTTTTTAGGAAAAAAAAATTTCACTAACACAATCATATATTTTTCCTAAACACAGAAAATTATTCAAGAAAACAACTAAAATGTACAATATAAACAATCATACAAAAACTGAAAACCTTATAATCCTTATATACGACTTTCCTTATATTTAATTTAAAATACCAATGTGATAAAAATGAAACTCTTACTCAAGAAAAACAGAAATGAATAATAAAATAAAACCGATGCCACGCATATAAAGGATTTATAGTGAAAAACTTTGTTTTTACAGGTTAATTTTTCATTGTTTCGGTGGCCCAGGGTCATTCTTGCAATTGACACTCATCCTGGTCACTTTGAGTTCTCATCTGGTTCAACAAAATTAAATTGGAAGTTTGAGACTTGGGTCCGTCCTGTATAGAATGTGACCTGATCGCAACGTGGACTTTGTGACAGGATCCACGACCTGCAGTTCCTGGACGAGGTGATGCAGATCGATGCCCACGACTCGGAGGTGCTCTGCCTGGAGTACTCCCAGCCCGAGACAGGTGATGCCCGCTTACCGTGAATTGTCGTCGCCAGCCATTGTCTCTCCACTGCTGAATGAAGGCCACCCCACACGCTGTTGCCATCTGGCCTCGGTCCATTGCTGCTGCCACAGAGAGGAGGCTGCGGCTCTGATCAAACGCATCATTAACATTGGTGTTACATTTGTAGTGTCTTCAAAAATTACTCACACTGACACGTAACAAGTCACCTGCTTACACTTTGTTCACCTATTCTGGCACCAGTCGTAGGCACTCCTATAACTATCTGTACGGTGACTTTTGGTTAACTTCTCCCTACTCTTATCTACCTTCCGCCTCCCTTATCCTGCGCTCAGCAGCTCTGCTCTCAGCAACTTCGCACACAGCGTCTCCGCACACAGCATCTTCGCACACAGCAACTCCGCACACAGCGTCTCCGCACACAGCGTCTCCACATACAGCGTCCTCGCACACAGCGTCTCCGCACACAGCATCTCCGCACACAGCGTCTTCGCACACAGCGTCTCCGCACACAGCATCTCCGCACACAGCGTCTCCGCACACAGCGTCTCCGCACACAGCGTCTCCCCACACAGCGTCTTCGCACACAGCGTCTCCCCACACAGCGTCTTCGCACACAGCGTCTTCGCACACAGCGTCTACACACACAGCGTCTCTGCACACAGCGTCTTCATACACAGCGTCTCCAAAACAGCGTCTCCGCACACAGCGTCTTCGTACACAGCGTCTCCGCACACAGCGACTCCATGCACAGCGTCTTCGCACACAGCGTCTCCGCACACAGCGTCTCCGCACACAGCATCTTCGCACACAGCGTCTCTACATCTCCACCGCTGCCCTCACCTACGCTCCCTCAGAACCCGCTCACCCGTCTGTCCTGGGCGGGGGGATCAGCCAACACCCGCCCGGCGACGGCGTGCGGGTTGCGAGGTCCCATTGACGGCTGGAGCGACAGCGGCGAGATGTCTTCACACTTGGTCCCCGGCAACAGCTCCCCGTTCTGCTCACGCACACGTCCTTTGCTAATTATCCGAGACCTCTCGTGCGTCTCTTTAAGCTCTCGCCAGGCTGGCGCCTATCGGACCATCAATCAACCCTTATCTCCCATCTCCCTGGCAACACCTCCGGTCTCAGCGTGCACAACCGGTCGACCCCGTTTGCACCTGCTTCACCCCTTACAACTGGCGGTTTGTCCGTGAAAACCTCACGCGCACCTGTTTGGCCTCGGTTGCCCTCGGTTAACTGTGCGCACCGCGTATGTCACTACTCTACACATTTATTACGGCGTCTCCATTGCACGACGATGACGATCAATCGTAGTGGGCTGAGGTGCTGTGCTGGGACGACTTGGTCGCTTGTGAACCGCAGGAGTGAAGCTGCTGGCGTCTGCCAGTAGAGACCGGCTGATCCATGTGCTGGACGTCGAGGGCAACTACGACCTCATGCAGACGCTGGACGACCACTCCTCCTCGATCACCGCCGTCAAGTTCATCGGTAATTGCGCGTGCGATTTTTCCTTGGCCATAAAGCTCCGAATAGCTCTTGCTTAGAGCTCTGTGTTCTGTAAAAGTGGAGTTTTTCTGGGGGTTAAATCACGTAAATGCAAATGTGTCCTTAAACCCCACCACCGCCCGACACTGCCAATTAGTAAGGGTTTTGTCATGTAAACAAATACGTGCCAATTTGTTACTAGTTCAGTTTTAACCGGTTGTGTGTTGGAGAGTAAACCCACTACAACATTTACAATTTGAGTGCCGTGACGTTTCGCCGGTAGTTATAACAACAACAACCAGCCTCATCAGGCGACAGTCAGAGTTGTGGAGAATCCTCCTGTTTCTTCGGTCTCACATAGAGGGATAACTGTGATGTCATCGCTTTTGAGCCAATCAGATGTGAAGACTAGAGGGGAGCGGGGTTAATATTATGCACATAAATTACAATGGATACTTATTATTGGTTGGGTTATTCACAGGTAATCAACATACATTATGTATCGATTTTACGCATGCACATTGTGAATGTACGTTATGTATGTACGTTATTTAACACGTAGGCTTTCACGACCGATATCCATAACATAGGTTTTTTTTCGTGTTAGATCATGTAAATATAAATGTGTCGTTAAACCCGCCATCACCTGACACAGCCAATTAGTAAGGTTTGTCACGTAAACGGAACATGCCAATTCGTCACTAGTACAGCACGCTTGTTTGTTGGAGAGCAAATCCACAACATTTACAATCTGAGTACGACGTTTCGCCAGTAATTACAACTAGAATCGTCAACTATCACCCCAAAAAAAGAAACTTACGTATGAACGTTATTTTGAACGTTCTTATGTTTGGCCGGTTCGGGTCGGCCTTTTTGATCGGTGCTGTTCGCCGTGTGTTGCAGCATCGTGTGTTGCAAGTCATCAAAAGACGTTATTGCTGCTGCATTGGCAAATCTCTGTGCTTTTCCCCTCTGGAACCAGGAGGTGCTGAGCAGCTTAACATGGTGAGCTGCGGAGCTGACAAATCCATCTACTTCCGCACAGCACTGAAGGTATGATGTCGCAACACTTGACTGCCCTGTTGAATGTTTGTTTGGTAGCGAGTAGTTTGTACGTTAACAGAGGCCGACAGCAGGGCAGCGCAGCGGTAACACTCGTGCCTCACGGCTGGAATGACCTGGGTTCGAATCCCGACTCGGGCCTGGCAAATTTAGAGCGCGACACGGGAACACGATAGCCGTCTCATTTCAAATGACGTCACGGGACGCTTTAATGTCTACTACCGCGAGTGAAACGGGTGGCGTGTAGCATTTACGGTTAATATGCGCTGCAGTAATAACCACCTCGGCCTGCCAGGTTCGAGCCACGAACCTCCGTAACGATCAGCGACAGCACTTCCACGAGGGCCAGGTCGCCGGCCCGAGTAAATTTATGAGCAAAATAAATAAAAATAAAATACATGGAAATAAATCACTAAAACTAAATAGAATAAATAAATAAAAACTTTCTAAAAATTAAATGAAGTGTCGGTCTCTTTCCTCCAGTCTCCGGATGGACTGAGGTTCTCCCGGGTTCACCACGTGGTGGCGAAGGCCACGCTCTACGACATGGACGTGGACGCGACGGGGAAGTACGCCGTCGTCGGCTGTCAGGACCGCAACGTCAGGTACGTCACGGCGTACATCCGAGTCATCACGAATTGTTCCCGAGCCCGCCCCACGACCCATTCATCTCCCCCCTTATAACCAACCACCGTTACTGTTCCCTCTTCATTTTCTTATTTTATGGCTATAACTCATTCATTCAATCCATTCGTCATCAACATTTACTGTCATCAATTACGCTTTCACCGAATTCAGGCATCACAGATTCGCCCCCCACATAGCTTCCTATCATCTATTTGATTCACCTCATCACCATTACATTCACACGCGTTGTACCGTTTCGTAATTCTCTGTAAAGTGTCTCAGTTAAGGCGCAATATAAATTACGTTAAGATAAGATCATCATCGTTACACCGCTCCTCTCATGCCGACTTGCATCTGTGAAAGATTTTTATTCTTATTACTTTTTATTAAACACAGTTTGCTAAGAACTTCGGGGAAAAGAGACGCGACGGTGGCAAGGGCAATTCCAGAAGTGAGGGGCTGCTGTTTTCCGTGATGTAAAATTAGCATCCTCTTCAATTGATGATGACGATGTTTATAAAGTAAAACATTTTGTGTAGCGTTATTTGTAACAATGTTAATGGAGTAGGGGAAAAGCTGTTTTGCGCTGACGATTCCACGTGAACATGAAAGTGATGTTTATTTATTACGGTTTTTTTGCCATTGTGATTCACCAAAGCGAGGCCGTATGTATGAACAATTAACACCCAGTCTGCGCAGTGTTTAATGTACCACGGTACGAACACTTAGAGCCTGCAATGTCACACGCGGTGCAACGGCGTAGTGCACTGATGAGCGGCGGTGCAGTGGCGTGCTGCTCAATGGCACGTGACGAATGTTGAGATTGTGGCAAGAGCATTTTCAATGCGGTTAATGGTAGGAACGCACCAAAGCTGGCAAACACTGCTTTTCCTTGGCAAACATCCCCCACAGGATTTTCGATGTTTCAAGTGGGAAACAGAAGAAGTGCTACAAGGGCTCCCAGGGCAAGGATGGCTCTCTCATCAAGGTCGGTTGGTTACAACGCTCGCATACTTCCTGGCCTCTGACCTGACGATGCTTGACGCAGTTTCGAGCGACACGTCGTATATATTTGCTGAATTTGTCCGTGAGAATTGTTTTTCAACTTGCCAGAGAGCTGAAACAATAGTTGATGCAGTAATTAAACGCTTGTATACCGCGTGACTACCTCGCCTTGTATGCAGGGGGTTGTGGGTTTGATCCCGACCCTGAGGCCTGTATATTTGGAGTTTGCATTTCTCTCTCCCCATGGTCACATGGATTGGGCCAGATCATTGCGTGGCCTAACCCGGAAAATCAATAAATGAATCAACAGTCGTGTCTGTGAACTTGCCTCCAGTTGCAGATGGATCCCTCCGGGATGTACGTAGCCACCAGCTGCTCCGACAAGAATCTCTCGCTCTTTGATTTCTACACGGGGGAGTGTGTGGCCTCCGCCTTTGGGCATTCAGGTGACATTCACAACTTATAAACAACACACACACACGCATGCATGTGTAGTGGCGTTTATTCACGCGGACAACTTCGTCTTTTTCTCCTGTGTCACTTTATTCGTAGCATCCCACACGGATGCTCCTCACGTTCTAACACCACAAACTCCCGTCGCGAACTCCCTTTAGCTCCGCCAGCCTGCTACTCCGAGCTCACTCTCCCTGGCTCCACTAGCCTGTTTTCCGCTAGCCTCTTACTGTATACGCCGCCAGCTTCTCACCCCACTAGCCTCTCACTGATATCCCGCTAGTCTATTCTCCGCTAGCCTATCACACTCACACTAAGGATTCTGCAAGCCTCTCCTCCGCTAACCTGTTACTACACCCACACCTCCAACCTCGCCCGTGCCCCCAGCGGGGGTTCAGCCAACACCGCTGGGGAGGACGAGTCGTGGAAGGGCGAGGTCCCGGACTCCTCTTGTTTTGACTTCTTCACTTCTTCATCTCCAACCAACTCAACTCCGTTGCTTCGCCCATCCCCTTATATTCCCCTCCTCATTAAGAGTCCTCAGGTGACTCTCGTTAAGCCGGCGTCCTCCCGGCGTCTCCTGCACGTGCTCCCCCTCTTATCCAGTGGTGGAGCCAGTGGGGGGAGGGGGGTGGGGTGGCACGTGCCCCCCCCAAAGATCCAATAAGTCCTTACTAACAACTCCTGTCATTTTTCATTGCTGGAGGGGTTTCCCCCCCTACCTGAAAATCCTGGCTCCACCTCTGCTCTTATCACTTCTATCTCTTGCCTTCTTGGCGCCTACTCCGTGTTTGCATTTGCAGCCAGCCAATCACTGCCTCTTTCCCTAATTGCTGGCGTCTCTTTGTCTGCTGTCTCTCAGGCCTCACGCTTGCACCTGCTCGTACCTGACCTGACCTCACTGTTTGCAACCCCGTACATGAATGTAACTGCTGCGCGCGTTACGCCACTACACATGTACACCACATTCACATGTCTGAATCTGTTTTGTTCATAGTTCAAATAAAATACTTGGTACGTATGTTGTTTGCGGTCATCCGTATAACGCCAGGCCGCCACGAATGCACTGTTACACTCATGGGTATAGTCTGCTAGTGGCAGATGTTGCGCTTTTCACCCAGTTAAGTAATTTGCCTTGTAATTTTTGTTCCAATTTGGACCGTGACCCTGGCACGCACACCCCCGTTATTAAATGTTTTATTTTACCAGGTAAGGCCCACTCAGCTATGCAGATATATTTCAGAAGCTACCTAGCCACGAATGATCGCTCAACAAAGTGGCATATCACGTGGAAATTTACAGCAGCCAAATACTCTTAAAACGCGCGTCGATACTAAATGTGGAGGGAAAACCCGGAGGACCCGAAGAAAAATGTACGCAACCACAGGGAAAAACATTCAAACTCTACATATACAGCAGGCGTCAGGGTCGGGATCGAACGCACAACCTCCTGCATACCAGGCGAGATAGTTAACATCTTGCGGGACCTCGAACGTCCGCTACCAGAGCACAATGGCGCATTATCGTGGAAGGTATAAAGATAGTGGTGGAAGTCTCTGGATGGGGTGGGAGGGGGGTTGCTCAGTGATTAATAACGCAATGATTAATCGCCGTCACTTGCGGAGAATGTACGGAACAACGCTGGTCTCATATCGTTTGCTGATGTAATTGTTACGGTTTTACACATGAAACCTCCAGTTTTCAAACATCCAATGTATGATGCTGTTTATTGTTGAAGGTTGATGATTAATTAACACTTGATTTGTTGTTGTTTTGTTCACGTGTAATGTTATCTTTCAGAAATTGTGACGGGTATGAAATTTAGCCACGACTGCAAGCATCTCATTTCAGTATCGGGGGACAGGTGAGCTTTTAAAATATATGTTAAATAAATGTTGTAGCAAACTAAGGATTTATTTATCGAATTGAAGGTGCCAAACGAACCGGACTCCGGCAGAGAGTGTCACTGTGTGGGTGCCACGGGAGAGAAGGCCCAAAGAGTTCCACAGTGCGGGTGCCACGGGAGAGAAGGCCCAGAGAGTCCCACAATGCGGGTGCCACGGGAGAGAAGGCCCAGAGAGTTCCACAGTGCGGGTGCCACGGGAGTGAAGGCCCAGAGTGTTCCACAGTGCGGGTGCCACGGGAGAGAAGGTCCAAAGATCGCCCCCGTGGACTTGAGTTTCATTCTGGGGAAGCAGAGGAGATCTAAGTCCAGGGTATACGGGGTTGCGAGATCATTCAGGGTCTTGAATGTGAGGAGGAAGATGACCTTGAATTCAGTGCAGAATTTAGTCGGCAAATGGTGAAGTAATGCGAGAACAGGGGTTATTTGTTTACGAATGAGGCGTTTGTGTCACGACCCTAGTCGCCCGAATTCTTAATGGAATGTGTCAGATTAAAACGTGAGACCAATTTCTCCCGTGTTGGCGGGCCGAGAGAATCGGACGTAAGTGGGCATTGTTCTGTCGGTGAATAAAGCGACCTCGACGATTTTCTAACTTTTTGCATCTTGAAAGCTTAATGATGGATCGAGGATCGCACCGAGATTCCTGACTTCCCCACGTGTGGTACATTGTGACCCCACCGATCGTCAAACTGAGTGAACCAGCCACCACCCGGCCGGCCAGCGGTGAGATTCAGATGGGAATATGCCTCCCGAGTCTCATGGCGAGCGTGCCTCTGTTTGCAGCTGCATGTTCCTGTGGCGGCTGCCGTCGGACCTGACGAGCGTCATGCAGCGGCGGCTTGGAGAGATGACCCAGAACCGGAAACCAGCACTGCCCAAGCAGCCCCCGGCTCTCCGGTGAGGCCCGTGGCTCCCCCTGGTGCGCTGGATGGAGATGGCCGTGCGGTGGAACTTCCAAATTCCTATGGCAGGCGCGAGTTTCTCCACGAAGCAACAACTGTTGACTTCTCCAACTTTGATTGACCCCGGAGAGACGATGTGCAGAGTTAACCCCCAGCATAGACAAGACCTAAAACACAAAAACGCATGCGGTGGCAAGCGTAGTGCGCCATGAATCTTACCACCTGAGTTCAATTCTCAACCACGGCTCATATAGGTCATGAGTGACGTCTGAAATCCGGGTCACCATACATCTCACGTGACAATTGCACAGCCCAGCCCTCATCCCCAGGCCCCCATCCGCCCTCCGTGACCTCCTTCACAAAGAGATCAAAGTCAAAATGTGTATTATTCCACCGGAATATTTTTGTCCGGATCTGAGTGATAAAAAAACCCCAGCTGGATATCAGCCAGATTCAGATCCTCAGCAGATATTGTGTGGCCATTCCCCTCGGGGTTCGGGATGATGTCTGGTTCATTAAAGGACGCTGCCAGCGCAGTTTTTTATGTCTTGCAAGCGAACAAACCAAAAGGTACAGGTGCAGCCCTGCAATTGCCTGCTCACAGCCACTGCTGGAAGAATTGCCTCTGCCAGTGGGAGTTCCAGAGATCCCCTAGTACAGGGTATTTTGACCTACTCTTTCACGCTGGTCAGTACGTATTGGAAGGAGAGGTGGGAGTACTCACCTTTGACCCCCACCACACATGACCGGCCAATCACAGACTTAACTGCCATCCACTCATGAAATTTAGTCACGCGTGGGTTTTTTTTTTAGAAATTTCCGGTGTTTCGGTATCCCCCCACATGTATAATAAACACAGCTCATCATTAATTGGCCGAAACAATCTTACAAATAAACACCCAACGTGGCAGCGGCAGCAGGACCCTCCTTACAAAGAGTCTTCCAACTCTCCTGGCTAAATAAGTAAATAATAATGATTCAATCATGATTACACTGGTCAACAAAAAAAAAATTCTGGCCTGGACTTTTGCAGCTGTTTTAGACTAATTTCAGGGTGCTGATTCCAAATCTGATCTCAGATTTGCTCTATCACATCTCATTTTATGCTATCGGCATACCCCATTTTCATTGATTTTACCCGAAATTAACTCTGTCACTTATGATTGCAAGTTGTTGCGAGTCAGTGACTGATTTAGTGTTAAAATATGGTGCTGTATTTTTAGGATAGTGTGTTTATAATATTATTTAATGTAGATATCCACATTTATTTAATATTTTTCTTCTGCAGTTTTTATTGAAAATGCAAAATTTGATATCTCAAAAACCTGATGTGATAGAAAAAACTAATGCCAGATTTGGAATCAGCACCCCAAAATTACCTTTAAACCGTTGGAATACCTTATGCCAGAAAAAGTGTGTTGACCAGTGTTATTATTATAAGCTCCCTTTGACCATGGTGGTGCATGGCTGAGCCCGAAGTGCTGAAGGTGCGAGGGCGCCGGACGTGCGTTCTGCAGCAGGGAGACGTACGTGATGCAGCCGCGTGCGGCCGTGCTCGGATACATCACGGAGGAGCGCGAGGGCGGCGAGGAGGAGCGCGAGGGCAGCGAGGAGGAGGAGTGCGAGGACGACGTCGAGGAGGAGCGTGAGGACGACGTCGAGGAGGAGCGTGAGGACGACGTCGAGGAGGAATCGGACGGACTCGACGCTGTCAGTGAGTGTCGCCAACTGCGCCTCAGCGTCGCACATCCGACCGTCACGTTCCCCGCCCCGACCACTTAACCGCCCCGCACCCAGCACGGTATTTGCGCGCGGTGTAACCGTCACGCTCCACGGACATCCACATTTTCCGGGTTGCGCGCAGATGTGTCGCCGTAGACGGGACACTACAGCGGTGGACGCTTTGCCGCACTGTCCGCTGCTGCCCTCCGCGTAGTCTCGCAGCCTGTGACACCTGTTATGCACGGTGATTACCCACGCGAGCGCTGTTATCCAGGCTCAAGCCTGCTTGGCTCTCGAGACCTGATGGAACCAGGTGCATTCTGGGCTATTTGGTCAACCACTTCAGAACATCGTCAGCAGCCCGCTGCGCACATTTCCTCCGTGAATGGAGGATTACAAACAAGTCACAGTGGTTTGATTGTGGCCATGCAACTCACACTGTGGACCGTATAGTTGACCCATAGAGACTCCTAAAAACCCATAGAGATACATTAAAGACAAGCCGCAGTGGAGCGATTGTGGCAACGCAACCCACACTATGGACCCTATAGTGAACCACTGTATTCTGCACTCCTTCAACGGAGCAGGGATAGCAAAGCTACACAAACTCTCTCTGCTGAAGCCCTCTTGACATGGGAATTTATCTCCCGAACGTATTGCCATACGCACGAGCAGAATTGAATGGCTTGAAATCCCAGCCGCCTGTAGTTGACGTTTTCACATTCTCACACTGACTGTTAAAAAACGTGTTTCTGACTGCGTTGTTTGTCCTCTCCTCTCCAGTCTCACTGGATGATTGCATGAAGAGAACAGCAAAGACCCCAAACTGGGCTAGGCTCCAGGTGAGAGGGAAAGAGCATCGCACGCCGGTGCGTCGCCTTCCAAACAGGTCGCAAAACGGGTTTTGATTCCTTACCTTTACCCGTACCCGGCCGCGCCAGGGTCGCAAACGGGTACCCATACCCGTACCCGATACCCGGCCGGGTACGGGTAGCCAGGTATCGGGTAGGGTACGGGTATCGGGTACCCGATTGCGACCTCTGGGATGAAGCCATGTTGCAGGCGTGGGTGGGTTGATTCTAGGAAATTGAATTGTGAGAAGAGACAAGACGTTGGGAAATGAGTGACAAACGGTTACTCACCAGTGACTCACGGCCTACCCGTACCCGGCCGCACCAGGGTCGCAAACGGGTACCCGTACCCGGCCAGGTACGGGTAGCCGGGTATCGGGTAGGGTACGGGTATCGGGTACCCGGTTGCGACCTCTGCTTCCAAATCCTGTCAAATTCTAACAATTACCGGCAGATTACTCAATTGGGATCGCACACAGCAGCAACCATCACCCCCCTCGTGCTGCACAGGGACAGCTGCCATTGGGGGTGCCCCTCGAATGTTTGAGATGAGAAGTGATGTCTGGCGCTCTGAACTGCCGAGGTGTGTAAGCGAGTGCCATTTAAATGGGAGATTATAGATTCATTTATATTGTTATGATCCTGCTGTGTGTGTGTTACAGGGCGTAATTCCTGGAGGACGTAAGTTAGTGTGGGTGTTCATAGTCTGGATTGCTACCACAGCGGTGTAACGGTTATCGCGCCGCACTCGCAATCCAGAGGTTGGCAATTCATTTTCCAACGGAGCAAGTTCATTAAAAGTCCCCGCCCACGTCTTGTCCACCCCGCAGTCTAACTGCCTAAACCGAAGTTGAGTCCATCGGCAGGCCGCAACACGTGGTGGGGTTAAGTGTGGGTGCTCCCAACTCGAAACAGCGAGAACGAGTGGTGCGGATGGCGTGGTGCATGGGCCTCTCGCGTGACGTGCTCGCCGTTTGCAGCGAGTGCCGAACGGCACAGAGGCGGGCCAGGAGGCGGCCGGCGTGGCCTGGCAACCGCGCAGGCGCTGGGGCCAAGGCATTGACAAGGAGCAGACCGAGAAGTCGCTGCAGGACCTGTGCAGGCTCAGCGTGGAGACGCCGACGCCCTCACCGCTGACGGAGCGCGACTCGTGCTGCTCGCTCGAGAGCGGGGACGGTGTGTGCATCGAGGAGGCCACCAAGCTGGCACCCACCGACCTCAATGATCTATTCAAAGAGGTGAGCTGTGCGTGTGTGTGTGTGTCGTTTTTGGACGATGTAGTACGGGAGGCAGGATTCGGAGCTGAGTGGACTTGCTGATGACTTGGTACCAGCGTTATCAGGATCGGCCTCGGTGAAAGAGGCTCGTGAAAGACGCTACAGGGCAGTGCCAGGCTAGGTGTAATTTGAGGCTACTAGGCGTTTGGAGGCAGTCGCCCTTGGCAACAACGGATGGTGGAGGAGCAACACTTAACGAGCGGAGCGCTGGGCAGCTAAAACACACATTGCTTAAAGTGGGAGCTCGCCAGCAGCGCTTGCCCCAACGGCCTGTTAAAGGCTACACTGGGGATCGTTTTGTCTTTGCAGCTGGAGAGCGGCAGGCGCACGAGCGAACCGTTCTCCAAGCCCGGCGCGGGCCGCTTGGAGACGCCGCCGCCGTCGCGAAACGAGGCCGCCCCGTCCCCCGAGCTGGACACGCCGAGCGACGACGCTGGCGGTGCCGGCGGCGGCAGCGGCGGCGAGGCCATCATCTACACGCAGCCCGGCGATGCCGACGCTGCCCCTGACAGGTGAGCCGCACAGCGCGGTACGGCCGCCATGGCCGTCCCAGGTTGGTCACCGGGAGAGATTCGGGGACATTTTTTTTTTTACGGGAAATGAAGCCCCCTGCATACGGAGTCTCACCGGCATTCCTCCCCAAGGTCTAGTTCTTTCGTGCACGGCAGTGCAGAGACGAGCAACCGAGATTTGGGACGGCAACATATTTTATAAACTGGTCCCAGGATTAAAATTAAAACAAATGTTTTTATTTTAGAGCTACGTGGCTTTTCTTCAGAAGTGACCTGGCTATCACAAATTATAGCTCAACGAAGCGGCTTATCATCAAGTGTAAATTTATAGCAGCCAAATAGTCTCAACTATTTTTCCGGAGGACCCAGAGAATAATCCACGCGACCACGGGGAGAGAGACACGCAGACCCCAAATATACAGCAGCGCCTGGGTCAGGATCAAACCTACGACTTCTTGCATACCACGCGAGTTAACATTTCCTAGCCACCGTGGCGCACCCCCTGTTCTCTCCCCATTGGGACGGCGCTGGCTATGAGCTGGTTACTCGCTCTGGAGCCCCCACTCGGGGGGGTGAGGGGGCCGAGGAGCGGGCAGCCGCTGACCGTGCACCCCATGCCCTATTCAGCTGTGCAGTCGCACGTGGAGCTGAAGGTGTTGTAGCTATAGGTGTTCCGTTATAATAGGTATCGGAATTGAATACGATGAGTGAAGTTGTAATTCCAGTAAGTTAATGGGTGTTCGGTTATAATAGGAGTTAGGTTGTAACAGGTTTTAGGTTGTGTTCGACTGTAATAGGTGTTGAGTGCCGCGTTGGGACAATGCATTGGCGAGCAGCGCGGAATCTTAAATTTATGTCGGCGATGTCGGCGATGCTACGGCCGTGGTGTAGTGGGCTCGCTCACTGGACTCGCAATCCAGCGGTCGCCGGCTCCATTCCATCTCAAGTTTCTTGAATCCGCCACCGCCACCTCCTTCCGCTCAGCGCTACAAGCGGGTTCACCGCAGTCTCGTCGATCGGCAGGTCGCGTGTGTGGCGAGGTAAAGTGTGGGTACGCCCCCACCCAGGTCACTCTTGCAAGTGAGACTATCCTTGTCTCTTTTGAGTTTTCACCTGGTTCGGATGTCGGTCCAGTTTTGGAAGAGTAGGCCAAACATACTACTGGACTGGAGACCGAGAGGACCTTCTGCTAGCAGTGACATGAGCAAGTGATTGCAGTCCTGCACCTTTACCTTTTTTACAGATTGATTAGTGGATCATTTTGTGGATGGCAGTACTGTGGTGGTGGTGGTGGTGGTGGTTTTTGTTGTCAGTGACTACCAGGTGACGGAAATCCCCAAAAGCGTGCGCGGCAAGAGGAGCCCACGAGCCCACGCGAGGGCCAGCCCCAACCATGTGTCCAGCCACAGCCCGGCCCACGACGTCACAGCCAGCTTGCCCCCTCCGCTTGCTGGTCAGTCTGTTAGACGTCGCAGCCGGCCTGTCCCCTGCCTGATGGTTAGTCTCCGAGACCTTTCATTGTAAAATGGAGAGAAATGCCGATAGAATACCGCGGTGTCGCACGTACGCGGATACCAACTGGCTTTGCCATCCACGCTGGGGCCGTGGATGGCAAAGCCAGTGTGTTTTATGACCGTGCGGGTTTTCTCTGCTGTGCTGCTGCTGCGCCGCTCTCCGTCGCGTTTTTGAGTTGTGCCTCCTCCTGCGTGTTGCTGGGCACAATGTCCGACTTTTGTTTTCTCCTCCGTGCGTTGGCAGCTTCTTCAGGAACCGATTTTGATGACGGTCGAGTTATTGTGTACTAGAAGACTTGACATAACGATGGCAATGGCGCGTGTCCGCCATCACTCGTGACGTTTCACGTTACCCCCCCCCCGCCCCCCAGAAACCACTTGACTTCGCACGGTGGGTCACGTGACGGAATCCGTGTCCTCGCCTGCGTCTCGCGAGAACTCGGGTGCAGCAGGGACTCGGGTGCCACTGCTCACAGGCTGATTGGAATGTTTGTGGTGTGACAGATTTGGAGCGGCCAGACCTCCTCGGTGCGGAGATGTGTTCCGAACTGTCCAAGATTGAGGAGGATATTGAGGACGAAGATAAGGACGAGGACGCTGAGGAGGTTCATGATGATAACGAGAAGGAGGAGGAAGAGGAGGAAGAGGAGGAAGAGGAGGAAGAGGAGGAAGAGGAGGAGGAGGAAGAGGAGGAGGAAGAATGTACCGCTCTGGAGGAGGAAGAGGAGCCATCTCAAATGCCCAAGCAAGAGACCTTCTTGAAACAGAACTTTGAAACACTGGCAGACTTCGTCCGCAATGGTGCGCGTGCGCGCACTCTCGCTCACACACTGATACCTACAGGGCATTGCTGGGCGGATTCACATGGCTGTGTCAGCGTGCCACCGCATCTCATGGCACTGCACAGATAACTGGGCATGTTGATTGCTTATGGGGGGGGTATATGGGTATTTGTGCGAGTCAAGGTTTCTTGCTGAGGTCTATAGGTAGCTGCACTAGCGTATGGGCCCAATGTTGTGATTTTATGGGTATCTGTGTGAGTCTGGGTTTGTATGTGGGTCTGTTTACAGATAACTTGTCGGCATATAGATGTTTGGCCAATGCCGGTTACATTGTGGTTTTTGTAGCTACTTGCATGCTTAAACACCCACTCACATACAGTCACACTCACCCTCGACAGAACAGGGGGATAACATACAAAATGTGTCGGGAATCGAAACCAGGCCCTTCTCGCTGCTCGGCGCGCGAGTGCCACTAATGCGCCTCCACCAGCTTTGCCGGCCGTGTCGATCGCGAATGGGAAAACGGTGACCGCTTCCCACAGCGCTGAGGCTCCTGGAAGGAAGGGGGTGGGGGAAGCTGGCCTTGGCCCATTGTTGCATCACCGTTTTTTTCCATTTTAATTTCCCTTCCAGAGCTGTTCGACCGGAGCCTGGAGGGGCTCTGTCCCACCCCGCAGCCGAGGAAGGAGATCGCGCTGAACCCCCGCCTCAGCATCTCCTCGCGCTTCCTCTTCAAGGCCTTCCGCACGCAGCCCAGGTGTGAGGGCGGCGAGGCTGCGCATCCACCTCCATCCATCTACCTCCATCTCCAATTATCTCTATCTATCTCCCACCTGGTTTAACGACGCGGCCGAGCGGTAGTGCACTCACCGCTCATTGCAGAGGTTTGCGGTTTGAGCCCAGCGGCCACCCTGGTTAATGCTGTGAACCGTGAGCGGCTTGATGTGTTTGTCCAAAAATCTAAAATGAACGAATGTGACACACTTTTTTTTGGGAAAGTACAACCGGCTGGTTCTGTTTGACTGCGTAGGGAAGGGCGCCAGCTGCCCATGAGACCGCGACTGTTGCCGGCGAACCCACCGACGCTGTTGGACAGGGCTGCGACGCAGGAGCTGCCACTGGGCCGGCGCGAGTGCCAATCCCACGCGTCCGAGACCCTCGGCACGACCCGGCTCTTGCCTCCTCCCGTGAGTCGCTCTCGGGGCCGTCCCGAGTCGTGACGCCGAGCAACCGGGTCCCTACCGTCGTGTTCATCATTCTCCCCGTGCGATGCCAATCGCGCCATTGGCGTCACGTTCTCATGAGAGGGAAGGATCCGTTCGGAACTGCCAACAGAGCACTGCAACCCCCCCCCCCCCACCACCTTGTTGGAGAATGGGCCACAGCAGCGGATATTGCAGAGCTATCATGACAAACTTTACTAATTGGCTGCCGGGTGGTGGCGGGTTTAACGACGCATTTAACTAAAAACAAAAGCTTGTATAATGGATGATATTGGTCGCGAAAGCCTACGTGTTAAATTGCACAGCTGCTTCTGAGATCCCTTCAAGTGGCCTCTAGTCCACAAAGTAGGGTTGCAGCACTCTCTCAAGCGCACCTGCTACAAAGAGTGATGTTGGTCGTATGTCAGGCAAGATTCTCAAAACTGTAATTTATCCAAATCAAGTGCAGGACCACCTCTAACGGCATGCTTTTTGTGTGCGGTCATTGGTGACCGGAGCCTGAGACGATTAACTCACTGCACTTAAGATCCCAAGTTTATTCACAGGCAAAACCTAAAACCTGGATTGGAACCCAAGATCTCAGCGGTGCCGGCTCAGCCGCCTCTGCCCTCCGAGCCACTGGTTTCAACTCATTCTGGTCCTGACTTTTGGTTGACATGATTTCTCGTTGTCTCGTTGGGTGGCAGAAGGACCCGGGCAGCGAGGAGAGGAGCCTGGCACTCGCGGGAAGTCACGATTGCGACAAAATCGCCAAGTCCCAGTCCGACCACATCGGCAACACCGAGGCAGCGGGAGACGGAAGTACGGGGCCCGTTGTTCCCGGCCTGCAGCCCCCTGCAGTGAAATCGTCATCAGCTCCTGACCTCGGTGATGCAGGTGATGATGATGACTTGTTCTTGATAGAGCACCCTTGGTACATTTGAAGGGTGCCTCCAGTGGCAGCTGCTGTCCCTGTGTGGCACGAGATGAGTTAGCACCTGGTCTGCAACCGGGCGTTTCAATGTATTGGCAGTATACCGGTGGTGCGTGGTGGTAAAGAGAAGTAAAGTAAAAAAAAACACAATCTTTTTTTTATTTTCCCACGATTCGCAACCCCGGTCAGAAAATCTTGCGGGGGTGGTGGTGCGTCAAAATCAGTTCTCGTGATGTCGAAGCAGTCGTATAGACGGGATGTTTATACGAGCGGCTGAACACGAAGCTTCACAGTCTGTTGCCGTATAGCAGCAACCCAGCCCTGATGACGATTGACTGGCTCCCTGTTCTAAAGGCACATTTTGACTCGTTCCAGAGATTTGGGTCGGACGGTTCCTCGATTTAACGGAACCAAATCAATGGTCAATATTGAGTGGACCCTGGCGGTGGCCACTGGTGAAAACTAGGCTTCGACATGAGTGATAAATCCAAGTATTTACACGGTTAACTCACCCGCAGGGTGACCCGTCGAATTCGAACTGAGAACGTCTGAGACGAGCAACGAACGCGCGTCCGCTGGCCCGCGCGCCACTGCGGCTTGTAAGCGCCACAGTGCCCGTGAACAAAGTGACCTGCGGACCTGCGGCCTCCACTATCCCCTGGCATCTCCGGACGTAACGTGTTTGGTGACAGCAGTTCAGGCTGTTTGTTTTCTCGTTTTCAGCCACGCAGCTTCACGGTCGCCCGCTGTGGACCGAGACAGAACGGAGGGCGCCGCAGCGCAGGCTGCTGCCTCTGTCTCCTGGCTGCGGCGGCAGCGACGCCGTGCCGACGGCTTCCGAGGAGGGCGCGTCGCCGTGCGCGTCGGGCACGGAGGGGCCAAGCGCGGACACGACGGAGAGCCTCGCCGCGAGATGCGCAATGAGCGGCGACGACGACGCCACCTCCGTCGCGAAGGCCGCCTTGACGGACACGCTCGACGATGGATCTCGTGCCGCCATGGAAGGCGCCGCCAAGCGGAAAAAGGAAACGGCTCCGGCCAACGACGTCGCTGCGCGTGAGAGAGGATTCGCCAGGTCATCCCAAGGTCAAGAGCGGGCATCGTTCGGCAGCGTACCCCCCAGCTGTTCCGCTCCATCAAGGCTGTCGAAGAGTGACGGAGCGGAGGAGGAAGCTCCAAGCAAGCTCCTCGACAGGACGATGATGCCGCCTCCGGACTTGAGCGCGTTTGGAGCAAACCCAACAAAGCAGAGACCGAGTTCCGCGCGGCGCAGCGTGAAGCCGGGGGGTCCCTCCGTGCCGTCCACAGAGTCCAGAGTGAAGCCGGCGTTGAACTCCGGCAAGCGGGTGTGCGCTGAAGGTGCCGGCGGATCGGTGGGGAGAGCACAACGCGACGTCGATTGTGAATCGGAGAAGGGAATCTCAAGTCCTACCGATGGAAGTTCCTCGCAGGTAGCCGACGCAAGAGAATCGGAGTCGCAGCTACGCTGCGATGTAACACCGCAACGTAACGTTGCAACGCACCGAAGCGATGCCACCCAGCGCGGCGATGCCAGCGAGAGAGGCCACCCCGAGAACGGCAAGCCACAGCCAAACCAGAGCTCCTCTCGGGCTCATGCCGCTCAAGACAAACCATTGGCTGCAGAGCAGGACTCCAATCATTCCGATGCCTTTGCTACAAAGGTAAATCCCGCAGGTGATTCTGTAATTGCGGAAGTAGCTCACGGTAAAGGGCTTGCTGCGAGACGTCGGGTTGCGATCCACAAAGAGCAAGCGGCCAGCGCTGCTGCGGACAACGCGGACTGCAGCGATGACGCGAGGCTTCTGGGAGCGCAGCGTCGAGGCGTCGGAGCAGCGCCGTGCGGCGGCAGTGTCGTCGCCACATCCTGCGGAGCGGCTGCCCGGTCGGGCAATGGCCAGGCGTCTGTAGAAGGCGGAACATTCGTCGTGAATATTTCGGACAATTTGAAAAGCGCCCGGGGGTCGGGTGTGCGCGTCGACACTCCGGAAAATCTGCGGAACGGAAACGCGGCGCCCGACTCGATCGCACGTGCAAGCGGCGGGGGTGTTGAGAGGGGCAGCTCTAGCCAAGTGAGCTGCGCCGGGGCGCCGCCACCTCGTACGGAAATGCTTGTCAAGAGGGGCTCTGATAAGCCCAGAGTCGAGTCGGACCGCAGACCGTCAGGGCGGACGGCGGGAGTGGGGAGAACGTCCACGCCTGAATCGGCCTCCTCCTGCCCGGTGCCCGGCGACGCGGCGTCTGTGCCGGGACAGACGAGGGAGCTGGTGAACGGCCGTACGGGCGGGGGTGGCAACCCTCCTTCTGCGGAGGCCTCCGCGGACGGAAAGGGGGGCGGCTCGGCCTCGGGGCTCTCTGCGACAAAGGAGGCGTTTGCGGGCAACTTAAAGAACAATGGCCGCCTGAAGTGCATCGAGATCTCTGACGGAAGCAATGGAGCACCAGGACAGCTTACTGGAGCTGCTGAGGACGCTGCTGCCGCTGCTGAGCATACACAGTTGAACAGGAAGAACCTCTTGCCCGGCGACCGAGAGCTCGACGGTGACACAGGTGCGTGCATCCTCGCTCGTTAACCGTAGCAGCCCGGCGCGTGCGACGCAACCGCCGAGCGACTGTCCGCGCGTGCTCGCTAATTCGCTCGCTCCACGTAAACATCACAGAAATTTACCTTCCGAAGCCCTTGTGGCTCGATGTCAAAACTTGACGTTGGGGCCCTGACAATGTCAGATGTTGCAATGCCTCGCGTGACGACGTCACGCCGAGTGTCTTGCCAAAATTAAACTGGTCGTAGGCTGAATATACTCGCATCACCATCATCATTAACGCCGCAATATGACAAAAATTACTCTCATTAAGGGGTTGTAAAGTATCACGCGTGAATGATTTAGCATCTGCGGGGTGATGATTCTAATTTCAGTGCCATTTATATCTATTTAAATGGCTCCCCAATTACAGGATTTATCAGAGGAAGTCGGAGGATGGTGATTGTGGTGATAAGTCATGGAGCGTGTATTAATGCACTTGCATGCGTGCCCGCGCACGTGCCCACTTGGCTCTACAATCATTTATGGAATCGATTATCGGTCGTGAAAGCCATTAAACAATCTGTAAATTAAATTCGGTTCGACTTGGGTCACGATTTAGCCGATCGAAGCGAACATTGGAGCCGCGCGACGCACATGCTCCCATGTGATTGGTCACATGACCACACTAACTTCTTTACAACTATGTTTTGTGCTTAGTTTGTTGTCCTTCCCCCGCACCTCCGATTAGCACAGTTGGCTACGTACGGTGCGAAAAAAGTTCAACGTACATACATCGACTCACACAGAGACCCATAGACTCACATAGAGACCCTGAGTTTGATGTCCTTCCCCCGCACTTACGATTAGCACGGTTTGCTACGTACGGTGCGAAAGAAGTTCAAGGTACATACGTTAATTGGCTGTCGGGTTGAGGAGGATTTTTTAAAGACATTTTTACCTGCCGATAATATTAGTCGTGAAAGCCTAACGAGAACATGAATATGTCATCGGGATTTTCATTATGCGCGGGCGATTATCGACGACGCCAGAATCCAAAATTAACGACCCAACTCCCAGGGTGTAACCTCACGATGCCAATTGGACCTTGGGAAATATTTGGAACAGATGGAGAGGGAGAGCAGGAGGGAGTTTGACAGACGGGGATGGGGGAGTAGGAATGTTAATCCTCGAGACAGCGTGGCAGGATGAGGAGCGGGGATTACCGCCGCCGGGAATGAGCAGGAATGGAGTTGTAGCTCGCAGTCGTACTGCGCCGCCATGTCGCGCAAGCTCCGGCATTTGTGTTTTGCGTCCCGCAGACGATGGCGGACGCCGCTCGCATATTTGTGTGTCTCTAGGAACGGCGGGAAGAGTTAGCGAACGCGACGTGAGAATATAGGTTATGTCGCCCCGCAATTATCGCCAGGCCAAGAACTGTGTTTGCCAGTGAAATCCACGTATTCGCTTGAGCAAAATAAAAAAAAAGGTGATGCTGCTGCGTTTGGCAGTGGGTGCACAAGCGCAGTGCTCAACACGCTCGTTAGCAACACTGTATGGCCTTAAAATAAAATTAACGCAGCAAACGCAACGTGCCATCAATAAGGGCCATTGCTTGAAACGTCGCTTGACATGTCGCCTATATATACGTAGATATTTTTTTCTTTGAAGGTTCCGCACAGTGCTATTGACAGACACGTTGAGTTGAAGAGATTCCCTGCTGCTCAAACGAGCCACATTGAGGCACCGCCGCTGCTGTTTACAGCCCCTGCAGATAGCCGGTGCTCGTGATTTCACATTCATATGGCGGCGGGGGAGGGGGGGGGGGCAAGTCTCTCCATAGGGCAACCACCATTGTTGACCTCCCCACAAAGGCGGTGCAAATTTTATCGACCCTGGAGGCGACGATGTTGCCGAGTCCGCAACCCCCTGGCCGGGATGTGAACTCGGGAGCTTTCCGATTGCTAGCCGCCCGCTATGCCGCCGCCACCACCACGCCAGCCGTGTGACTGAATGTTGAGCGTCGTCGCGTTGCGCTGTGCATTGTTTCAGGGCTGCCCGTGACGGAGGAGGATTGTCAGCTGGTCCTGAGCGAGCTGCGTTCCGCGGTGCGCAAAGCTCTACGCCTCTACAACCGGGTAAGACGACAGCGGGTTACGTGAGGTGTATACACGTGAGGTGTATGCACGTTAAGTGTACGCACGTAAGGGCTACGCACGCAAGAGTTTCGCTACACGAGCGGTACGCAACGCGAGGTATACGCACCACACCAGGTACTCATTTGGGGCTTATTCGACCTCGGGGAGGTCCAGGACCGGATGTGGTGGCACAGCGGCCTTGGCCATGCAGACTTGTCCATCTTGAAGGAGTCTGTCCGGGCGTTGTGTGTGCGATGTTCGTGGTCGTGTCCGCGTGGTTCTTTCCTGGCTCCCTGGGCTGCTCGCAGGCTCGCCGAGCTGCTCGCTGGCTCACAGGGACGGGCGGGAGCTGGCGGTCGCGATGTGAGCGGCGCGTGGTTGTCCGCGTGCTGCAGGTTTCCGCCGGAGCCTCTTGAGAGGGCCGGAGGCTCTGCTGCAGAGAGAGAGGCGGCTCGCAATTCGAGGGTTGCGAGTTCAAATCCTGGTTGGGGGGGTTTGATTCACCGGGGCTTGTTTTAAGCGAGTGCCGCTCTGTGGGGGAAATCAAAAGTGGGTTGCCCTACGGATAAACTCACCCCTCTCATAGGAATGTATCCACCACTAGACTCAGGGCTGTAAACGGGAGATGAGCACCGTTGCAGCAATGCTCACCGACTCTTTTTTTTTTTCAACTCTGTGACCGCGCCAGGTTTCCACGGCGGACTCCGAACAGCACGCACAGACGGCCGCTGTGCTGCTCCACAGCTTCTCCTCCCTGGGGGCGGAACTGGAATCTGTCGCTCGTCTGTCGAGTCCTGAGCGGGAGGGCGAGCCCAGCGATGCCGCTGGCGCCGCGCGCCCTGCCGTGCAGAGAGGCTGCCAACAGCAGCAGCAACCGAATTCTGGTTTCCGTAAAGCACATGTCTCCATCGCGCAGGGCGCAGGCTCACAGAGCCAGCAGCAGCAGCAGCCGTGTGCGGAGCTGCCCGGCTGGGCGGACGGTAAGGCCGTTCACCTGCTGGAGCATTACTCCGACCTCATGGTGCAGCTGGTGGAGCGTAAGATGGCGTGCACCGCGTGCAAAACCACGCGAACCTAAACCACTGCCCGCCAGGGCCTCGTGTGCATCACCGGTGCGTGCTCGCAATGCAGTCGGATGATAACAACCCTTTTCCACCGCACACCCGAGCCGTACCACAGCACAGCACGGCAACGGGTGCTTTTTTTCACCGGCATTTTGCCGAGCCGGAACCTTGAGCCGAGTTCTACGCCGGCCTCGTCATCTGAATCGGGCTCGGAGCCATCACCGCGCGCCATCTACGCGCATCTCAGCGTCCCAGCCGGGCGCGCCCTGCGCCCCGCGCTGACTCGAAACGGTGCCAGCACGGCTCGGTTTCTGCGAGTGGAAAAGAGGTGTGGAGGGATGAGGGACGGGGGACAATCTTGCGTTGTTTGTATGTTTGGAATGAACGCGTGTGAGAGCATATCACTCAAAAATACATCCGGGGGTATGTCTTGTGATCTTGATAGCCACGTGGCAGAGACCAGATTTTTGTGTAACTTTATCGACACCGGGCAGTACATCTTGTAGTCTGGAGACTTACGGGAACTCCGCTGCCGTATGCCGGTCACCTGGTAGCCCGGCAGGTTTGGGGTCTGAGTCTCATTCACAAAAAGTAATCCCCAGCAATCCCTCGGCCCTTCGTGCATAGGCCCCCCCATGGGCACCACACCGTGTGCACCGCCCAGCAGGGTGGTCCTGCCAGGACGTAACGAGCAACAGGCGCAGCCCTGCAATCGCTCGCTCACGCCACCGCCGGCAGAAGGGCCTCTACCGTAGAGGGGGGACCTCTAGAGGAGACCGTCTAGAGCAGGGGTCGGGCCATCAAAATAACATGACGAGATATTTGATATGAATTCCATAAATAAAAACTCGATATTTCAAGAGCTGCTTATTAAATAGCCGGGTGTGCCTCCAGAGCCACAGGTTGGCGACCTCTGATTGAGAGGGTATTTGGCCTACTCTTCCACGCTGGCAAAATATCTGCGCTCCGTTTAGATAGATATCACCTTGTTATCGAACTGCTAATTCACTCTGCCGTCCAGCTCTGTGTGTGTGTGAGACGTATTTTGTCGATGTCTTTGTTCGCTTGTGGTTTGCAAGTATATGCCTACGTATGTGAGTTTTCCCATTCTTTAGCCTCCGATTGTTTCAGAACTAGATCAATGCTCCGTTGATAGAGCAGCGTTGACACTCTGCTTCTCGTGTGTGTTTTAAGTGTATTTCCAAAAAATACTGTTATATTTTCCATGTAAATGAAGTATTCGAAGCTCGTGGGAGACGCGGACGTGTGGAAGTGTTTTGGCACAGTTTTAAACGGCACATCTTGCAGTGCAGGGATGCGTCCCCGATTTATTATTCCCGTTTCGTCAGAAAAGTCAGTAAATCCGAGCCTGGATACAAAAATTTGGGACCGAATCGATCCGATGACGCGAGGTCACGGGGCAGTGATGTCGCTTTCGAGCACCGTCACTTCCGAGCCGTTGTCGGCAACAGCGGCGCCGTCGGGGCGACGTGGTCGACAACGCGGCACGGCGGCGAAATTTTCCCCTTTACGTCACATTTTTTGTTGGAAACTCTTCCTCCAGTCATTCACACAGCTTACCGTTGCGTTTTTAAACCAGCAGCGAGTTGCTGCTCACGTCAGACGCGCGTTCGTCAAAGCTTTCGTACCGTCTTCAAATAAAGTAGTTGGCATTGAAACTGCCGCTTGTAAATCGAGGTTTTCTCTTAAATAAATATTTTGCATCACTTTGTTAACCAGAACGCTCGCATAATTCTATTTTGCGCCTCAATCCACACGCTCCGTGGGCTCTTTGCCGGATCATTGCATCGCAAGACCGAGAGAGAGAGAGACGGCGAAGACAGCTTGGGCAGGCCTTCATCCAGCAGCAGATAGAGCGCGGCCGCTGCTGACGACAACGTGGCAGATCGGCGCAAAACAATGATTTCTTCGATGAGTGTAGGCAGTAAGCGCTGAGCAGGTGCAATGCAAACCATAAACGAAGCGCGACGGGAATCGGATCAATAATCAGTCAACGTAAATCAGTCGGTGCGAATCAAGCGAGATGTATTGTCCCTGGCGATAACGCGCGTCGCCGTCGTAGCGAGGGGGAATGCGTAGGTAGCGGCTAGATCACGTACAGGATAAAAAAGGACGCATGTGTGCACAGTCGTTTTCATAGGTTCTCTAAAAGAGTCCAATTTCGAGATCGCCCACCAATGCATTAGTAACTTTTTTGTAACAATGGACTGCAGAAACCCCCTCAGAGAGTACAGCAAGGGAAGAGAAACACGGGTGATTATCAACAGCTAGTGGTTAAACAGTGGGGTGGGCCCACCTTTCCAAGGCAGGAGTGAGGGAACATTTTCATCTGTACCCAGGGGCAGAAGAGCAACTCAATGAGACACCGATAACGCGGCGAGGGCTCCCCCCCCCCGTGGCGTGCGACACCTGGGCCTGCAACTCCTCTCGCGAACGTGGCGACGTCGCGGCCGGCACGAAGTGAAGCTCCTCACAGCGGCTGGACCCCGAGCGTCCGTCACTTGCAGGCTGTTACGAGGTCGCGGATTCTCATTTTGGCCACAGGCCGCGCGAAGTTCGTGGGCCGTGTGGCATTAAGTTGCGGCGCTCGCTCCGCGTGGGGCCTTCCATCAATCCAGCACCTGGAGGCGGTGGAGGGTTGCTCGATCGCCCTACATGTTGTGAAAATCTCTTCCCGTGGGCATCGAGGGAGCAGCCCCCCGTGTACCCCCGGCTCACCAAAATGTGGACGAATTTTCATCTGTTCCATCTGTTTTATATAGCATTGCCCTCTCCCGTGTGTTGGTTTTCTCCCGAGTGCTCCACTTTCCTCCCGCGCGCATGAACACTCACGAATTGGCTGAAAACATCTCAACATATGTAGGACCACAGAACTCCTGCGATTGTTGGCGTCGGCTCGCCCGCCCAGCTGCTTTCCTCCTTCCCGCTCGTTCGTGGTTTGCCCTTGCGCCTCCGAGCCGTCCTGTCTCCGCGAGAGGCGAGGAGTGGATGCTGCACAGAAGCACGTCTGCGAGTTGGGAGTCATCGTTAAGCAGCGATGGGGCCACGTGGAATGGAAGTTTTGAGTCCGTATCCAGCTCAAGGGTCATGATTTTCCACTCAGAGCGATTTGATTGTACGGTGGTTGTACGGTAATTTTTGTAATCATTACAGTTCCTGAACGGCAGAGCTTTCAGCAGAGCGCTGCAAATTACACCCCCCGAGAGATACGCAGATAATTATCAACAGAAATAACCCCAGCGAGCGACAATACGACGAAGTACGGGAAGGAGAATGTCATGGGTCGTACCACGCAACGTTACTGCACACGAACCCCCACCGGCCCTGTCGCGGTCACCACAGCTCCTGTAAAGGGAAAACCTCGGCTTCCAAATTCCGAACAGCACGAAGCACAACAGCCGAAGAGGAGGAGCACGCGGAGACTGCTTCTGTCTTAACGTTGAACCGCAGCGGCTCTCGGTCCTCCGCTGCGGTGATCCAGTTCGGGAGACATTCAGCCCAAGGGGGTGGCGAAATGCTACCCGTATCCACCATGGGCCATGTCCACCACTCTGCAGTGTCCACCACTCGCAGAATCTACGGTGGGAGATGGATCTCTTTGCGCATCCATGTTTATTTGTCACGCTCCCGTGGATGTTTCGTTCCTCTTGTGGTTTTTATCGAATACACTACGACGGTTACCCATATTAACGAACAATTTAACGTAAAAGAAACAAACAAGCTACCACCATGACCTTGCTATCGGACGGCTTTGTGGCCTCAAGATAAAAATGCTTCAGGAAAATTGCCGTTGGCACGTCCCCCTCCCCCCAGGTGGTTACCGGTGGCTCGAGGACCACATGGAGAGAATTGAAGACATCTCAAAATATATATTTTAAAGACGCCAAAAATAAAATCCCAGATGGGGAGAGGCCCTGTTGGATACGAGCCGTGGCAGTGGGGGGGACAACTACCCTACCTGCCACCCCCCCCCCCCCCCATCTCTGCGGCCCAGAGAGGCCCAATAACAAGTCGCTCCTTCGAAAGCAGAAGCCCCCTTCATGGGCGATTGCCTGCCACGTGCCCGTTTGCTTGGTAGATGTCTCGGTTGTATAGCGTCAGCAGTTTTTTTTGTGACTTGCGATCATCACATTTGTACCCCCCCCCCCCCCCCCCCCCGTGTCGGAGCTTGACTCGCGTGGACATTTAACCGGGCCCTGTGATACTTTCCTGATGCCGCTGGATTCTGTTACCCGTGTGTGTGTGTTCGTGCGTGTCTACGGCACCTTTATCAATCCACTGCTGGATGAAGGCCTCCCCCATGCCACCTCAGTTGTTTGACCGTGCTTCAGCACGCTGGTCAGTGCGGATTGGCGAAGGTGTGGATCGCCCAGGATTTGTTAGGATATCGCGTGCCACTGATATTGGCCGTGGCTGGGACGTGGAAGTCGTGGTCGCCGGGCTTTTAACGCACTGCGCTAACCACTGTGCCGCCGCACGCCACCCCAAGTGCCCGAACAATGTGTAAACATTTCTGACATCTGAGGTACGACGTCTGTGTGTTCCACGTCACCCGTATGCGGATTTGATGGGAGTTCCTCAGTGCCGGCAGGGCAGCTCTTGATTTGAGTCTGGTTAGAAGATGTGAAACCGGTCAAGTACCAAGTCCTTGCAGAACTAAGCTTTTGACCGGAACAGACGACAGTAATTCACGATATCAATAGCTAAACATCTGCCTGGCCTGTCCAGAAAAAAAAGATCTCCCACAGTCGGCACACCACGTCCAGTATATCACCCTTGCTATGGCTGCGGCTGCTTACTCGTCACGTCTCCGACTCCAGTCCAACGGCAAACATCACACGCACCAGTGCGGTGAAGAAATTCCTCCCCGCTGCTATACAAACTCCTGGCTCTCGCGTCGTCTGACCCTGGAGAGTCCGGGTGCCAGAGGCAGCTGAGGCCCCCACAGGGCGTACCCTGACCAGGGCCGCTCGTGGAGTCGCACGGGCCCCACCGCGGGCTCCAGCAGCGAGTGTGGCCGCTGCCGCTGCTGCTGCTGCGCCCCTCTGTGCTCCCCGGGGTCTCTGTGCCTGTAGCGCACCGCGTCGCGAGAGCAGTCGCACGACTCCGATCCGGATAAATCGGGCGGCTCGAAGCTTGCCGCTTGCGGCGCCCTGCGGTGCTGGGCAGGCGCGACGACGACGCGGCGGCGGTCTTCATCGTGAGCAGCGACTGTAAGGGCAGCAGCGGTGATGGCAACGGCGCTGTGGTCGTGGTGGTTGTTGTTGTTACTTCTTCTGCGATCCGCCGCCGGCCCCGGCCCGTTCCCCCCGTGCGGAGGGGTTGCCGCATTTGCGCCGTGTCGGTGCCGGCTCGACGCCTCGGCGCTGTCGCTCCCGCTTTGGCAAAACGCGGACGAGGATTTGCCGTCGCGCGGTTTCGGTATCCAGCCGCCGACGTTGGCGTTCCACCGGTTTTCCGCCGGCGTGCAGGCCACGCTGAGCGGCTGGTTGGACGAGAGCAGCGGGAAGGCTTCGTACTGCTGCCGGACGCAGGCCCTGACGTCCCGGCTTCCGCGCGACCTCCCGTGACTCGGCGAGTCTGGCCGATGTTCGAGACCGGCCGGACAAGCGGCCGACGCGTCCGGGTAGACGCCGTATTCCCTGTGCGGCGACGGCTCGCTGCTGTGCCGCTGGGGGCGCGGGCCGCTCTGTTGTTTGTGCGCGTGGGTGTCCCGATCCGTGCGTTCCCAGTTGGAGAGCGGGCCTTGGTCAGACACGCAGCTCTGTCTGGTGGCGCACTCGGAGTACAGAGAGTTTGAGCCGGGGATTGACAGTTTGTAGAAGTCGTCCAGGAGCCCGTTCAAATCTCCATCTGTCGCAGCCCGCCTGCCTCGCACGATCTTCTGTAATGGGCACAGAGAGACGCAGCGGCGAGTCAACTCTCTCGCCAGAGTATTGTCGGGTTTGTGCCGCGCGTCGGTTCGGTGCGGTGTCCGGCGTTTCGCTGCACAAGCGGGGAGCTTTTGCAAAGGACGTCGTGTCGAACAAGGACAACGCACAGTACAACCCCAAACACGTGGGGGAGCAACACAGAGGCACAACCATGCAAACCTACTCGGGCGCTCGTGTTTACGCACGCGGCCTGTAAATCCAGCACTGTGGAGGCGAGGGTTGGTGGATCGCACCAATGTTGCGAAACTATCGTCCCGTGGGCATCGGGGGGGTTACCATACCCTGGCTCACCAGGAGAAGGCGGAACAGCAAGTGGACTAATCTGCATCCATTTGTACGGGGAATAGAGCGTTGCCCCCTCGCACATGGCGTGATTTTTTCTCCGGGTGCTCCGGTTTCCCTCCCACTTGTATGATGAACACGTTATGATTAATCGGACTGAAAACATCTTACAAATTAAAATCCCAATGTTAGTGGCAGGACCCTCTTGCAAAAATATTATTACGACTCTGTGTGTATAGATAAGTAAATTATTGTTATTGCCATCCCATGCCCCACCGCCTGCTCGACGGCCCGCCCACCCGCCCGGCCGCGCTGCGCCACGCATGCACCTGGCCGCGTCACCTTCATGGCGCGCAGCTCGCGGGGGGGGATGCAGGACGGGTCGGGGCTGCTGTGCCGGTGGCGGGGCGCCAGCGTCTCCTGCAGGAGGCCGTGCCACTGCACGGGCAGCCCCGTGAAGCGCATGCCCTGCGGGTCGTAGCCCGTGTGCACGCGGTGCACGAAGTTGCGCGGCGCCGAGATCTCGGGCCGCCGACGCTTGCGGCCGAACATCGCACGGCCGCTCCCTGCCGAGGCCCGCGCCGCCGCCGCCGGGAGGTTGCGCACTTGAGTGCGGTTCTGCGGGGAAGCCGCACGAGCGCCTGCCCGGTGGTAACGAATGGAAGAGAGGGCAGAGTTATTGCGCGCTCCGGTTTACTCATCCGGTGCCATTGTTCTTTACTTATTTATTTGGGTGGGATGGGATGGAGTTGCTGCGGGGTGGGGGGGGGGGGGTTCCGCTGCGTAATCTGTCCCAAGGGTTTTGTCGTGAAACCCTCCACCACCCGACATTCTGACTTCCTGCTGTCTGACCTATTTTTGCGCATGATGGCAGCAGCAGCAGCAATGTGGTTCAGGAGTTAAATGCCAAAGTCTAGGGATGCTGCTGGCCACAATGAGAGGACTTCAGGAGAGAGAGAGTTCGTGTCGTTTTGCCGTTCCTCCTCCGTTGACTCCAGTGGGTTAACTACACGGTCCATAGTTTGGGTTGCATTGCCACAGTCGCACCACTGTGGCTCCGTCTCTTCAATTTCCCATTCACGAAGGAGATGTGCACATCGGCCTGTTGATGATCTTCCGATGCGGTTGATGATGGTTCCACCACCGGTGTTTTCGAGGAGGAAGAGGAATGTCAAAGCCAGGATGGTGCGATGTTATTTGTGTCTCCAATGAGACGGGATCTGGGTGAGATTCTAGTTTCTGACCTGCAGATGCCTGACGCAGTTTCAAGAGAAACGGCTTGTACACAGTAGCTAATCGCTACATTTGGCTGTGGGGACTGTGCTTCAACTCATCGGGGGAGTGAGCTGCAATAATAACAGTTGGTAAACGCCTCGTACACGTGGGCATTTGAATTAGTTTGGCTGTGTCGGGTGGTAGAGGGATCTTAACGGCATGAATTTTGGGCAAATCGTTTCGTGGCCTTACCCAAAAGTCACACGAATCGTAAATAATGGAGAAATGTAAACATTTAAATACACGAGACCTCGGTGACCAAAGTATTGCGTTGAACTATTTCCTTACTGCGCACTCTCTCAAAGACACGGGGCAAGGCACCGCACTGCCACACATGGCTCGGTCACTTCTGCCACTGCATGAGCGACGATCGTCAAGCGACAAGATTAGAAAACACGGCGCTCTTGCTGGGTCAAAACGACGCCCCCCCCCCTCTGGTTCCCAATCAGTGTGGCTCAGATGCTTACACCAATGACGGATAGTTATGGAATGCGGCCCGTTTCCGAGTGGTACCATGCATCACAACATTCATTGCGCACATAGTGGGATGCCTGTCCACTAACATGCTGTGACAACACGCATCACAACACGCTACGGAAGGCACGCGCATCACAACATGCTACGAAACATGCATCGCAACATGCGACAGAACACACACGCATCACAACAAACTATTGAACACATCACAACACTCTAGGCAACACACACGCATCCCAACACACTCTGGAATACAAATGCATCACAACACGCTAGGCAACACACATCACAACATGCTCTGCAACACACATCACAAGAGGCTCTAACACAAGCATCACAACACGCTATGGAACACGAACACATCACAACACGCTAGGGATCACACACGCATAAAAACACACTATGACACCCACACGCATCACAACACATGAAGGAACACACGCATCACAACACTACTGAACGCGCACATGCATCACAACATGCTATGGAACGCACATGCAACACAACACGATCTGGAACACACGAGTCGCAACATGCTTTGGAACACACGCTTCAACACGCTATGGAACACAAATGCTTCACAACACGCTAGGGAACACACACGCATCACAAAACATCGGAACACATACGCATCACAACAAGCTACTGAACACATACGCATCGCAACACGCTACGGAAAGCGCACATCCATCACAACACGTTATGGAACACACGCATCACAACACGCCCTGGAACGCATGCACCACAACATGCTCTGAAACACACATGCATTACACCACTATCTGGAACACACGCATCACAACACGCTACGGAACGCACATGCATCACAACACTTTGGAACACACATGCATCACAAAACCCTATGGAAGACACAATGTGCGAAAGAACACAAGCATCACAACATGCTGTGGAACACACACACATTGAAACACTCTGGAACACACATGTATCACACCACGCTATGGAACACACACACATTACAACACGCTAGGGAACACGCACGAATCACAGCACGCTACAGAACACACATGCATCACAACATGCTACGGAACGCGCACACGCATCACCACATGCTCTGGAACACACATGCATCACAACACTTTGGAACACACATGCATCACAAAACCCTATGGAAGACAATGTGCGAAAGAACACAAGCATCACAACACTCTGGAACACACGCATCACACCATGCTACGGAACTCACACATGCATCACAACACGTTACAAAACACACACGCATCACAACACGTTAAGGAATGCACATGCATCACAACATGATCTGGAACACATGCATCACAACACTTTGGAACACACATGCATCACAAAACCCTATGGAAGGCACAACATGCTATAGAACACAAGCACCATAACACGCTGTGGAACACACATTACAACACTCTGGAACACACATGTATCACACCACGCTATGGAACACACACACATCACAACACGCTAGGGAACACGCACGAATTACAACATGCTATGGAACGCACATGCATCACAACGCGATACGGAACACACGCATCACAACACGCTACGGAATGCACACGCATCGCAACACGCGACTGAACACACACACATGACAACATGCTGTGGCACACACATGCCTCACAACATGCTATGGAACACAAACGCATCACAACATGCTATGGAACACACACGCATCACAATACAATATGGAACATACACGCATCACAACATGCTATGGAACACACGCATCACAACATGCTACAGAATGCACACATGCATCACAACACACAACAGAACACACACCTCAACACGCTATGGAATGCACACACGCATCACAACATGCTCTGGAACACACATGCATCACAACACTTTGGAACACACATGCATCACAAAGCCCTATGGAAGGCACAACATGCTATAAAACACACATGCATCACAACATGCTACAGAACACACACACACCTCAACACGCTACATAATGCACACGCATCACAACACGATACGAAACAGACACGGATCAAAACACGCTACGGAACGCGCACACTCATCACAACACGTTACATTACGCACACGCATCACAGCACATTCTGGAACACACACACAGCACAACATGATACATAACACGCATCCCAACACACTCTGGAACACACATGCATCACAACAGGCTCTGCAACACAAGCATCACAACACGCTATGGAACACAGATGCATGACAACACGCTAGGGAACGCAAACGCATAAAAACACGCTATGGAACACACACGCATCACAAAACGCTACGGAACACGCACACGCATAACAACACCATGGAACACACACGCATCACAACATGCTACAGAACACACGCATCGCAATACGCTACAAAACGCTACGAAACGCACACATAACAATAAGCTACGGAACACATGCGCATCAAAACACGCTAGGGAACGCGCACACGCATCACAACATACTACGGAACGCATACGCATCGCAACACGCTACTGAACACACACACATAATAACACGCTATGGCACACGCACGCCTCACATCGCGCTTTGGAACACACACGTATCACAACATGCTATGGAACACAAGCATCACAACACACTATAGAACATAAACGCATTACAATACGCTATGTAACACACATCAAAACATGCTCTGCAACACATGCATCGCAAAATGCTACGGAAAGCACAAGCATCACAACATGCTCTGCAACACAAGCATCACAACAAGTTTTGAAACGCACACGCATCACAACACTGGAGCACACACGAATCACAACATGCTCTGGAACACACGCCTTAACACGCTATGGAACACAAATGCATGACAACATGCTAGGGAACGCACACGCATAAAAACACTTTGGAACACACATGCATCACAACACGCTCTGGAACACACACGCCTCACAACATGCTATGGAACACACATACGCATGACAACATGCTATGGAACACACACGCATCACAACATGCTACAGAATGCACACATACATCACAACACACAACAGAACACACACCTCAACACGCTATAGCATGCACACACGCATCACAACATGCTCTGGAACACACAGGCATCACAAAACCCTATGGAAGGCACAACATGCTATAGAACACACACGCATCACAACATGCTATGGAACGTACACGCATTCACAACACGCTACGGAATGCACACATGCATCGCAACACGCTACAGAATACACATGCATCACAACACGTGACAGAACACACACACCTCAACACGCTATGGAACGCGCACACTCATCACAACACGTTACAGTACGCACACGCATCCCAACAAACTCTGGAACACACATGCATTACAACACGCTATGGAACACACACGCATCACAAAACACTGGAACACACGAATCACAACATGCTATAGAACACAAGCATCACAGAACACTCTGGAACACATTCATCACAACACGCTATGGAACACACATGCATCACAACACGATACGGAACACACGAATCACAACACACTAGGGAACACACACGCATCACAACACGTTACGGAATGCGCATCGCAAAACGCTATGGAACGCGCACGCATCACAACATGCTATGGAGCACACACGCATTAAAACACGATACAGAACACACAGACATCATAGCACGCTACGGAATGCATTCGCATCACACCGCGCTACGGAATGTACAGACATCACAACACGATACGGAATGCATCCGCATCACACCACGCTACACACAGACGTCGCAACAAGTGAGCGCGCAGGGACGTGGCGGCTCGTACTCGCATCATCACGCGCGCACATCACGCACACACATCACGCGCGCACCCGTGCAGCAGCATCGCCAACATCAACACCACCACCACCATCATCATCTCGCCCACCACCATCACGACGACCGTCGTCGTCTCGCCACCTGCCACCAACCACCATCACGACGACCGTTATCTCGCCACCACCACCATCAGCACCGTCATCTCGCCACTATCACCACCACCACCGCCGCCGCCGCTCATCCATTAACGCACCAAGGCTGCAGGCAGCACCTCCTCGCGTTAGCCCCCCGCTCACCCCGCTGTGAGCCCTCCCTCCCCCCACGCGTCCAGCACGTTGCGCTCAAAGCGGTCACCGTCGCGACAGCTTTCACGGGGGCCGCTCCCTCTCAGCCGAGCGCGGACGCGATCGAATTACAGAGTCCGTGTCACCCACAGAGCAAGCTGCGCACATCCAACCACGAGCGGATGTCGCCCCCCCTCTCTCTCTCTTTTTTTGCGCTCAGAGGGAACAAGAAAATGCTCGGTGTAGTCGGCACTTTGCTTCGTTCATCATTTCGTTTTTTTTGTTTTTTTCAATGATTTGCTTTATGTGCCCCCTTCCCCCTTTTTTTAATGAAAGATTTCACAAAAGATAATCTCTCTTCTCTCTCCCCTCCCTTTCCTCCCTCTCCTCCCTCTCTCTTCCCCTCTCTCTTTTTTCTACGCTCTATCTTTCTACCCCCCCTCCCCCGTCTCCCCTCTGTCTCTCTCCCTCTCTTTCTACCCCCTCACCCGTCTCTCCCCCCCCCGCCTCTGTCTCGCTCTCTTTCACTCTTGCTCCCCTATTTCCCTGCAACCTCCCTCCTTTCTCTCTGGCTCCCTCTCTCTCCCCACTACCCCCCTCCCCGTCACCCTCCGTCTCCGTCTCGCTGCCATGTGGAGCATAACGCTGTCTGCTAAACAGCCCCGAGGGAGGCGCCTTGCGTGACGCTCGGCAAGGCAGGCAGGGGCTGCGTTGTGTATCGAGCGCGCAGCCGGTCATTTCAGCCAGAGCTGTTCCGGGGCCGAACTCCGGAAAGCATTTTCTCATCCTTCACTGTTGACAAAATGGAGGGGGGGGGGTAGGGGAGGGAGGTTCTGGAGGTTGGGAGTTTGGGGAGGTCCATGGAAAATATTCCACGACGTATTCAAGTTCAATGCCACTCTAACACTCTAATGAAGGTTTAGTGATTAAACCCTCGTTGTAACGGTACACGCATACGCAATGTAGCCTGATGAAGAATCGCAGAGCGAGAGAGAGAGAGGGCGCGTGCTCGCAAGTGGGGCTTGGACGGACAGTGCCGTGGCCCGAGGAACGGGAAGATGCGCGGTGGGTCGAGACGAATCACGGAGCGGCGTTCGAGGGATGGAACCCGTCCCAGAGGTCACCGCTTCTGCTCCACCGTTCCGCGCACGCGATGCGAGAAGTCCCCCCTCCCTCCCATGTTTGTGTGTATGGGCAGTTGGAGGCAGTCGCCCTCCAACAACAACAGAGGGCGGAGGAGCGACGCTCACAACAACGAGCGGAGCGCCGGGTGGCTAAAGCACTGCAAGTTAGCACAGTAGGGGGGCACAGGTGGTGCATCAGCCAGTCATCTCGGTCATCTCAGTCAGTCGACCCGTGGGAACTGCTGGGTCTGCCCCGTGACCTCCTGCCAGCGGGCGTTCAACACTTCACGTGGCCTCAAGGTGCACATGGCCTGGCACAAGCAACGTGGTGACGTCACCACCACTTACTGCTTGTTGTTATTGGGCAGTTGGGAGCGATAGCGCAGTGGTTAGCACACTGTGCTTCCAACTCGGCGACCAGAGTTCAAATTCTTTCCTCACGGCCCACATCAGTGACAATTATCTGAGTGATAATTGACATCGAAGGCTGCTTGCCCGGTAAGGGAATCAGTCGATAGTGGTGCTCGGTAACAGCCGGCCTTCATAGGTGCTCGCCAACAGCACTTGCCCCAACAGTCTGCTACAGGACCATACTGGGGGATATTTGTCTTTGTTTGTGAGTAGAGTTCAACTCAACAATTTTAATAATCACATGTTTGTTGTTGTTACCAGGGACGGCTATTAGCTCTTAGCTCTTATTCAGAATTGACCTGGCCACAAATATTCGCTTATCAACATGTTGGAATTTAAAGCAGCCAAAGACTCGAAACGCATGACGTTGTTCCTAAATGTGGAGGTAGGAACCGGAAACAAATCCACGCGACCACCGTGAGAGAGAGAGATGCAAACTACAAATATAGAACCCACGACCTCCTGTATACCAGACGAGGTAGCTTACATCTCGCCACCTTGCAAATTCCAAATATACAGCAGGCATCAGGTTCGAGATCGAACCCACAACCTCCTGTGTACCAGGCGAGGTAGCTAACATCTCGGCACCATGCAAACTCCAAATATACAGCGGGCATCATGTTCGAGATCGAACCCACAACCTCCTGTGTACCAGGCGAGGTAGCTAACATCTCGGCACCATGCAAACTCCAAATATACAGCGGGCGTCATGTTCGAGATCGAACCCATGACCTCCTGCATACCAGGCGAGGTAGCTAACATCTCGCCACCATGCAAACTCCAAATATACAGCGGGCGTCAGGTTCGAGATCGAACCCACGACCTCCTACATACCAGGCGAGGTAGTTAACATCTCAGCACCATGCAAACTCCAAATACACAGCAGGTTCGAGATCGAACCCACGACCTCCTGTGTACCAGGCGAGGTAGCTAACATCTCGCCACCATGCAAACTCCAAATATACAGCAGATTCGAGATCGAACCCAAGACCTCCTGTGTACCAGGCGAGGTAGCTAACATCTCGCCATCATGCAAACTCCAAATATATGTAGTGGTGATACGTGCTGACAGGGGGGATCGTGAGACAGCGCGTGGTGGGTGGTTACATCACGGTCCGCAAGCGGGTGCCCACATCGCGGTCCGCATAGGCTCTGCCCCCCCCGGGAGCGGAGGGCTATGTAAGGCGATGCGCGGGGGCACTCGGGGAGTTGGTAACCGACGAAGACAGAAGACGGAGGAAGAGATAGGCCCTGGGACCCCTAGCCCCGCTGCCCTTGTAAGGGCCGGGGCTCTGTGAGGCTCAGAGGCGAGACCTTGGGATTCACGGCCCGACGCCCTTGTAAGGGCCGGGCTGTGTAACTCAGTGGTCGAGACCCGTGGCCTGACAAGGCGGGTCTGATAGCTCCCCGTGGGGAGAGCGTAGCCGGAGAGCCTGAGTGCAAGGCAGAGTTAGGTACGCATACCCCACGGGGGAGACGGAGTGCGTGGCCGAGTCAGGCACGCGTAACATAGGCGTTATCTCGGTTGTGCCTGTGACTGTGCAACCATTGTGAATAAACAAGTGCTGCCCCGTCAACTCGTCTCCCGCCATTATTGAAGATATTACAACTGGCGTCAGAAGTGAAACTGTCTTCAAGTCATGGATACCAGGAAGACTCATCGGACTCACGAGCGTGACCGGGAGGACGACCACGACGAATCGGGACAGTGAGCATTGGGAGGAGAGGAGGAGGAGATGCCGACGCCACAGAACCCTTCACGGGCGCCCGACGCTCCGCTGGGGTCCGACACCGGACTCCAGGACGCGCACTCTCGTCTGGCGGAGCTGCTACTTGCCGCGGCGTCCATCTTGGCGGAGATCACCGCGTCAGGAGGAAGGACGACGACGGACGTCGACAGGAGTCGCGTGGGAGATTCCCGCCAAAATGCGCTTCGCACCACTGACTTTGAAAATGGCGCCATTTTTACGGAGCGCCCGTCAATTGGCGGGAATCGCGAGCAACATGTGACCGGGGACCTCCACTCTCTGCCGCTCACGTCATCGGGGTGCGCTACGGGCCGCCATGAACCACCCAGGGTAGGGGCCGCCATTTCCCATACCGACGGCGCGGCGCGGGAAAATCACCTGTCGGAGGACGACATGGTTTTTCAGCAGCGACTTCCCGCGTTGACGGCCTTCAAAGCTGAGGGGGGTGACTGGGGCGCCTTCCAGCGGAGATTCCTCGCCCATCAGGAAATGTCGGGGTGGTCCGACGCTACGGCGCTACGGGCACTGCCTGCAATGCTGGACGACAACGCGCTCGCGGCCTTCAGGTCCGCCCCGAGATCGGCCCGCTCCACACTCAAGGCCGCGCTGGGCCTTATGGCCAAGGTGTATGGACCACCCTCGGCCTGCCGCCACCAATTCTACAGGCGACGGAAGGGGGACACGGAGACTACGCTCGCCTACCGCACAGCGCTGCTTGCTCTCGCGGACGCCGCCTTCCCTCGCATGGATGAGGAGGGGCAGGACGCCATGGTGATGGAACAGCTGCTGACGTTGGCTCAGGACCTGGGGGTCCCCATCAACACGGCGGACGAGGTGGACATTTGTTCATTGCGGGTTGCAACGAGCATCCAGGCGCATGAGGTCCTGAAACAGAAGCAGGCGGTCGTCTGCGCTTCTGCCGCGGTCTCAACTCCTGCCCCGGTGGACACCGACCCCCAAGTCAGCCGGCCTCGGGAGGAGGCATTCGCTACAGCGCGACCGGGGGATTGGAGGTCGGGGGGTCGTTCGCCTCTGCGATCAACCCGCAAGCTGGAGCAACCGAAACCTGCGACGTCCCTCGTCACGTGCTACAACTGCGGCCTTCGCGGCCACGTGGCGTCCGGGTGCCGCGCTCCACGTCAGCGCGCCACGGGACCTCGGCTGGACGACGACCAAGGCCCAAAGTCGTCCCAACTACCCCCGGCAAGTCGCGGCACTACACATGCTCGGTCCACATACACGTCACACATGGGCCGCCGCTTCGCGGCGGAGGAGGTGCGCATGGGGGCCGGGGATTCAGTTCGGCAAGGGGGGTTCGTACGGGGGCCGGGAGCGATTGAATGGTCCGAGTTGGGCCACAGGATGGTGGCTGCGTCGGCCGGGTCGTCTGTGGTTACGGGATTTATAGACGGTATCGAAGTCAGGGTGCTGGTGGACACGGGTGCGTCGGCGACTATCATTTCTGATCTTATTTACAACATTCTCCCCGTCCAATGTCGGCCCCTGCTCCCGGTAGACGTGCCATGTTATGCGGCGAATGGGGGCTCGTTGGGCATTGTCGGCCAGATTCGGGCGAGCATTTGTATAGGGGATATTAAATTGGTGGGACCTGTTTTGGTCTCTTCTTCCCTGGCGGTTCCATGTCAGTTGGGAGCAGACTTTTTGGCTAAAATGCCGATTAAAATTCTCGTTGATCAAGGTTGTATCGAGCTGCCATCGGGTCGCCGTATTTCTTTTTGTCTAACCCTTCTAAACTGTGGACGGCTTGTGCGACGGTCCAAGCGCTGGCGACCCATACGGTGCACGTACCCCCGGGTTCGCAGATGTTGGTATCCCTCCGGTTGCGGAAGCCATTGGGTGGGGAGACTGCGGGGCAGGGCGTGCTGTTGGGTCCGTCGAACAGAGCTGTTGGGGGTCTGGACTTGGCGGTGGCTCAGACGTTGGTACGGGCTGACAGGGACCCGTTCGTCATGGTTTTGAACGCGGGGTCGCGGCCGGCCGTTATTCCACAGGGCACCGTGCTTGCTCACGCGGCACCGGTCCCTGTGGAAGAGCGGCTTATTGCGCACATTGATCCCGTTCCGGTGCAGAAATTTCAATCGGGGGAGGACCAGCAGTGGTTGGACTCGCTGTGTGCGGGCTCCAGTAATTTGTCGGGTGTGCAATTGGGTGCGCTGCGCGCTCTGCTGATCGAATTTTTGGACGTATTCAGCAAGCACAAATATGATATTGGGTGCACGGACCTGTTACGCCACCACATTGAAACGGGTGACGCAGCCCCGGTTCGGCAGAATCCCTTTTGGTTGAGTCCAACCGAGAAGGAACACGCTCAATTGGCCGTCAATGACATGCTGACCGCCGACATCATTTCGCCCTCATCCAGTCCATGGGAAGCACCCATCGTTCTTGTTAAAAAACAAGACGGGTCCTTGCGGTTTTGCATAGATTTCCGTCGCCTCAATAAGATCTCCGTGGCTGATGCGTATCCGCTCCCCAGAATGGATGAATCTCTGGATGCATTAGCAGGGGCGCGTTATTTTTCTACGCTAGACTTACTGTCGGGATTCTGGCAATTACCACTCGACGACGAGTCGAAACCTAAGACCGCATTCCGGACCCCAGTAGGCCTGTTCCAGTTTAATCGGTTGCCCATGGGACTCCATTCTGCTCCCGCGACGTTTCAGCGCCTTATGGAATTGGTTTTGTCGGGTCTGCAATGGGATACCTGCTTAATTTACCTTGACAACGTCATCGTTTTCAGTAGAACTTTCGAGGAACACCTCCAACGCTTAAGGGGGGTGTTCCTGAGGATGCGATCGGCTAAGTTAAAGTTTAAACCAGCTAAACGCCACCTACTTCGGGAATCCGTACGGTACTTGGCACATTGTCGGCCGTTCGGGGATCTCCACCGATCCCGCGAAGACAAACTGCGTCAGTTCATGGCCAACGCCCACGTCGGTTACTGAGGTCCGCAGTTTCATTGGGTTTGCTTCCTACTACCGTCGGTTCGTTGAGCACTTCGCCACCATAGCCAAACCCTTGCATGCTCTGACAGCCAAAGGGGTCAGGTTTCGCTGGGGGCCAGAGGAGGAGGCCGCGTTCTGCTCCCTTCGGGACGCCTTGGTGGGTGCTCCGCCCTTGTGTTACCCTGATTTTACGAAACCCTTCCTGCTGGATACGGATGCCAGCAACACAGGCATTGGGGGGGGTGCTCTCGCAGGTGGTCGGGGGAGTCGAACGGGTGGTCGCCTACGGTAGCAGGGTTTTGTCGCCAGCGGAACAGCGCTACTGTGTGACCCGTCGCGAGTTGCTGGCTATCGTTTTTTTTGTACAGCAATTTAGACCGTATCTCTACGGCCGTCATTTTACGGTCCGTACGGACCATGCGGCGCTTCAATACGCATTGCGGGTCGCCCAATCCTCGGGCCAATTATCACGGTGGTTGGAGGTCCTCCAGGACTACCAATTTACGACCACTTACCGTAAGGGGTTGCGCCACACCAACGCGGATGCCCTGTCGCGGTTGTCGCCTCGTTCCGAATGTGCGTGTTTTATGGGGTCGGCGCGCTGTAAGCCGCATGTCGCTGTCCCCGGGGGTGAGTTGGTCGCGGCCGCAAATGCACCGCGGGTCGACGTTCCCGCTACTCCTGTGGGCGGGGACTCGCTACTTTCGTTGTCTCTCGTTGAGTGGGGCCGACTCCAGATGGCTGACAGCTCCCTGCTTGCTTTGCGTCGTAGGGCAGGGGGTCCCGAGGAAGGTCAGAAGGGAGCCGGATCCTGGCTGCTTAAACAGGGCCTGCTCATGAGATGGGACAGTATGTCCCGGCGGCACGCACTTGTCGTGCCCTCCGCTATGCGGGGCAAAGTTGTTCTGGCCGCACACGAACGCCTCTTGCATCTGGGAGTTAACAAAACGCTCGCTCTGCTCCAGCGGGACTATTATTGGCCGGGGATGGGGAGCGATGTGGTCAACATACTAAAGGGGTGTGTAGGGTGCGCTCAATGGAAACCACCGCCCGTTGCGGCTAATCCACCGCTACAGTCCATTCAGGTCTCGCGCACGAACGAGCTCGTTGCGCTGGATATCTTGGGGCCTTTTCCGGTGACGCCTAGGGGTAACAAGTACCTGCTGGTTGGTGTGGAATACTTCACTCGATGGCCCATGGCGTGGCCGCTTGCCAACCAGTCGGCAGCGGCCGTGGCGGACGCCTTTGTCCAGGGCTATGTCTTGGACAAAGGTGTTCCCGAACGCTTGCTGACCGACCAGGGGAAGAATTTTTCGAGCAAATTACTGCATGAGGTGTGCGACCTTTTGGGTACAAAAAAGTGCGTACCTCCCCGTACCACCCACAGACTGATGGGATGGTGGAGCGACTCCACAGAACAATAACTTCCATGTTGTGCCAACAGGTATGCGAGGCACAGGTTGACTGGGACTTGCAGGTCCCGGGTGTCCTCGCCGCGTACAGGATGGCCCCCCATGCGACTACGGGGTTTTCCCCATTTTATCTGATGTACGGTCGGGAGGCCGATCCGCCCATGGAGACCCAGCTGGGGATTTCCGAGCCGCGGCCTAAATCTAAGTTGGCCGACTATATTAAATTTAACATAGCGAAACTGGCCGAGGCACGGGAGGCTGCAAGGCTGAATTCGAGGTCTCGCCAAATCGCTAACGAGCGGTTGCGTGCACGGAAGGTGTAGTGCACGAATGGAAACCGGGCGATAGGGCCTGGCTGCACTGCCCGCATGCGCCGTTGGCTACGTCCCCTAAACTACTGAGGCCATGGCGGGGACCCGTGGAGGTCGTGCGGGTTGCACGACCCCAGTGTATTCAGATAAAATGGGGAAAGCGCCGTTGGTACGTTCACCCCTCCCGGCTGAAACCATTCTCGGCACCATATAGCCTTCCTTTATGTCGTGAGGACCGAGCATGTGATGTGGCCGGCGACTCGGGAAGGGAAATGTCTCCGCCTGATCCTCACATGTCTCCGCCTGATCCGCTCCCAGGTGTCTCGGAACTGACGACTGCCGACCATCGGCGACCGGATCCCCAAGGCACGTGCGGTTCTTCCAGGCCTGCTCCATGCCTTCCTGGGCTGCCGGAGCCACCGGACGGTCAACAACGTCCCGTCCCGTACGACGGACCGGCCAGGGGGGGTGCAGGACGGTTCCGCCGGATCGTCTCGTCACAGCGTTCCCCGTCCGTCCGACCGCTCTATTGTTCCGTTCAAGGGGCGAGCGGGGGGGGGGGGGGGGCCCAGGGGGGGGAGGGGACGCTGGACACGTCATTCTTGTAAAAACTTTATTCGATTTACTCGTCGGTTTGTACATATGTTCGTTGTTATTACTGTTTAATGTTCGGGGTTATTGCTGTTGTGTTGTGTTGGGTTGTGTTGTGTTGCGTTGTGTTCATGTTACGGGGCGCACATGTGGAGTGGGGTTTTTTTTTTTGCAGCCGGGCCAGCTGCGAGCTATGTGGGAGGGGGTGATGTAGTGGTGATACGTGCTGGCAGGGGGGATCGTGAGACAGCGCGTGGTGGGTGGTTACATCACGGTCCGCAAGCGGGTGCCCACATCGCGGTCCGCATAGGCTCCGCCCCCCCCGGGAGCGGAGGGCTATGTAAGGCAATGCGCGGGGGCACTCGGGGAGTTGGTAACCGGCGAAGACAGAAGACGGAGGAAGAGATAGGCCCTGGGACCCCTAGCCCCGCTGCCCTTGTAAGGGCCGGGGCTCTGTGAGGCTCAGAGGCGAGGCCTTGGGATTCACGGCCCAACGCCCTTGTAAGGGCCGGGCTGTGTAACTCAGTGGTCGAGACCCGTGGCCTGACAAGGCGGGTCTGATAGCTCCCCGTGGGGAGAGCGTGGCCGGAGAGCCTGAGGCAAGGCAGAGTTAGGCACGCATACCCTACGGGAGAGAATGAGTGCGGCCCGAGCCGGGCGCGCGTAGGGGTCTGATAGCTCCCCGTGGGGAGAGCGTAGCCGGAGAGCCTGAGTGCAAGGCAGAGTTAGGTATGCGTACCCCACGGGGGAGACGGAGTGCGTGGCCGAGTCAGGCACGCGTAACATAGGCGTTATCTCGGTTGTGCCTGTTACTGTGCAACCATTGTGAATAAACAAGTGCTGCCCCGTCAACTCGTCTCCCGCCATTATTGAAGATATTACATATACAGCAGGTTCGAGATCGAACCCACGACCTCCTGTGTACCAGGCAAGGTAGTTAACATATCGCCACCATGCAAACTCCAAATATAGAGCAGGTTCGAGATCGAACCCACGACCTCCTGTGTACCAGGCGAGGTAGCTAACATCTCGCCACCATGCAAACTTTAAATATACAGCAGGTTCGAGATCGAACCCACGACCTCCTGCGTACCAGGCGAGGTAGCTAACATCTCGCCACCATGCAAAATCCAAATATACAGCAGGTTCGAGATCGAACCCACGACCTCCTGCATACCAGGCGAGGTAGCTAACATCTCGCCACCATGCAAACTCCAAATATACAGCAGGTTCGAGATCGAACCCACGACCTCCTGTGTACCAGACGAGGTAGCTAACATCTCGCCACCATGCAAACCTCAAATATACAGCAGGTTCGAGATCGAACCCACGACTTCCTGTGTACCAGGTGAGGTAGCTAACATCTCCTAGCCACCGTGACACGTGGAGTTGGACACGTGGGCGTGGGCGCAAGGTCACGCGTGTGCAGACACTGCCCCGGTGGTAGGTGGGAAGTGGGGGCGCGCCGCCGCCAGGCGAACAGAGAAAGGTGGTGGGGGGTGGGGGCGATGCGGCATGACAGCGACAGTGGGGGGCTCTGCTCACGAGCCACGTGATAACAGACTGGCCTCGGGGTTTCTCAACTGAACCCCCGGTGCGAGGATAGATATTGGCGTGGTGGATGAGGTGGTGGGTGGTGATGATGGATATTGATGTGGTGGATGAGGTGGTGGGTGGTGATGATGGATACTGGTGTGGTGGATGAGGTGGTGGGTGGTGATGATGGATATTGATGTGGTGGATGAGGTGGTGGGTGGTGATGATGGATACTGGTGTGGTGGATGAGGTGGTGGGTGGTGATGATGGATATTGATGTGGTGGATGAGGTGGTGGGTGGTGATGATGGATATTGATGTGGTGGATGAGGTGGTGGGTGATGATGGATATTGGTGTGGTGGATGAGGTGGTGGGTGGTGATGATGGATATTGATGTGGTGGATGAGGTGGTGGGTGGTGATGATGGATACTGGCGTGGTGGATGAGGTGATGGGTGGTGATGATGGATATTGGCGTGGTGGATGAGGTGGTGGGTGATGATGATGGATATTGATGTGGTGGATGAGGTGGTGGGTGATGATGATGGATACTGGTGTGGTGGATGAGGTGGTGGGTGATGATGATGGATACTGGTGTGGTGGATGAGGTGGTGGGTGATGATGATGGATATTGGTGTGGTGGATGAGGTGGTGGGTGGTGATGATGGATATTGGTGTGGTGGATGAGGTGGTGGGTGGTGATGATGGATATTGGTGTGGTGGATGAGGTGGTGGGTGATGATGATGGATATTGGTATGGTGGATGAGGTGGTGGGTGATGATGATGGATATTGGTGTGGTGGATGAAGTGGTGGGTGATGATGATGGATATTGGTGTGGTGGATGAAGTGGTGGGTGATGATGATGGATATTGGTGTGGTGGATGAGGTGGTGGGTGGTGATGATGGATATTGGTGTGGTGGATGAGGTGGTGGGTGGTGATGATGGATATTGGTGTGGTGGATGAGGTGGTGGGTGGTGATGATGGACATTGGTATGGTGGATGAGGTGGTGGGTGGTGATGATGGATATTGATGTGGTGGATGAGGTGGTGGGTGGTGATGATGGATATTGGTGTGGTGGATGAGGTGGTGGGTGGTGATGATGGATATTGGTATGGTGGATGAGGTGGTGGGTGGTGATGATGGACATTGGTGTGGTGGATGAGGTGGTGGGTGATGATGATGGATATTGGTGTGGTGGATGAGGTGGTGGGTGGTGATGATGGATATTGGTGTGGTGGATGAGGTGGTGGGTGGTGATGATGGACATTGGCGTGGTGGATGAGGTGTCATTGTAGTGCGTATTTAATGTGGCGCTGCACTCTGATGTTGTAGGAGAAAACATTTATTAAAAGTCTATTTAATTAAGTAGAACGTGTTGTCTATACTTATTTAAAGTTGCGCATTTTGCTGTCACATATCTCAACAGACCCCCTCCCCATCTTCACACATCGTCACAAATGTCCCCCCTAGGTGCGTGACGTCATTTATGGACGGCCCCATACCGGTAACATTTGCGTATTTATGCTCGCTGTGGGAGAATGCAAACTGAAGATCCCCGTGTCAGGGATGGAACCCAGGTCCCCATGTACGTGAAGATCGCGTGCGAGTCACCGTGGTACCCTGCGGGGGAGGTGTGATGTTAATGGTAGTGGTTGAAACCCTTCTCCTGCACACTGCAAAAAAAAAAATGCACTCGGCACGTTTGAGGTTGAGTGCAACCTGACCGTCTGCAGATGGTCAGGGCACGTCATCGTGATTGTTATCTGTTGGTATGCGCGTGAGGTGTGTGTTCGTGTGTGTGACTCCCTGTGGCGCTTCACCTGGCTAACGCTGCCTATAAAAGCGAGAGAGACACGCAGGGAGAGGATTAGGAGGAAGAGGAGACGGCGGCGGTGGTGGTGGTAGTGACGACTCTGGATGTTGGCCAGGTGAGAGACGGGCGAGGCGGGGAGAGACACGGGGTCACCCCAGGTGCGTGGCACCACCTCGGGAGAGCGCAAGGGACCTCTCTGGCTCTCGCGCACCGTGCAAACGACGCACGTGAACACACTGCACATCAACATTTGCGCATCAACACCTCCATATGCACGTGAACGCATACGCGCGATAATACACACACACGTATACACATGAACACACGTGCACATCAACACGAGCACATATCACATCAACGCACACACGTGAACACACAGACGTTCACGCGAACATGCACAATAGGCGCTGATGAGTGAACAATGTGGCGAACTTGTGGTTAATAAGTTTAGTTTTGCCCACTTGGCAGCGGCTTCTCTCTACAATGTCTCGGAGTTCATTACCGCCTTTTTAAATCCTTTATATTAAGTTCACTTGCTTGCTTGATTGCGCGCTTACGACCGTGCAAATCTTTCGGTCGTTTTGTAACCCACTTCCCGTGATCCAATCGAGCTGACATTTTGCACACAGACTCGTTGTGCGTGACAATTTATTTTCGTAAAAAATTTTTTCCTAAATTTTACACTTTTTAGGAAAAAATTAATTCTATTTTATTACCAATTGCTTAATGGTGGCAGGCAATCATCTGACCCATAGGTGGCAGCCATCTCAAGCCAGAGGACGAGAGGACTCTAGCCGCCACGCATATAAAGGATTTATAGTGAAAAACTTTGTATTTACGGGTTAATTTTTTATCTCCCAATAAGAGTGTGTGAGAAGTGTCTTCTAATGTCGCTGTGATTAACATCAGTGCCTCTTGTTCTAATGTGTTCACGCGTATGTCCTGATACTTGTTTTATATGTAACTCTCGCGTGGCTGTTCCACACTCACCTCACACACCTCATCACCTCAAAACACTCTACCCTCACCTCGTCACCTCATCACACTCCCTTACCCTCACCTCATTACACTCCCTTACCCTCACCTAATCACACACCCTTACCCTCACCTCATCACACACCCTTACCCTCACCTCATTACACTCCCTTACCATCACCTCATTACACTCCCTTACCCTCACCTCGTCACACACCCTTACCATCACCTCATTACACACCCTTACCATCACCTCATCACACACCCTTACCCTCACCTCATCACACACCCTTACCCTCACCTCATTACACACCCTTACCATCACCTCATTACACACCCTTACCCTCACCTCATTACACACCCTTACCCTCACCTCATCACACACCCTTACCCTCACCTCATTACACACCCTTACCCTCACCTCATCACACACCCTTACCCTCACCTCATCACACACCCTTACCCTCACCTCATCACACTCCCTTACCCTCACCTCATCACACACCCTTACCCTCACCTCATCACACACCCTTACCCTCACCTCATCACACACCCTTACCCTCACCTCATTACACACCCTTACCCTCACCTCATCACACTCCCTTACCCTCACCTCATCACACACCCTTACCCTCACCTCATTACACACCCTTACCCTCACCTCATCACACACCCTTACCCTCACCTCATTACACACCCTTACCCTCACCTCGTCACACACCCTTACCCTCACCTCATCACACTCTTTTACCCTCACCTCATCACACACCCTTACCCTCACCTCATCACACACCCTTACCCTCACCTCATCACACACCCTTACCCTCACCTCATCACACACCCTTACCCTCACCTCATTACACACCCTTACCCTCACCTCATCACACTCCCTTACCCTCATCTCATCACACTCCCTTACCCTCACCTCATCACACACCCTTACCCTCACCTCATCACACACCCTTACCCTCACCTCATCACACACCCTTACCCTCACCTCATCACACACCCTTACCCTCACCTCATCACACTTTCTTACCCTCACCTCATTACACACCCTTACCATCACCTCATTACACTCCCTTACCCTCACCTCATCACACTCCCTTACCCTCACCTCATTACACTCCCTTACCCTCACCTCATCACACACCCTTACCCTCACCTCATCACACACCCTTACCATCACCTCATTACACTCCCTTACCATCACCTCATTACACACCCTTACCCTCACCTCATTACACACCCTTACCCTCACCTCATCACACACCCTTACCCTCACCTCATTACACACCCTTACCCTCACCTCATCACACACCCTTACCCTCACCTCGTCACACACCCTTACCCTCACCTCATTACACACCCTTACCCTCACCTCATCACACTCCCTTACCCTCACCTCATTACACTCCCTTACCCTCACCTCATTACACACCCTTATCCTCACCTCATCACACTCCCTTACCCTCACCTCATCACACACCCTTACCCTCACCTCATCACACTCCCTTACCCTCACCTCATCACACACCCTTACCCTCACCTCATCACACTCCCTTACCATCACCTCATTACACACCTTTACCCTCACCTCATCACACTCCCTTACCCTCACCTCATTACACACCCTTATCCTCACCTCATCACACTCCCTTACCCTCACCTCGTCACACACCCTTACCATCACCTCATCACACACCCTTACCCTCACCTCATCACACACCCTTACCCTCACCTCATCACACACCCTTACCCTCACCTCATTACACACCCTTACCCTCACCTCATCACACACCCTTACCCTCACCTCATCACACACCCTTACCCTCACCTCATCACACACCCTTACCCTCACCTCATCACACACCCTTACCCTCACCTCATCACACACCTTACCCTCACCTCATCACACACCCTTACGTTCACCTCATCACACACCTTTACCCTCACCTCATTACACACCCTTACCCTCACCTCATCACACTCCCTTACCCTCACCTCATCACACTCCCTTACCTCACCTCATCACAACACCTTACCCTCACCTCATCACACACCCTTACCCTCACCTCATTACACACCCTTACCCTCACCTCATCACACACCCTTACCCTCACCTCATTACACTCCCTTACCCTCACCTCATTACACACCCTTATCCTCACCTCATCACACTCCCTTACCCTCACCTCATTACACACCCTTACCCTCACCTCATTACACTCCCTTACCCTCACCTCATCACACTCCCTTACCCTCACCTCATCACACACCCTTACCCTCACCTCATCACACACCCTTACCCTCACCTCATCACACACCCTTACCCTCACCTCATCACACACCCTTACCCTCACCTCATTACACACCCTTACCCTCACCTCATCACACACCGTTACCATCACCTCATCACACACCCTTACCCTCACCTCATCACACACCCTTACCCTCACCTCATCACACTCCCTTACCCTCACCTCATCACACACCCTTACCCTCACCTCATCACACACCCTTACCCTCACCTCATCACACACCCTTACCCTCACCTCATCACACACCCTTACCCTCACCTCATCACACTCCCTTACCCTCACCACATTACACACCCTTACCCTCACCTCGTCACACACCCTTACCCTCACCTCATCACACTCCCTTACCCTCACCTCATCACACACCCTTACCCTCACCTCATCACACACCCTTACCCTCACCTCATCACACACCTTACCCTCACCTCATTACACACCCTTACCCTCACCTCGTCACACTCCCTTACCCTCACCTCATCACCACTCCCTTACCCTCACCTCATCACACTCCCTTACCCTCACCTCATCACACTCCCTTACCCTCACCTCATCACACACCCTTACCCTCACCTCATCACACACCCTTACCCTCACCTCATCACACACCCTTACCCTCACCTCATCACACACCCTTACCCTCACCTCATCACACTCCCTTACCCTCACCTCATTACACACCCTTACCCTCACCTCGTCACACACCCTTACCCTCACCTCATCACACTCCCTTACCCTCACCTCATCACACACCCTTACCCTCACCTCATCACACACCCTTACCCTCACCTCATCACACACCCTTACCCTCACCTCATCACACACCCTTACCCTCACCTCATCACACTCCCTTACCCTCACCTCATTACACACCCTTACCCTCACCTCGTCACACACCCTTACCTTCACCTCATCACACTCCCTTACCCTCACCTCATCACACACCCTTACCCTCACCTCATCACACACCCTTACCCTCACCTCATCACACACCCTTACCCTCACCTCATTACACACCCTTACCCTCACCTCGTCACACTCCCTTACCCTCACCTCATCACACTCCCTTACCCTCACCTCATCACACACCCTTACCCTCACCTCATCACACACCCTTACCCTCACCTCATCACACTCCCTTACCCTCACCTCATCACACACCCTTACCCTCACCTCATCACACTCCCTTACCCTCACCTCATCACACACCCTTACCCTCACCTCATTACACACCCTTACCCTCACCTCGTCACACTCCCTTACCCTCACCTCATCACACTCCCTTACCCTCACCTCATCACACACCCTTACCCTCACCTCATCACACACCCTTACCCTCACCTCATTACACACCCTTACCCTCACCTCATCACACACCCTTACCCTCACCTCATCACACACCCTTACCCTCACCTCATTACACACCCTTACCCTCACCTCATCACACTCCCTTACCCTCACCTCATTACACTCCCTTACCCTCACCTCATTACACACCCTTATCCTCACCTCATCACACTCCCTTACCCTCACCTCATCACACTCCCTTACCCTCACCTCATTACACACCCGTACCCTCACCTCATTACACACCCTTACTATCACCTCATTACACACCCGTACCCTCACCTCATTACACACCCTTACCCTCACCTCATCACACACCCTTACCCTCACCTCATTACACACCCTTACCCTCACCTCATCACACACCCTTACCATCACCTCATTACACTCCCTTACCCTCACCTCATCACACACCCTTACCATCACCTCATCACACTCCCTTACCCTCACCTCATCACACTCCCTTACCCTCACCTCATTACACACCCTTACCATCACCTCATTACACTCCATTACCCTCACCTCATCACACACCCTTACCCTCACCTCATTACACTCCCTTACCCTCACCTCATTACACACCCTTACCATCACCTCATTACACTCCATTACCCTCACCTCATTACACACCCTTACCCTCACCTCATCACACTCCCTTACCCTCACCTCATCACACTCCCTTACCATCACCTCATCACACACCCTTACCATCACCTCATTACACTCCCTTACCCTCACCTCATCACACACCCTTACCCTCACCTCATCACACACCCTTACCCTCACCTCGTCACACTCCCTTACCCTCACCTCATCACACTCCATTACCCTCACCTCGTCACGCTCCCTTACCCTCACCTCGTCACACTCCCTTACCCTCACCTCGTCACACTCCCTTACCCTCACCTCATCACACTTCATTACCCTCACCTCATCACACACCCTTACCCTCACCTCATTACACTCCCTTACCATCACCTCATTACACACCCTTACCCTCACCTCATTACACTCCCTTACCCTCACCTCATTACACTCCTTTACCATCACCTCATCGCACACCCTTACCCTCACCTCATCACACTCCCTTACCCTCACCTCATCACACTCCCTTACCCTCACCTCATTACACACCCTTACCCTCACCTCATCACACACCCTTACCCTCACCTCATCACACTCCCTTACCCTCACCTCATTACACACCCTTACCATCACCTCATTACACTCCCTTACCCTCACCTCATCACACTCCCTTACCCTCACCTCATTACACTCCCTTACCCTCACCTCATCACACACCCTTACCCTCACCTCATCACACACCCTTACCATCACCTCATTACACTCCCTTACCATCACCTCATTACACACCCTTACCCTCACCTCATTACACTCCCTTACCCTCACCTCATCACACACCCTTACCCTCACCTCATCACACTCCCTTACCATCACCTCATCACACTCCCTTGCCCTCACCTCATTACACACCCTTACCCTCACCTCATTACACTCCCTTACCCTCACCTCATCACACACCCTTACCCTCACCTCATTACACTCCCTTACCCTCACCTCATTACACACCCTTTCCCTCACCTCATCACACTCCCTTACCATCACCTCATCACACACCCTTACCCTCACCTCATTACACTCCCTTACCATCACCTCATTACACTCCCTTACCATCACCTCATTACACTCCCTTACCATCACCTCATTACACACCCTTACCCTCACCTCATTACACTCCCTTACCCTCAGGTCCGCCCCGAGATCGGCCCGCTCCACACTCAAGGCCGCGCTGGGCCTTATGGCCAAGGTGTATGGACCACCCTCGGCCTGCCGCCACCAATTCTACAGGCGACGGAAGGGGGACACGGAGACTACGCTCGCCTACCGCACAGCGCTGCTTGCTCTCGCGGACGCCGCCTTCCCTCGCATGGATGAGGAGGGGCAGGACGCCATGGTGATGGAACAGCTGCTGACGTTGGCTCAGGACCTGGGGGTCCCCATCAACACGGCGGACGAGGTGGACATTTGTTCATTGCGGGTTGCAACGAGCATCCAGGCGCATGAGGTCCTGAAACAGAAGCAGGCGGTCGTCTGCGCTTCTGCCGCGGTCTCAACTCCTGCCCCGGTGGACACCGACCCCCAAGTCAGCCGGCCTCGGGAGGAGGCATTCGCTACAGCGCGACCGGGGGATTGGAGGTCGGGGGGGTCGTTCGCCTCTGCGATCAACCCGCAAGCTGGAGCAACCGAAACCTGCGACGTCCCTCGTCACGTGCTACAACTGCGGCCTTCGCGGCCACGTGGCGTCCGGGTGCCGCGCTCCACGTCAGCGCGCCACGGGACCTCGGCTGGACGACGACCAAGGCCCAAAGTCGTCCCAACTACCCCCGGCAAGTCGCGGCACTACACATGCTCGGTCCACATACACGTCACACATGGGCCGCCGCTTCGCGGCGGAGGAGGTGCGCATGGGGGCCGGGGATTCAGTTCGGCAAGGGGGGTTCGTACGGGGGCCGGGAGCGATTGAATGGTCCGAGTTGGGCCACAGGATGGTGGCTGCGTCGGCCGGGTCGTCTGTGGTTACGGGATTTATAGACGGTATCGAAGTCAGGGTGCTGGTGGACACGGGTGCGTCGGCGACTATCATTTCTGATCTTATTTACAACATTCTCCCCGTCCAATGTCGGCCCCTGCTCCCGGTAGACGTGCCATGTTATGCGGCGAATGGGGGCTCGTTGGGCATTGTCGGCCAGATTCGGGCGAGCATTTGTATAGGGGATATTAAATTGGTGGGACCTGTTTTGGTCTCTTCTTCCCTGGCGGTTCCATGTCAGTTGGGAGCAGACTTTTTGGCTAAAATGCCGATTAAAATTCTCGTTGATCAAGGTTGTATCGAGCTGCCATCGGGTCGCCGTATTTCTTTTTGTCTAACCCTTCTAAACTGTGGACGGCTTGTGCGACGGTCCAAGCGCTGGCGACCCATACGGTGCACGTACCCCCGGGTTCGCAGATGTTGGTATCCCTCCGGTTGCGGAAGCCATTGGGTGGGGAGACTGCGGGGCAGGGCGTGCTGTTGGGTCCGTCGAACAGAGCTGTTGGGGGTCTGGACTTGGCGGTGGCTCAGACGTTGGTACGGGCTGACAGGGACCCGTTCGTCATGGTTTTGAACGCGGGGTCGCGGCCGGCCGTTATTCCACAGGGCACCGTGCTTGCTCACGCGGCACCGGTCCCTGTGGAAGAGCGGCTTATTGCGCACATTGATCCCGTTCCGGTGCAGAAATTTCAATCGGGGGAGGACCAGCAGTGGTTGGACTCGCTGTGTGCGGGCTCCAGTAATTTGTCGGGTGTGCAATTGGGTGCGCTGCGCGCTCTGCTGATCGAATTTTTGGACGTATTCAGCAAGCACAAATATGATATTGGGTGCACGGACCTGTTACGCCACCACATTGAAACGGGTGACGCAGCCCCGGTTCGGCAGAATCCCTTTTGGTTGAGTCCAACCGAGAAGGAACACGCTCAATTGGCCGTCAATGACATGCTGACCGCCGACATCATTTCGCCCTCATCCAGTCCATGGGAAGCACCCATCGTTCTTGTTAAAAAACAAGACGGGTCCTTGCGGTTTTGCATAGATTTCCGTCGCCTCAATAAGATCTCCGTGGCTGATGCGTATCCGCTCCCCAGAATGGATGAATCTCTGGATGCATTAGCAGGGGCGCGTTATTTTTCTACGCTAGACTTACTGTCGGGATTCTGGCAATTACCACTCGACGACGAGTCGAAACCTAAGACCGCATTCCGGACCCCAGTAGGCCTGTTCCAGTTTAATCGGTTGCCCATGGGACTCCATTCTGCTCCCGCGACGTTTCAGCGCCTTATGGAATTGGTTTTGTCGGGTCTGCAATGGGATACCTGCTTAATTTACCTTGACAACGTCATCGTTTTCAGTAGAACTTTCGAGGAACACCTCCAACGCTTAAGGGGGGTGTTCCTGAGGATGCGATCGGCTAAGTTAAAGTTTAAACCAGCTAAACGCCACCTACTTCGGGAATCCGTACGGTACTTGGCACATTGTCGGCCGTTCGGGGATCTCCACCGATCCCGCGAAGACAAACTGCGTCAGTTCATGGCCAACGCCCACGTCGGTTACTGAGGTCCGCAGTTTCATTGGGTTTGCTTCCTACTACCGTCGGTTCGTTGAGCACTTCGCCACCATAGCCAAACCCTTGCATGCTCTGACAGCCAAAGGGGTCAGGTTTCGCTGGGGGCCAGAGGAGGAGGCCGCGTTCTGCTCCCTTCGGGACGCCTTGGTGGGTGCTCCGCCCTTGTGTTACCCTGATTTTACGAAACCCTTCCTGCTGGATACGGATGCCAGCAACACAGGCATTGGGGGGGGTGCTCTCGCAGGTGGTCGGGGGAGTCGAACGGGTGGTCGCCTACGGTAGCAGGGTTTTGTCGCCAGCGGAACAGCGCTACTGTGTGACCCGTCGCGAGTTGCTGGCTATCGTTTTTTTTGTACAGCAATTTAGACCGTATCTCTACGGCCGTCATTTTACGGTCCGTACGGACCATGCGGCGCTTCAATACGCATTGCGGGTCGCCCAATCCTCGGGCCAATTATCACGGTGGTTGGAGGTCCTCCAGGACTACCAATTTACGACCACTTACCGTAAGGGGTTGCGCCACACCAACGCGGATGCCCTGTCGCGGTTGTCGCCTCGTTCCGAATGTGCGTGTTTTATGGGGTCGGCGCGCTGTAAGCCGCATGTCGCTGTCCCCGGGGGTGAGTTGGTCGCGGCCGCAAATGCACCGCGGGTCGACGTTCCCGCTACTCCTGTGGGCGGGGACTCGCTACTTTCGTTGTCTCTCGTTGAGTGGGGCCGACTCCAGATGGCTGACAGCTCCCTGCTTGCTTTGCGTCGTAGGGCAGGGGGTCCCGAGGAAGGTCAGAAGGGAGCCGGATCCTGGCTGCTTAAACAGGGCCTGCTCATGAGATGGGACAGTATGTCCCGGCGGCACGCACTTGTCGTGCCCTCCGCTATGCGGGGCAAAGTTGTTCTGGCCGCACACGAACGCCTCTTGCATCTGGGAGTTAACAAAACGCTCGCTCTGCTCCAGCGGGACTATTATTGGCCGGGGATGGGGAGCGATGTGGTCAACATACTAAAGGGGTGTGTAGGGTGCGCTCAATGGAAACCACCGCCCGTTGCGGCTAATCCACCGCTACAGTCCATTCAGGTCTCGCGCACGAACGAGCTCGTTGCGCTGGATATCTTGGGGCCTTTTCCGGTGACGCCTAGGGGTAACAAGTACCTGCTGGTTGGTGTGGAATACTTCACTCGATGGCCCATGGCGTGGCCGCTTGCCAACCAGTCGGCAGCGGCCGTGGCGGACGCCTTTGTCCAGGGCTATGTCTTGGACAAAGGTGTTCCCGAACGCTTGCTGACCGACCAGGGGAAGAATTTTTCGAGCAAATTACTGCATGAGGTGTGCGACCTTTTGGGTACAAAAAAGTGCGTACCTCCCCGTACCACCCACAGACTGATGGGATGGTGGAGCGACTCCACAGAACAATAACTTCCATGTTGTGCCAACAGGTATGCGAGGCACAGGTTGACTGGGACTTGCAGGTCCCGGGTGTCCTCGCCGCGTACAGGATGGCCCCCCATGCGACTACGGGGTTTTCCCCATTTTATCTGATGTACGGTCGGGAGGCCGATCCGCCCATGGAGACCCAGCTGGGGATTTCCGAGCCGCGGCCTAAATCTAAGTTGGCCGACTATATTAAATTTAACATAGCGAAACTGGCCGAGGCACGGGAGGCTGCAAGGCTGAATTCGAGGTCTCGCCAAATCGCTAACGAGCGGTTGCGTGCACGGAAGGTGTAGTGCACGAATGGAAACCGGGCGATAGGGCCTGGCTGCACTGCCCGCATGCGCCGTTGGCTACGTCCCCTAAACTACTGAGGCCATGGCGGGGACCCGTGGAGGTCGTGCGGGTTGCACGACCCCAGTGTATTCAGATAAAATGGGGAAAGCGCCGTTGGTACGTTCACCCCTCCCGGCTGAAACCATTCTCGGCACCATATAGCCTTCCTTTATGTCGTGAGGACCGAGCATGTGATGTGGCCGGCGACTCGGGAAGGGAAATGTCTCCGCCTGATCCTCACATGTCTCCGCCTGATCCGCTCCCAGGTGTCTCGGAACTGACGACTGCCGACCATCGGCGACCGGATCCCCAAGGCACGTGCGGTTCTTCCAGGCCTGCTCCATGCCTTCCTGGGCTGCCGGAGCCACCGGACGGTCAACAACGTCCCGTCCCGTACGACGGACCGGCCAGGGGGGGTGCAGGACGGTTCCGCCGGATCGTCTCGTCACAGCGTTCCCCGTCCGTCCGACCGCTCTATTGTTCCGTTCAAGGGGCGAGCGGGGGGGGGGGGGGGGACCAGGGGGTCGAGGGGACGCTGGACACGTCATTCTTGTAAAAACTTTATTCGATTTACTCGTCGGTTTGTACATATGTTCGTTGTTATTACTGTTTAATGTTCGGGGTTATTGCTGTTGTGTTGTGTTGGGTTGTGTTGTGTTGCGTTGTGTTCATGTTACGGGGCGCACATGTGGAGTGGGGTTTTTTTTTTGCAGCCGGGCCAGCTGCGAGCTATGTGGGAGGGGGTGATGTAGTGGTGATACGTGCTGGCAGGGGGGATCGTGAGACAGCGCGTGGTGGGTGGTTACATCACGGTCCGCAAGCGGGTGCCCACATCGCGGTCCGCATAGGCTCCGCCCCCCCCGGGAGCGGAGGGCTATGTAAGGCAATGCGCGGGGGCACTCGGGGAGTTGGTAACCGGCGAAGACAGAAGACGGAGGAAGAGATAGGCCCTGGGACCCCTAGCCCCGCTGCCCTTGTAAGGGCCGGGGCTCTGTGAGGCTCAGAGGCGAGGCCTTGGGATTCACGGCCCAACGCCCTTGTAAGGGCCGGGCTGTGTAACTCAGTGGTCGAGACCCGTGGCCTGACAAGGCGGGTCTGATAGCTCCCCGTGGGGAGAGCGTGGCCGGAGAGCCTGAGGCAAGGCAGAGTTAGGCACGCATACCCTACGGGAGAGAATGAGTGCGGCCCGAGCCGGGCGCGCGTAGGGGTCTGATAGCTCCCCGTGGGGAGAGCGTAGCCGGAGAGCCTGAGTGCAAGGCAGAGTTAGGTATGCGTACCCCACGGGGGAGACGGAGTGCGTGGCCGAGTCAGGCACGCGTAACATAGGCGTTATCTCGGTTGTGCCTGTTACTGTGCAACCATTGTGAATAAACAAGTGCTGCCCCGTCAACTCGTCTCCCGCCATTATTGAAGATATTACATATACAGCAGGTTCGAGATCGAACCCACGACCTCCTGTGTACCAGGCAAGGTAGTTAACATATCGCCACCATGCAAACTCCAAATATAGAGCAGGTTCGAGATCGAACCCACGACCTCCTGTGTACCAGGCGAGGTAGCTAACATCTCGCCACCATGCAAACTTTAAATATACAGCAGGTTCGAGATCGAACCCACGACCTCCTGCGTACCAGGCGAGGTAGCTAACATCTCGCCACCATGCAAAATCCAAATATACAGCAGGTTCGAGATCGAACCCACGACCTCCTGCATACCAGGCGAGGTAGCTAACATCTCGCCACCATGCAAACTCCAAATATACAGCAGGTTCGAGATCGAACCCACGACCTCCTGTGTACCAGACGAGGTAGCTAACATCTCGCCACCATGCAAACCTCAAATATACAGCAGGTTCGAGATCGAACCCACGACTTCCTGTGTACCAGGTGAGGTAGCTAACATCTCCTAGCCACCGTGACACGTGGAGTTGGACACGTGGGCGTGGGCGCAAGGTCACGCGTGTGCAGACACTGCCCCGGTGGTAGGTGGGAAGTGGGGGCGCGCCGCCGCCAGGCGAACAGAGAAAGGTGGTGGGGGGTGGGGGCGATGCGGCATGACAGCGACAGTGGGGGGCTCTGCTCACGAGCCACGTGATAACAGACTGGCCTCGGGGTTTCTCAACTGAACCCCCGGTGCGAGGATAGATATTGGCGTGGTGGATGAGGTGGTGGGTGGTGATGATGGATATTGATGTGGTGGATGAGGTGGTGGGTGGTGATGATGGATACTGGTGTGGTGGATGAGGTGGTGGGTGGTGATGATGGATATTGATGTGGTGGATGAGGTGGTGGGTGGTGATGATGGATACTGGTGTGGTGGATGAGGTGGTGGGTGGTGATGATGGATATTGATGTGGTGGATGAGGTGGTGGGTGGTGATGATGGATATTGATGTGGTGGATGAGGTGGTGGGTGATGATGGATATTGGTGTGGTGGATGAGGTGGTGGGTGGTGATGATGGATATTGATGTGGTGGATGAGGTGGTGGGTGGTGATGATGGATACTGGCGTGGTGGATGAGGTGATGGGTGGTGATGATGGATATTGGCGTGGTGGATGAGGTGGTGGGTGATGATGATGGATATTGATGTGGTGGATGAGGTGGTGGGTGATGATGATGGATACTGGTGTGGTGGATGAGGTGGTGGGTGATGATGATGGATACTGGTGTGGTGGATGAGGTGGTGGGTGATGATGATGGATATTGGTGTGGTGGATGAGGTGGTGGGTGGTGATGATGGATATTGGTGTGGTGGATGAGGTGGTGGGTGGTGATGATGGATATTGGTGTGGTGGATGAGGTGGTGGGTGATGATGATGGATATTGGTATGGTGGATGAGGTGGTGGGTGATGATGATGGATATTGGTGTGGTGGATGAAGTGGTGGGTGATGATGATGGATATTGGTGTGGTGGATGAAGTGGTGGGTGATGATGATGGATATTGGTGTGGTGGATGAGGTGGTGGGTGGTGATGATGGATATTGGTGTGGTGGATGAGGTGGTGGGTGGTGATGATGGATATTGGTGTGGTGGATGAGGTGGTGGGTGGTGATGATGGACATTGGTATGGTGGATGAGGTGGTGGGTGGTGATGATGGATATTGATGTGGTGGATGAGGTGGTGGGTGGTGATGATGGATATTGGTGTGGTGGATGAGGTGGTGGGTGGTGATGATGGATATTGGTATGGTGGATGAGGTGGTGGGTGGTGATGATGGACATTGGTGTGGTGGATGAGGTGGTGGGTGATGATGATGGATATTGGTGTGGTGGATGAGGTGGTGGGTGGTGATGATGGATATTGGTGTGGTGGATGAGGTGGTGGGTGGTGATGATGGACATTGGCGTGGTGGATGAGGTGTCATTGTAGTGCGTATTTAATGTGGCGCTGCACTCTGATGTTGTAGGAGAAAACATTTATTAAAAGTCTATTTAATTAAGTAGAACGTGTTGTCTATACTTATTTAAAGTTGCGCATTTTGCTGTCACATATCTCAACAGACCCCCTCCCCATCTTCACACATCGTCACAAATGTCCCCCCTAGGTGCGTGACGTCATTTATGGACGGCCCCATACCGGTAACATTTGCGTATTTATGCTCGCTGTGGGAGAATGCAAACTGAAGATCCCCGTGTCAGGGATGGAACCCAGGTCCCCATGTACGTGAAGATCGCGTGCGAGTCACCGTGGTACCCTGCGGGGGAGGTGTGATGTTAATGGTAGTGGTTGAAACCCTTCTCCTGCACACTGCAAAAAAAAAAATGCACTCGGCACGTTTGAGGTTGAGTGCAACCTGACCGTCTGCAGATGGTCAGGGCACGTCATCGTGATTGTTATCTGTTGGTATGCGCGTGAGGTGTGTGTTCGTGTGTGTGACTCCCTGTGGCGCTTCACCTGGCTAACGCTGCCTATAAAAGCGAGAGAGACACGCAGGGAGAGGATTAGGAGGAAGAGGAGACGGCGGCGGTGGTGGTGGTAGTGACGACTCTGGATGTTGGCCAGGTGAGAGACGGGCGAGGCGGGGAGAGACACGGGGTCACCCCAGGTGCGTGGCACCACCTCGGGAGAGCGCAAGGGACCTCTCTGGCTCTCGCGCACCGTGCAAACGACGCACGCGAACACACTGCACATCAACATTTGCGCATCAACACCTCCATATGCACGTGAACGCATACGCGCGATAATACACACACACGTATACACATGAACACACGTGCACATCAACACGAGCACATATCACATCAACGCACACACGTGAACACACAGACGTTCACGCGAACATGCACAATAGGCGCTGATGAGTGAACAATGTGGCGAACTTGTGGTTAATAAGTTTAGTTTTGCCCACTTGGCAGCGGCTTCTCTCTACAATGTCTCGGAGTTCATTACCGCCTTTTTAAATCCTTTATATTAAGTTCACTTGCTTGCTTGATTGCGCGCTTACGACCGTGCAAATCTTTCGGTCGTTTTGTAACCCACTTCCCGTGATCCAATCGAGCTGACATTTTGCACACAGACTCGTTGTGCGTGACAATTTATTTTCGTAAAAAAAATTTTCCTAAATTTTACACTTTTTAGGAAAAAATTAATTCTATTTTATTACCAATTGCTTAATGGTGGCAGGCAATCATCTGACCCATAGGTGGCAGCCATCTCAAGCCAGAGGACGAGAGGACTCTAGCCGCCACGCATATAAAGGATTTATAGTGAAAAACTTTGTATTTACGGGTTAATTTTTTATCTCCCAATAAGAGTGTGTGAGAAGTGTCTTCTAATGTCGCTGTGATTAACATCAGTGCCTCTTGTTCTAATGTGTTCACGCGTATGTCCTGATACTTGTTTTATATGTAACTCTCGCGTGGCTGTTCCACACTCACCTCACACACCTCATCACCTCAAAACACTCTACCCTCACCTCGTCACCTCATCACACTCCCTTACCCTCACCTCATTACACTCCCTTACCCTCACCTAATCACACACCCTTACCCTCACCTCATCACACACCCTTACCCTCACCTCATTACACTCCCTTACCATCACCTCATTACACTCCCTTACCCTCACCTCGTCACACACCCTTACCATCACCTCATTACACACCCTTACCATCACCTCATCACACACCCTTACCCTCACCTCATCACACACCCTTACCCTCACCTCATTACACACCCTTACCATCACCTCATTACACACCCTTACCCTCACCTCATTACACACCCTTACCCTCACCTCATCACACACCCTTACCCTCACCTCATTACACACCCTTACCCTCACCTCATCACACACCCTTACCCTCACCTCATCACACACCCTTACCCTCACCTCATCACACTCCCTTACCCTCACCTCATCACACACCCTTACCCTCACCTCATCACACACCCTTACCCTCACCTCATCACACACCCTTACCCTCACCTCATCACACACCCTTACCCTCACCTCATTACACACCCTTACCCTCACCTCATCACACTCCCTTACCCTCACCTCATCACACACCCTTACCCTCACCTCATTACACACCCTTACCCTCACCTCATCACACACCCTTACCCTCACCTCATTACACACCCTTACCCTCACCTCGTCACACACCCTTACCCTCACCTCATCACACTCTTTACCCTCACCTCATCACACACCCTTACCCTCACCTCATCACACACCCTTACCCTCACCTCATCACACACCCTTACCCTCACCTCATCACACACCCTTACCCTCACCTCATTACACACCCTTACCCTCACCTCATCACACTCCCTTACCCTCATCTCATCACACTCCCTTACCCTCACCTCATCACACACCCTTACCCTCACCTCATCACACACCCTTACCCTCACCTCATCACACACCCTTACCCTCACCTCATCACACACCCTTACCCTCACCTCATCACACTTTCTTACCCTCACCTCATTACACACCCTTACCATCACCTCATTACACTCCCTTACCCTCACCTCATCACACTCCCTTACCCTCACCTCATTACACTCCCTTACCCTCACCTCATCACACACCCTTACCCTCACCTCATCACACACCCTTACCATCACCTCATTACACTCCCTTACCATCACCTCATTACACACCCTTACCCTCACCTCATTACACACCCTTACCCTCACCTCATCACACACCCTTACCCTCACCTCATTACACACCCTTACCCTCACCTCATCACACACCCTTACCCTCACCTCGTCACACACCCTTACCCTCACCTCATTACACACCCTTACCCTCACCTCATCACACTCCCTTACCCTCACCTCATTACACTCCCTTACCCTCACCTCATTACACACCCTTATCCTCACCTCATCACACTCCCTTACCCTCACCTCATCACACACCCTTACCCTCACCTCATCACACTCCCTTACCCTCACCTCATCACACACCCTTACCCTCACCTCATCACACTCCCTTACCATCACCTCATTACACACCTTTACCCTCACCTCATCACACTCCCTTACCCTCACCTCATTACACACCCTTATCCTCACCTCATCACACTCCCTTACCCTCACCTCGTCACACACCCTTACCATCACCTCATCACACACCCTTACCCTCACCTCATCACACACCCTTACCCTCACCTCATCACACACCCTTACCCTCACCTCATTACACACCCTTACCCTCACCTCATCACACACCCTTACCCTCACCTCATCACACACCCTTACCCTCACCTCATCACACACCCTTACCCTCACCTCATCACACACCCTTACCCTCACCTCATCACACACCTTACCCTCACCTCATCACACACCCTTACGTTCACCTCATCACACACCTTTACCCTCACCTCATTACACACCCTTACCCTCACCTCATCACACTCCCTTACCCTCACCTCATCACACTCCCTTACCCTCACCTCATCACACACCCTTACCCTCACCTCATCACACACCCTTACCCTCACCTCATTACACACCCTTACCCTCACCTCATCACACACCCTTACCCTCACCTCATTACACTCCCTTACCCTCACCTCATTACACACCCTTATCCTCACCTCATCACACTCCCTTACCCTCACCTCATTACACACCCTTACCCTCACCTCATTACACTCCCTTACCCTCACCTCATCACACTCCCTTACCCTCACCTCATCACACACCCTTACCCTCACCTCATCACACACCCTTACCCTCACCTCATCACACACCCTTACCCTCACCTCATCACACACCCTTACCCTCACCTCATTACACACCCTTACCATCACCTCATCACACACCGTTACCATCACCTCATCACACACCCTTACCCTCACCTCATCACACACCCTTACCCTCACCTCATCACACTCCCTTACCCTCACCTCATCACACACCCTTACCCTCACCTCATCACACACCCTTACCCTCACCTCATCACACACCCTTACCCTCACCTCATCACACACCCTTACCCTCACCTCATCACACTCCCTTACCCTCACCACATTACACACCCTTACCCTCACCTCGTCACACACCCTTACCCTCACCTCATCACACTCCCTTACCCTCACCTCATCACACACCCTTACCCTCACCTCATCACACACCCTTACCCTCACCTCATCACACACCCTTACCCTCACCTCATTACACACCCTTACCCTCACCTCGTCACACTCCCTTACCCTCACCTCATCACACTCCCTTACCCTCACCTCATCACACTCCCTTACCCTCACCTCATCACACTCCCTTACCCTCACCTCATCACACACCCTTACCCTCACCTCATCACACACCCTTACCCTCACCTCATCACACACCCTTACCCTCACCTCATCACACACCCTTACCCTCACCTCATCACACTCCCTTACCCTCACCTCATTACACACCCTTACCCTCACCTCGTCACACACCCTTACCCTCACCTCATCACACTCCCTTACCCTCACCTCATCACACACCCTTACCCTCACCTCATCACACAACCCTTACCCTCACCTCATCACACACCCTTACCCTCACCTCATCACACACCCTTACCCTCACCTCATCACACTCCCTTACCCTCACCTCATTACACACCCTTACCCTCACCTCGTCACACACCCTTACCTTCACCTCATCACACTCCCTTACCCTCACCTCATCACACACCCTTACCCTCACCTCATCACACACCCTTACCCTCACCTCATCACACACCCTTACCCTCACCTCATTACACACCCTTACCCTCACCTCGTCACACTCCCTTACCCTCACCTCATCACACTCCCTTACCCTCACCTCATCACACACCCTTACCCTCACCTCATCACACACCCTTACCCTCACCTCATCACACTCCCTTACCCTCACCTCATCACACACCCTTACCCTCACCTCATCACACTCCCTTACCCTCACCTCATCACACACCCTTACCCTCACCTCATTACACACCCTTACCCTCACCTCGTCACACTCCCTTACCCTCACCTCATCACACTCCCTTACCCTCACCTCATCACACACCCTTACCCTCACCTCATCACACACCCTTACCCTCACCTCATTACACACCCTTACCCTCACCTCATCACACACCCTTACCCTCACCTCATCACACACCCTTACCCTCACCTCATTACACACCCTTACCCTCACCTCATCACACTCCCTTACCCTCACCTCATTACACTCCCTTACCCTCACCTCATTACACACCCTTATCCTCACCTCATCACACTCCCTTACCCTCACCTCATCACACTCCCTTACCCTCACCCTCATTACACACCCGTACCCTCACCTCATTACACACCCTTACTATCACCTCATTACACACCCGTACCCTCACCTCATTACACAACCCTTACCCTCACCTCATCACACACCCTTACCCTCACCTCATTACACACCCTTACCCTCACCTCATCACACACCCTTACCATCACCTCATTACACTCCCTTACCCTCACCTCATCACACACCCTTACCATCACCTCATCACACTCCCTTACCCTCACCTCATCACACCCTACCCTCACCTCATTACCCACCCTTACCATCACCTCATTACACTCCATTACCCTCACCTCATCACACACCCTTACCCTCACCTCATTACACTCCCTTACCCTCACCTCATTACACACCCTTACCATCACCTCATTACACTCCATTACCCTCACCTCATTACACACCCTTACCCTCACCTCATCACACTCCCTTACCCTCACCTCATCACACTCCCTTACCATCACCTCATCACACACCCGTACCATCACCTCATTACACTCCCTTACCCTCACCTCATCACACACCCTTACCCTCACCTCATCACACACCCTTACCCTCACCTCGTCACACTCCCTTACCCTCACCTCATCACACTCCATTACCCTCACCTCGTCACGCTCCCTTACCCTCACCTCGTCACACTCCCTTACCCTCACCTCGTCACACTCCCTTACCCTCACCTCATCACACTTCATTACCCTCACCTCATCACACACCCTTACCCTCACCTCATTACACTCCCTTACCATCACCTCATTACACACCCTTACCCTCACCTCATTACACTCCCTTACCCTCACCTCATTACACTCCTTTACCATCACCTCATCGCACACCCTTACCCTCACCTCATCACACTCCCTTACCCTCACCTCATCACACTCCCTTACCCTCACCTCATTACACACCCTTACCCTCACCTCATCACACACCCTTACCCTCACCTCATCACACTCCCTTACCCTCACCTCATTACACACCCTTACCATCACCTCATTACACTCCCTTACCCTCACCTCATCACACTCCCTTACCCTCACCTCATTACACTCCCTTACCCTCACCTCATCACACACCCTTACCCTCACCTCATCACACACCCTTACCATCACCTCATTACACTCCCTTACCATCACCTCATTACACACCCTTACCCTCACCTCATTACACTCCCTTACCCTCACCTCATCACACACCCTTACCCTCACCTCAACACACTCCCTTACCATCACCTCATCACACTCCCTTGCCCTCACCTCATTACACACCCTTACCCTCACCTCATTACACTCCCTTACCCTCACCTCATCACACACCCTTACCCTCACCTCATTACACTCCCTTACCCTCACCTCATTACACACCCTTTCCCTCACCTCATCACACTCCCTTACCATCACCTCATCACACACCCTTACCCTCACCTCATTACACTCCCTTACCATCACCTCATTACACTCCCTTACCATCACCTCATTACACTCCCTTACCATCACCTCATTACACACCCTTACCCTCACCTCATTACACTCCCTTACCCTCGCCTCATCACACTCCCTTACCCTCACCTCATCACACACCCTTACCCTCACCTCATTACACACCCTTACCCTCACCTCATCACACACCCTTACCCTCACCTCGTCACACACCCTTACCCTCACCTCATTACACACCCTTACCCTCACCTCATCACACTCCCTTACCCTCACCTCATTACACTCCCTTACCCTCACCTCATTACACACCCTTATCCTCACCTCATCACACTCCCTTACCCTCACCTCATCACACACCCTTACCCTCACCTCATCACACTCCCTTACCCTCACCTCATCACACACCCTTACCCTCACCTCATCACACACCCTTACCCTCACCTCATTACACACCCTTATCCTCACCTCATCACACTCCCTTACCATCACCTCATTACACACCCTTACCCTCACCTCATCACACACCCTTACCCTCACCTCATCACACACCCTTACCCTCACCTCATCACACACCCTTACCCTCACCTCATCACACACCCTTACCCTCACCTCATCACACACCCTTACCCTCACCTCATCACACACCCTTACCCTCACCTCATCACACACCCTTACCCTCACCTCATCACACACCCTTACCCTCACCTCATCACACACCCTTACCCTCACCTCATCACACACCCTTACCCTCACCTCATCACACACCCTTACCCTCACCTCATCACACACCCTTACCCTCACCTCATCACACACCCTTACCATCACCTCATTACACACCCTTACCCTCACCTCATCACACACCCTTACCCTCACCTCATCACACACCCTTACCCTCACCTCATCACACACCCTTACCCTCACCTCATCACACACCCTTACCCTCACCTCATCACACACCCTTACCCTCACCTCATCACACACCCTTACCCTCACCTCATCACACACCCTTACCCTCACCTCATCACACTCCCTTACCCTCACCTCATCACACACCCTTACCCTCACCTCGTCACACACCCTTACCCTCACCTCATCACACTCCCTTACCATCACCTCATTACACACCCTTACCCTCACCTCATCACACACCCTTACCCTCACCTCGTCACACTCCCTTACCCTCACCTCGTCACACACCCTTACCATCACCTCATTACACACCCTTACCCTCACCTCATCACACACCCTTACCCTCACCTCATCACACACCCTTACCCTCACCTCATCACACACCCTTACCCTCACCTCATCACACACCCTTACCCTCACCTCATCACACACCCTTACCCTCACCTCATCACACACCCTTACCCTCACCTCGTCACACTCCCTTACCATCACCTCATTACACACTCTTACCCTCACCTCATTACACTCCCTTACCCTCACCTCATCACACACCCTTACCCTCACCTCATCACACTCCCTTACCCTCACCTCATCACACACCCTTACCATCACCTCGTCACACACCCTTACCCTCACCTCGTCACACTCTCTCACCTCGTCTCAGGTCCGCAAGTCGTCTTTAACCTCATCAACGTCTCTCTGAATCTCATCGCCTCCCCTCACCTGCTCTCACACCCGCTCGTCATTCACCTCATCTCGGCATCGCGCCCCTCACTCCCTCCGCCAAACGTCGTCACTCACCTCATCGTTTCTCCCTAGCCCCCTTCATCTCCCTCATCTCGTCACTCCCCTCATCCCCCCTCCACCTCATCAACTCACCACGTCACTCACCTCGTCGTCTCTCCCTAGCCCCCGTCATCTCCCTCATCTCCTCCCCTCTTCACTCGCCCTGCCCTCCCTCCCTCCACCTCGTCGCTTCACCTCGTCACCGAGGATGGGGCCGCAACTGAGAGGCACGACGCTGCGCTGGAGCGACGTGGAGGCGCTCGCGGGGTTGGTGCGCGCACGCGGCCTCCAGCAGCTCGTGCGGATCCTCGCGCGGCGGGGACACGGGGACTACCCGTTCCTCTGGGGCGACGAGGTGAGAGCGACGAGGTGACTAGTGAGGGGGGAGGTGATGAGTGAGGCAAATGAGGTGATGAGTGAGGGGGGAGGTGATGAGTGAGGCAATGGGGTGATGAGTGAGGCAATGAGATGATGAGTGAGGCAATGAGGTGATGAGTGAGGCAATGAGATGATGAGTGAGGCAATGAGGTGATGAGTGAGGCAATGAGGTGATGAGTGAGGCAATGAGGTGATGAGTGAGGCAATGAGGTGATGAGTGAGGCAATGGGGTGATGAGTGAGGCAATGAGGTGATGAGTGAGGCAATGAGGTGATGAGTGAGGCAATGAGGTGATGAGTGAGGCAATGAGGTGATGAGTGAGGCAATGGGGTGATGAGTGAGGCAATGGGGTGATGAGTGAGGCAATGAGGTGATGAGTGAGGCAATGAGGTGATGAGTGAGACAATGAGGTGATGAGTGAGGCAATGGGGTGATGAGTGAGGCAATGAGGTGATGAGTGAGGCAATGAGGTGATGAGTGAGGCAATGGGGTGATGAGTGAGGCAATGAGGTGATGAGTGAGGCAATGAGGTGATGAGTGAGGCAATGGGGTGATGAGTGAGGCAATGGGGTGATGAGTGAGGCAATGGGGTGATGAGTGAGGCAATGAGATGATGAGTGAGGCAATGAGGTGATGAGTGAGGCAATGAGATGATGAGTGAGGCAATGGGGTGATGAGTGAGGCAATGGGATGATGAGTGAGGCAATGAGGTGATGAGTGAGGCAATGGGGTGATGAGTGAAGCAATGAGGTGATGAGTGAGGCAATGAGGTGATGAGTGAGGCAATGGGGTGATGAGTGAGGCATGAGTGAGGCAATGGGGTGATGAGTGAGGCAATGAGGTGATGAGTGAGGCAATGAGGTGATGAGTGAGGCAATGAGGTGATGAGTGAGGCAATGAGGTGATGAGTGAGGCAATGGGGTGATGAGTGAGGCAATGAGGTGATGAGTGAGGCAATGAGGTGATGAGTGAGGCAATGGGGTGATGAGTGAGGCAATGAGGTGATGAGTGAGGCAATGAGGTGATGAGTGAGGCAATGGGGTGATGAGTGAGGCAATGAGGTGATGAGTGAGGCAATGGGGTGATGAGTGAGGCAATGAGATGATGAGTTAGGGGACGAGGTGATGAGTGAGGGGACGAGGTGATGAGTGAGGCAATGGGGTGATGAGTGAGGCAATGGGGTGCTGAGTGAGGCAATGAGGTGATGAGTGAGGCAATGAGGTGATGAGTGAGGCAATGAGGTGATGAGTGAGGCAATGAGGTGATGAGTGAGGCAATGAGGTGATGAGTGAGGGGGCGAGGTGATGAGTGAGGCAATGAGATGATGAGTGAGGCAATGGGGTGATGAGTTAGGGGACGAGGTGATGAGTGAGGGGACGAGGTGATGAGTGAGGCAATGAGATGATGAGTGAGGCAATGAGGTGATGAGTGAGGCAATGGGGTGATGAGTGAGGCAATGGGGTGATGAGTGAGGCAATGAGATGATGAGTGAGGCAATGAGATGATGAGTGAGGCAATGGGGTGATGAGTTAGGGGACGAGGTGATGAGTGAGGAGACGAGGTGATGAGTGAGGAGACGAGGTGATGAGTGAGGCAATGAGGTGATGAGTGAGGGGACGAGGTGATGAGTGAGGCAATGGGGTGATGAGTGAGGCAATGGGGTGATGAGTGAGGCATTGAGGTGATGAGTGAGGCAATGAGGTGATGAGTGAGGCAATGAGGTGATGAGTGAGACAATGGGGTGATGAGTGAGGGGACGAGGTGATGAGTGAGGCAATGAGGTGATGAGTGAGGGGACGAGGTGATGAGTGAGGCAATGAGGTGATGAGTGAGGGGACGAGGTAATGAGTGAGGCAATGGGGTGATGAGTGAGGCAATGAGGTGATGAGTGAGGGGACGAGGTGATGAGTGAGGCAATGAGGTGATGAGTGAGGGGACGAGGTAATGAGTGAGGCAATGGGGTGATGAATGAGGGGACGAGGTGATGAGTGAGGCAATGAGGTGATGAGTGAGGGGACGAGGTGATGAGTGAGGCAATGAGATGATGGGTGAGGCAATGAGATGATGAGTGAGGCAATGAGGTGATGAGTGAGGCAATGAGGTGATGAGTGAGGGGACGAGGTGAGAGAGACGAGATGACGAGAAAGCGAGTGAGCGCGGTGATGAGGCGACTGAAAAATCAAGTGAGAGGTCGCGGCGATGAGATTGTTTAGGGGACGAGGTAAATGAGACGAGGTGATAAGACGAGGTGATAAGACGAGGTGAGAGGATGAGGTCAGTGTGAATTGACGAGCGTGTATCTGAGGTGATGAGGTGGGTTTCCTGTTGCCTCTAGGTCCAGGCAACAGCAGCAATTACAATTACACGCCTATGCCTTGAGCCCATTCCAGCGTGACTTTGTGAGTTATCACTGACATCAAGGCCGTCATTATAATAGGTATTGGGAGGGACACAATCCCCCCCAATATTCAAAAATGCTCAAAATGCCCCCCCCCCCATATGTAAATATAAAAATGCGATGCTATGTAAATAAAAACAACAATTTGCTAAACCATGGCCACAATATCTGGACTAGTCTTCATAAAAATCAATGCATAGATTTCTGCTTATATGATTGCGGTTGTACTTTATTAATCCCTAATCCCAAACATTACATACAATAAAACAAGAAATGTTAAAAAAGTTAAAACAGAGCAATGTAATACAATACACTATTAGACATTATTGTAAAAAATAAATAAAAAGTTCATCCCATGTGTTAGTGAATGTTTTATTATTTTTAGGCAGGAAATGGCAGGAAATTCGTTTTAAAAAAAAAATCTGGGTTGGGAGCCCCAGATCCCTGGAAGATTTGGTCCCCCCCAATGTTGACTCCATGGCTACAGCCTTGGTTGACATCGAATGCTGCTGAGGCCAGTCGGTAGATGGTGGTTGATCGCTCACACCAACTTTATCCCGCAGTCTGTGAAGCCTGTAACGGGAGGCATCGTTGCCGTCGGCGGTAGTTCGATTCCCGCTCACGGACAACACCGGTGACGATTGTTCGAACCGGTCCTGGGCTTTCCCTAGGTCGACTCAGCCTCAAATGAGTTACCTGGTGCGGTGTGTAAACATCGCCACTGGGGAGACAAAAGCGGCCGGGTTTGGTGCTGGCCACCCACTCCCTCGTGTGCCGTGCCAGCCTTCATAGGTGCTACTCGCTAACAGCACTTGCCCCAGCAGTCTGTTAAGGCTATACGGGGTGATCTTTGAAGGTAGTGATGATGGTGCTTGTGGAGCTGGTGGTGGTGCTGGTCGTATGTTGAACTTCTGTCGCAAGCTTGTCGCACAGGGGGGAAGGAGCGCGGGCGGGTGGGGGGGGGGGGCAATTCAACACAAAATAATAATAAACAAAACACAATCCAGCAACGAAAAAACTCGTCGTTTTACTTCTAGGGCCACAGTTTTACTGACGAATGTGTTTGTTGATATTTTCAGTCTGAAAGGGGCATCGGCTTGGCCGTGCCGCTGTTTCCTCCCTCCACCTCTCCGTGTCCCCCTCCTCTCTCCGTCTCCGAATCCTCTCTGCGTCTGCCCCCGTGTGAGCTGGCAGGTCGAGTACATGCTCGTCTCCTTCGATCACGTGGCTCGCAGGGCCCGACTCCTGTTCAACGCAGAGGAGCTGGCCAACGACTTGACAGCCATGGACGAGGAGGCCAACCCGGGGTGAGACTTCCTCCTCTCACCCTCCTCCGCACCCTCCTCCTCACCCTCCTCCGCACCCTCCTCCTCACCCTCCTCCTCACCCTCCTCCGCACCCTGCCACGTGCTCACGGGAGAGTGGCCGTGCCCCAACGCCCCCAAGATGTTTGTCAAACCCAACACTTTGTGTAAATTGTGAGAATTCCCCTCGGGAGAGTGGCAGGAGGAATGCACCCTCCTCCGCACCCTGCCACGTGCTCACGGGAGAGTGGCCGTGCCCCAACGGCCCCAAGATGTTTGTCAAACCCAACACTTTGTGTAAATTGTGAGAATTCCCCTCGGGGGAGTGGCAGGAGGAATGCACGCAGGGTGGAGACATTCTTTGAGTCTTTCGGTAATCTTCTTGGTTCTTTCGGTAAAGTCACGTAGAAGGGAAGTAATAAAATAATAAAATAAAACATAACAAAAATAATTATCAGACTCTGCCTTCTCGACAGACCTATTCTCCACCTGAAGACGGCTGCTTGCGTTGTGGCCGAAGCGTCGTAAGAATTATTTTGTTATGTAATATTTTTATTATTTTATTACTTCCATTCTACGTGACTTTACCGAAAGAACCAAGAAGATGAATCCATGCAGTCACGAAAGCTTTAAATCGAAATCTTTCGGTAATCTTGACTTAAAGCTTTCGTGAATGCAGGAATTCATATTCTTTGGGTCTTTCGGTAAAGTCACGTAGATAGTTTTTTTTCCCTACTGATCACGATCGCTTGTGTTGTGATCGAAACGTCGTAGTTTTTTGCTATTTTCTCTCAAACCTATCAACGTGACTTTACCGAAAGACCCAAATAATATCTTTCGGTAAAGTCACGTAGATAGGTTCAAAGAAAATAACAAAAAACTACGACGTTTCGATCACAACACAAGCGATCGTCATCAGGAGGAAAAAAAGGAGGAGTGCTGCTGAGGCAGACTGTTTTAAAGGTTATCAAAACATGACAATATTAACCAAACGAACAGGCACATTGCACCAAAGACAAGGACGAGAGGAGATGAGCGCTAAGGTGGAAGCGAACACGGTCGAGCGAAGGCACCCAACCATCACGGGAACTGCCAGTTCATGAGTGGGTCACATGGTACGCTCCCGCCGTCTGCTTCAAAGGGGACGCTAAAGGTCTCGTGACGTCTTTTGCAGGAGGCCCGTTGTGTATCAGCATCCACGGGGATGTCACGGTGGCTAGGAGATGTTAACTACCTCGCCTGGTGTGCAGGAGGTCATGGGTTCGATCCCGACCTTGACGCCTGTTGTGTATTTGGAGTTTGCATATTCTCCCTGTGGTGGCGTGGATTTTTCTCCAGCTTCTCCCCGGGGTTTCCCTCCACATTTACCAACATGGGTTTAGTGTATTTGGCTGCTATACATTTCCACATGATAACCCACCTCGTTGAGCTATCATTTGTGGCCAGGTCGCTTCTGAAAAGAGCTATACAGCTCAGTGAGCCTTACCTGGTAAAATCAAAAAATAGTTTAACAGTTTTAATTTTGCCTATTTTGAAGAAAAAAAATACCCGCAAAATTACATGCATTGGAATATACATATCAATCATCTCCACCCATGACAATATGGCAGGACTCCACTTAAAGAGAGTAATTTTTATGTCGGTGAGATTTCCTTGCACGTACAAACAAGCAGGACGATCAGCTACATCATGGGACCTCCTTTGCCAGTACCAAAATATACTAATAGGGTTTCCCCCCTTTTTTCTGGCAACAAAACTGACACCTTTTGCAAGGAATCATGTTTACATTAACCACAATACTTGCAGTCAAATGCAAACAAAAAACAATACTTTTTTTTTGACTGCAAGTATTGTGGTTAATGTAAACATGATTCCTTGCAAAAGATGTCAGTTTTGTTGCCAGAAAAAAGGGGAAAAACCCTATTAGTAAGCAGGATGAAGCAAAGCAACAATAATAACAATAACAATGGTAATATCCCTTCCATGCGGCAGGCACCCGTCGCGGTGGCACCTGGAGTTTAGCAGCTACATGGTGGAGGGAATCCCAGCGCAGCCGTACGGAGGCTCCATGGCCGAGCTGACGAGCGTGGAGACGAGCATGAGGCTGCGGCGGAGGGACGTGCTGGCTCGGCTGCACGCGAACGAGACGATATGCTCCCTCACCACCTTCCCCAGGTGAGAGGGTGCGTCGTTGGCGTCTCTCTCCTCTCAGGAGAAGAAGTAGGCACCTGCGTGCAAGCTCACCCCCTTTGTATGTATGTGTAGTGTCGTAGGTATCTTCTCCCTTGTTGAAGCTTGTGTGCGCGTGCGGGTGGCGTGTGGCGCACACGCTCAGCCGGAGACGAGGTAGTCGCAGGAGGCACCGTCCTTCCTTTATTAGGGGCCGTCCATAAATTACGTCACCCGATTTTGGACGATTTTTGACCCCCCCCCCCCCTTCGTTACACGACGTCACAAAAAGTCAGACCCCCCCCTCAAATATGACGTCACAAAGCTATGCCCCCCCCAAAAATAAAACATGCTTCAAATCGCTTTAAACTATTGTCATTGTAGTGCGTATTTAATGTGGCGCTGCACTCTGATATTGTAAGACAGGCATGTCCAAAGTCCGGCCCATGGGCCAATCACGGCCCGCGGTCAGATTTCATACGGCCCGCAGCTTCGGTCTTATAATGTGTTATTTATGGCTCGCTATCTCTGTCAGAATAAATAAATCATAAAACTTCCTCCTTCCGCCACACGGTGGCAGCACCATTCTAATGCCCTCTGGCTCTGCATCCGTGCCGCGAACCCTTCTCGAGTCATTTCTGCCATGGCGACTGCAAATAAAAGAGAAAAGTTGACAGTGAGGGCCGCCGCTTTCAGGAGCGGTGGGAATTACAATACTTCTTCACTGGAAATCGAGGCAATTGTGTTTGTCTAATTTGTAAAGAGACGATTGCCTTGTTAAAGGATGTCAACGTAAAGAGACACTACAAAACTAAACATGCTACAACATACGACAAGCTGACAGGGAGTGACCGCGCTGAAAAAGTGAAGCAACTCCAAGCTGCTCTGGCATCGCAACAGCGATTCTTCACGTGGGCCTGTGAGTCAAAGGAAAACATCACCAAAGCCAGCTACGAAGTGGCCATGTTAATAGCTAAACATGGCAAACCTTTTACTGAAGGTGCGTTTATCAAAGACTGTGTCATGAAAATGGTGGAGAACATTTTCCCCGAGAAGAAGCAAGAATGTATGAATGTTTGCCTGGCATCGCAACACTGTGGCACGGAGAGTTGAGGACATATCGTCAGATATTCAGAGACAACTGGGGGACAGGGGAGTGGCTTTTGATTATTTTTCATCAGCCTGCGATGAAAGCACCGATGCATCTGACACTGCACAACTACTTATTTTTTTAAGAGGAGTTGATGACAACATGAACGTGACAGAGGAGCTGCTTGACCTCAAAACCCTTAAAGGGCAAACCAGAAGAACAGATTTATTCGTTTCTGTTTGTGAAGCTGTTGATATGAAACTACCATGGAGTAAAGTTTCTGGGATCATTACCGATGGTGGCATGGTGCACCTCCAATGGCTGGTGAGCGAAGTGGATTGTCCACACTGATCTGCAATAAAGTCAGCGAAGAAGCAGGCAACGCTATTAAACTTCACTGTATCATTCACCAGCAGGCTCTCTGCGCCAAACATCTCAAATTTGACGATGTTATGAAACCAGTGGCAAGGCAATCAATTCTATTCGCTCTAAAGCTCTATACCACCGACAGTTTCAGCAGTTCTTACGTGACACCCAGGCTGAATACGGTGACGTAATATATCACAACGATGTGAGGTGGCTAAGTCGGGGGTCCGCACTGCAGCGATTTTTCTCTCTCAAAGAGGAAATTGGACATTTTTTGGGTGAGAAGGGACAACCAATGGAAGAACTGTCCGATCCTGTATGGCTGGCAAATCTGGCTTTTTTGGTTGACATAACGAAGCATCTGAATGCGCTGAATGTTAATCTTCAAGGAAAAGATGCAGTGGTGAGCCAGCTATACGCTCACATCAAGGCCTTTGGAACCAAACTGCAACTTTTCCAAAGACACTTGTCCCAAACAGAGCCCTGCACTGTGCACTTCCCAGCTTTGAAAGAGGTCATTGGCAGTTTCCCACAGGACAACATTGGTGCGCAAATGAAGAGTTATGCAACAAGCTGACAGGGAGTGAAGAGTTATGCAACAGCTATCGCATCTCTTTCTGTGGAATTTAACAAACGCTTTCGGGACTTTGCAGTTATTGAAAAGGACATGTTGCTTTTCTCTTCTCCCTTCTCCGTGGACCCTGATGATGCTCCTCCACAGCTGCAGCTGGAGCTCATTGAGCTGCAGTGTGACGATGAGTGCCGCGGAAAACACCAGCAGTGTTATCTTGTTGACTTGTACCGGCAGCTGGACAAAAGCAGGTTTCCAGAAATGCGGTCATTCGCTCCACATATTTGCGTGAGCAAACATTCTCAGTCATGAACTTAAACAAGAACCGATTGACGTCAAGGATGAGTGACTCTCATTTGCGTGACATTTTACGCATCTCAACTACTGTCCTCAAGCCAGACCTGGTCTCTTTACTGAAATCTTGATCTCAGTATCACCCTTCTCATTAGTGTCGGCAAGTTATCTGTTCCTTGATCAATCTGAAATTGAGTGTTTTGAACGGTAACATCTGTCACTATTAACAGTGAAAAGTCTAAAGCACACTAATGCACTTGGACTTATGGCACTTGTTTTATTAAACTCTTGAATAAGATTTGGTTATAACTGTTGATGTTATGTACCTGTAGATGTGACACAAACTATTGGTTTCTGAAAGATCTTGTAAAAGACAGGGGCAAAATTCACTTGTTTTAAAGTTTAACGATAACAGACCACTTTGCATTACTTATATCTCCGGTTTAAAATGTTTATGAGGCAAAGATATTTAACTCATGGAAATGTAAGGTATTCTATACAGTTTGTTCAATGTTATCTGACTAAATGAAAGGCAGAATTGTGTTTTTAGAGTTGTTCACGTCTGCCTGAGTGGCTTATATTTGGTTACATTGTCATTTGAAAAATAAAGGTAATTGTGACAATGACATTTTTTATAACAGTGTGTATTTTCACGTAACTTTTGTGGTTAAAAAATGTCAGAAGGAACTATTGGCCCCCCGGCATCTTCACTTTATCAAATTTGGCCCTCTTTGCAAAAGGTTTGGACACCCCTGTTGTAGGAGAAAACATTTATTAAAAAGTCTATTTAATTAAGTAGAACGTGTTGTTTATATTTACTTAAAGTTGCGCATTTTTATGTGACTTCACATTTCTCCAACCCCCCTCGTCACACATCGTCACAAATGTCTGACCCCTCCCCCCCCTAGGTGCGTGACGTCATTTATGGACGGCCCCTTACGTTCACACTACCAACTCCGGCCCCCTCTCTCTCTCTCACGACCACGCTGCTGTACGACCCGGCCCAGACACGACCCTGGCAGTGTTGCATCGACAGCATCGACCGAGAAAGCCAACTACTGTCCGGCCGTGCCGACAGCGGCGACTATGAGACGAGCCCACTCCCAGAACCATCAGCCCGGGGCTCTCACTCTCCGCTGCTTTTATTCCCCTCGGCCCGGCTTGGCTCCGCCCTAGCCGCGCCTCCCTTCTCGAACCTACCAGAGGGTTCCAGGGGCCTCCCCACGAGGTCTACCGTGACCCTTGACCCAGTTCCTCCGCCCTGCCGGCACACACACCGTGTATATGTTCAACGGCGTGTGCGCTAAGTGTCTACCTGCAGTTGCAGCTGCTGTACAGCAGTCAGCGCTGTGTCACTACATATGTATGTTGAACTTCTTTCGCACTGAACGCAGCCAACCTTGCTAATCGAAGTGTGTGGGGGGCGGGGGACAACAAACTAAACACAACAACAAGCATTTTTAAAGAAAATTCCTTTTTAGATCTACATTTAAAAGCACGAGGCCCACCCAGATGTTCCCAGAAGCCCGACACAGAATGCCACGTGGGGAAGGGGGGGGGGGTCCGCGAATTGACCGCGTGGAACATTCGCCCTCGTTTCTCAGTTTAAAAAAAAACTAAAAATGAAGAAAATGTTGCAGCCCTGGGCGTCCACGTGCGCTGACTCACCTTTGCGTGCCCCCCCCCCCCCGTGTGTGGCTCCTGTTGACGCAGACTCGGCTGCCCGGGTTTCTCTCAGCCTGAGTTTGTGCCCCAGCACCGAGACGGAATATTCACGTCACTGTTCTTGCCGGACGAGGCGATCGTCGGCCACGCGCGCTTTACGTGAGTGTGTGTGGTGAGTGTATGAGTGTGTGTGGTGAGTGTGTGAGTGTGTGTGGTGAGTTTATGAGTGTGTGTGGTGAGTTTATGAGTGTGTGTGGTGAGTGTATGAGTGTGTGGAGTGAGTATGTGAGTGAGTGCGTGAGATCTGGACAGGGGCCGTCTACAAATGACGTCACGCGATTTTGGACGATTTTTGACCCCCCCCCCCCATTCGTCACACGACGTCACAAAAAGTCAGACCCCCCCTCAAATGACGTCACAAAGCTCTGCCCCCCCCCCCCCAAAAATAAAACATGCTTCAAATCGCTTTAAACTATTGTCATTGTAGTGCGTATTTAATGTGGCGCTGCACTCTGATGTTGTAGGAGAAAACATTTCTTAAAAAGTCTATTTAATTAAGTAGAACGTGTTGTCTATATTTATTTAAAGTTGCGCATTTTGATGTGACGTCACATTTCTCAAACCCCCCCCCCACCCTCGTCACACATCGTCACAAATGTCTGACCCCCCCCAGGTGCGTGACGTCATTTATGGACAGCCCCACAGTGTGGGGAGCGATAGTGTAGTAGCGGTCAGCGCGCTGCGCTACTGAACCCAGTTAGATCCCCACTCATGATCAACACGAGTGACGATTATCTGAACCGGTTCTGGGCCTCCCCTAGGTCGACTCAACCTCAAACGAGTACTTGGGAGTAAACTAAATCCACGCAACCACGGGGACAACATGCAATTCCAAATATACAGACGGCAGCATCGGGATCGAACTCCACAACCTCGTGTATACCAGGCGTGGTAGTTAACATCTCATCGCCACCGTGGCACCCTGGGATTGACGTCAGGGGGCAGGGAATGCCGATGTTGCGGGGTATCATTACGGAGGGCCATTGCATTCATTTGAAATTCACAGGGACGTCGTTTTTTGTCGTCTCTCGCCCAGCAGCGCGCTTGCGAGGAACCTCCGCGAGAGGCGAGGAGAGAAGATCGTGGTGAACGTACCGAGTGGGTATCATTCAAACCAGCTGCCCCCCCCCCCACCCCCTTTCTTTTCCCTTTCACTTGCAACGTTCAACAACAGGAGTATGTGCTCTGCGCTTCAAACCTCGCTTCCCCCCCTCGTCTACCACCCCCCCACCCCCCCCCCCCCCCCCAGTCTTCAGGGACAGAAACACTCCATCCCCATTCATCGACAAAATCCCGGACGGTGACGAGGAAGCGGCCATCGCAATGAAGGCCGACCACATATACATGGACACGATGGGATTCGGCGCGGGAAACTGCTGCCTCCAGGTAGAGTTTAAAAAATATATATATTAAACTATTGCCAGGCATTTCACATCGGTGTAGGAAGTTGAATCTCAACAATTTTTTTTCTAATTACGAAACATATTTCATGATAAGAAGGCCCACTGAGCTAGGTAGCTCTTTCCAGAAGCGACCTGGCTATCACAAATGATAGCTCGACGAAATGGGCTCATCATCATCATCGTCGTCGTGATGCAGCAGCCAAAGACTCTGAACGTGCGATGATGATTCTAAATGTGGAGGGGAAAAGCCGGAGGGCCCGGAGTAAAAATCTACGCGACCACGAGGGGAGAACATGCAAACTCCAAATATACAGGCGTCAGGGTCAGGCTCGAACCCACAATCTCCTGTACACCAGGCGAGGTAGTTAACATCTCCTAGCCACTGTGGCGCCCCAGTTAGACAAGCCTACCCCCCTCGGGGCCCACTCATGTCCACCGCGGGATTTGCAAAATCCCACAAACTGGCTTACCACACGAAAACGATCTGAAACATTCGTCGCGTGCACAGATTTCATTCACTCTCACGCACACGGAGAGAGGCGAGAGAGAGAATGATCAATACTGCTTCGGAAGCTTTCTCTTTTGCGTCACAGGTCACAATGCAGGCGAAAAACATAGAAGAAGCGCGACATATCTACGATCAGCTGGCTCTTCTGTGTCCCATCATGGTGAGTGAGTGTCAGTGAGTACAGCTGCCTGCTCTGTCCCATCGTGGTTAGTGCCAGTGAGTATAGCTGGCTGCTCTTTGTCCCATCATGGTGAGTGAGTGTCAGTGAGTACAGCTGGCTGCTCTCTGTCCCATCGTGGTGAGTGAGTGTCAGTGAGTACAGCTGGTTGCTCTGTCCCATCGTGGTTAGTGCCAGTGAGTACAGCTGGCTGTTGTCTGTCCCATCATGGTGAGTGAGTGTCAGTGAGTACAGCTGCCTGCTCTGTCCCATCGTGGTTAGTGCCAGTGAGTATAGCTGGCTGCTCTCTGTCCCATCATGGTGAGTGAGTGTCAGTGAGTACAGCTGGCTGCTCTCTGTCCCATCGTGGTGAGTGAGTGTCAGTGAGTACAGCTGGTTGCTCTGTCCCATCGTGGTTAGTGCCAGTGAGTACAGCTGGCTGTTCTCTGTCCCATCATGGTGAGTGAGTGTCAGTGAGTACAGCTGGCTGCTCTGTCCCATCGTGGTTAGTACAGCTGGCTCCCTCCATCATCGGCGAGTACCATCTGAGTGCGTGCGCTCGCCCCTCCTGCAGATGGCCCTCAGCGCCGCCGCCCCCTTCTACCGGGGGCTCGTGTCGGACGTGGACTGCCGCTGGAGCATCAACTCCGTCGCATGCGACGACCGCACGCGACAGGAGAGAGGGCTCGAGGTGACGATTATAATCCTTTTTTTTACTCCGCCAAATGCATTCTCTCCCCCCTCTGATCACTCTCTCTGTGTTCACGATGGATATTCCGACACCCCCCCCCCCACCCCCGTTTAAGAGAGCGGCTCCCACGAAAGCGAATATCACAGAACTATCGCTGAGATCCCCACTTCAAAGTGCCATCTGGTCCAGCGCTCTTTCACTTGTGCGTTGCACGGCAGCCAAACCGGTATTTTCATTTTATTTTCGGAGCTGTAATTCTGCCAAAACCAATTAAAAATGTTCTTTCTATTTATTTTTATTGAGGCAATGTGCAGACCCAACACATTACGTTGTGACGCACGTGTACACATACCATCAGCATACGCCAAGGGAGAGAGGGATATAACCGAAACACAGCTGACATAAAGAAAAGAAAAACATAGAAGGCGGCCTCAATGAGAATTTTGTATTTCCACTCCTTCGATTCCGGCTCCCGTCTAATCTGCGGTGGTTATACTCCTTATCCTCAGCCGTGGTGACCTCTTGAACTTTGCAACGATCTTTCAGGCTGCACGACATCTATGGAGCCGCATATTGCAATGGGAGTTTAAGTTCTGTCACTGAAAATCTTCCTGGTTGCTGGTGACTGGAGTAGGGGGCACGTGACGAGCCACAGCCGTAGTGATGAGAGATATCCTGGATATTTCTTTCATTTTTGGGTGAATTTGTAAACAATAGCCATATAAGACATTATTATATCTAATCAGCATATTCATTGGTTCACTGCAGCTAAAAGACTCAGTCTTACAAGGTGTGTGGTGAAGTTAGGAGATGGACCATATACGCTCGGCATTTGGAGGCCGAGAAGACCAGAATCAGTGATTTTCGCCGATGTGTTCAGGGCAGGCAGTTTTATAACCGGACAGCAGAGTGAAGCAGAGCTTCTGTCCAAGGAGCAATGTTCTGGAAACCTGGGGGGAGGCAAGGGATTGCCGGGATCAGAAACATCTTCTGGATCGACAACCTAGACAGGCCCCCTGGCTGAATTCAAGCCCTGACTTGCCAGTGCTTCCTGTTTCGCGTCTGTTAATGGATCACTTTGACAACGCTTGAAATCTCGTGACCTCGTGACATTTCGCGGACAAACGGTGCTTGCCGGTCACTCGAGTCGGTGACCTGCGATCGTGGGCGTCGCTGCTAAACACCGCGTCGCAGTTAACTCTCCAGGGGGAGTGCGTACGTGCTCGCGAAAATCCGTGACTACATTTGAAATAATAATATATATAATTAAGCATTGTTTCCTAGGCACCGGGTTTATCGCCATTTGTTTTTTGTTTCCTAGGCACCGGGTTTATCGCCATTTGTTTTTTGCAGCCTTCGGTTGTCGTGGCCATGAGGGGCCGTCCATAAATGACGTCACGCACCTAGGGGGGGGGGGGGGGTCAGAAATGTGTGACGATGTGTGACAAGGGAGGGGGGTTTGAGAAATGTGACGTCACATCAAAATGCGCAACTTTAAATAAATATAGACGACACGTTCTACTTAATTAAATAGACTTTTTAATAAATGTTTTCTCCTACAACATCAGAGTGCAGCGGCACATTAAATACGCGCTACAATGACAATAGTTTAAAGCGAATTGAAGCATGTTTTATTTTTGGGGGGGCGGGCAGAGCTTTGTGACGTCAAATTTGAGGGGGGGGGGTCTGACTTTTTGTGACGCCGTGTGACGATGGGGGGGGGGGGGGGGTCAAAAATCGTCCAAAATCGCGTGACGTCATTTATGGACGGCCCCTGAGGCGTGAGCATTGAGCTGGCGCCGCTGATAATCTTCACAATCAAAGTGACAATCGGCGCATCTCCCCCTTGCAGCCCCTGACGACGTGCAAGTGGCGAATCCCCAAGTTGCGGTTCGACTCCATCGAGAGCTTCCTGTCGCCCGGCGGAGCGAAGTTCAATGACTTGGAGCTGCCCAAGGACGAGGACGTCTACCTGCAGCTCCTGGACGCAGGCACGGAAGTTCTCCACCACCACGCTCACCTCCACCACCACGCTCACCTCCACCACCACGCTCACCTCCACCACCACGCTCACCTCCACCACCACGCTCGCCTCCACCACCACGCTCTACCTCCACCACCACGCTCACCTCCACCACCACGCTCACCTCCACCACCACCACGCTCACCTCCACCACCACCACGCTCACCTCCACCACCACGCTCGCCTCCACCACCACGCTCTACCTCCACCACCACGCTCACCTCCACCACCACGCTCACCTCCACCACCACCACGCTCACCTCCACCACCACCACGCTCACCTCCACCACCACGCTCACCTCCACCACCACGCTCACCTCCACCACCACGCTTTACCTCCACCACCACGCTCACCTCCACCACCACGCTCACCTCCACCACCATGCTCACCTCCACCACCACCACGCTCACCTCCACCACCACCACGCTCACCTCCACCACCACCACGCTCACCTCCACCACCACGCTCACCTCCCCTGCTTTACTCACCTCCCCTACCGTACTGGCCACTCACCTCCCCTTCCGCGCTCACCTCCCCCTCCCCTCTCACCTTCCCCTCCGCACTCACCTCCCCCTCCGTGCTCACCTCTCCTCTCCTTCATTCTCACCGACCGTGAATTGGGGTTATGGATTAATCGCACTTGCTGTGAAACACCGAAGGTTTTTTTGACCTGCCGTGCCGGTTCTACTATCAGCTGCTCCTCACTGGTCGAGGACACGTAACTCGGTGCTGCGTGACCACAGGCATGCGGGCGAGGGGACCCTGATACGTCACGTCGATTGTGATGGGGCTGAGTAGGCCTCGTCAATGTAAGGTAAAAGGTAAAAGCAACGAGCCTACCTTTTACCCTTACCCCATACAAATGACCCGATTACAGGGTAATTACTGGGGGACTGCACATGAACAAGGTGTATAACGGTAAATGCTAGGTAGAGCGCTTTATTCATATAGAATACTCTCGTAGATTCCAATTTTACACGCTTGTTGTTGTTGTTGTCGTTGTTGTATTCTCAAATCTTGTAACTCAATTTTAACCCACTTCCCAATATGATATCGACTGAAAACTTTGTATACTTTTGTCATACTGATGACAATAATATATTCTATCATAAAAATTTTAAATATATTCTTTTAAACATTATTTTTTATATGTTATGTTTCGGCTTGGGTCTAATTGTCCACGGTCAACTGACGTTGGCTGTAAATCACCACGGTCCCTTACGTTATGGCAAGCTTCGGGGCCACTTCCTGGAGTCGTGGAGTTCTGCCATTACTAGTACATTACATAAAAGCGTGTTTAAAAAAAAGTTTTTTTTAATATTATTTATTAAATGGAAACCACGGACTGCGCCACGGAGCTTTTAGCGGTAAACAAGGTACCGTATTTACCGGGTAATACTTCGCACTACCTTTGGCATGTCGACACCTTTACCTTTACCCTTTTACCCGGTAAAAAGGGTAAATTTCCTTACCTTGCCGAGGCCTAGGGCTGAGTGCGTCACCTGGCTGGTGTCCCTTGCAGGCCCCCACTTCCCCATCCCCTCCAGCTCTCCCCTCTTCGCTTTTTAAACTGGTTCAGGCCATAATAGAGGGCGTTTATTGGATATACAGCCAATTGGTAAGGGTTGTCACTTAAACAAAACGTACCAATTCGTTACTCGTTCAGCACACCGGTTGTGTGTTGGAGAGTAAACCCCACAAGATTTACAATTCTCGTACTGTGACATTTCGTTGCTAATTCCAGGAGGAGTTAAGACCGAAACAGGAGGAATTCTCCACATTTCTGGCTATCGCCTGATGAAGCTGGTTGTAATTGTTTTATTTTTTGATTCGTCAATGCAAAGTGTTTTTATTCTTATTCGAGTGACATGCAACGTGCGTGTGCGTGAACTGTGTGTGCACGTGGAGAAGCGGTCGTGTAGCAGTTGGCGTGCTGCTCTACGAAACTAGCGACCAGTGATGATTATCTGAACCGGTCGTGGGCCTCCCCTAGGTCGACTCAGCCTCAAATGAGTACCCGGTGCGGTGTGTAAACATCGCTACTGGGGACGTGGTGCTGGCCACCCACATCCCTCGTGTACCGTTCCGGATGTCATTTGTGCTCTCTTAACAGCGCTTGCTCCCAGCAGCGTCTGTTCAAGGCCACACGGGGGGCGGGGGGGGGGGAGATTTTTGTATTTTTGCATGTGCCGTGCCTCTGGCCTGCAGGCATCGATCCGCTGCTCGCTCGGCACTTTGCTCACCTCTTCCTCCGCGACCCCCTCGTGATACTCTGGGAGAAGATCTACGCCGACGACGATGAGAACGAGGACTACCACTTTGAAGTGAGACATCCACACACCATTGCCAATGTACTTTATAAATATTAATATTATTTCGCTTGTTTACCCATAAAAGCCTCGCCTGGTCCCAAGAAGATTTTTCAGGAGGGTGCCGCCAATTTTCGCATATGGTGGGGGTTGCGATATTGCTGCAGCTGCTTCTGTTTGATGCTAATTTGAGTAATTTGCAGGTAATTTTTCAGCATTGGGATGTTGTTTGGCCAATGGCGTTTTTAGCTGCGGAATGAAACTGGAGAACCCGTAGGAGACCCGTAGAGAACAGGGGGCAAAAGCACACACAAAGTCTTCCACGCAGAAAGGTGCCCGAGTCAGGAATCTAACCCAGGCCTCTTCCTACTGTGATATACAAGTGTAATGCGAGCGTAAGCGAGGTTTCGCCGCTCAGCTCTGGGCCAATCGGACGGCCCGGAGTACTGGGGGCGGGGCCCAGTAAGGTGGGCGTATGGGAAGGTCTGCCGCCCACCTCCAGTCCAATCGGATGCCCGGATGATCAGGGGCGGAGCCTAGGGGCGGAGCCGGGGGGGGGGCGCTAAGTGAAGGGCGTGATCTGGAAGGTTCGGAAAGGGCGTGGTGGAAGGTGGAGACGGGATGACGTGGGAGGGGAATATAAGGGGGATCCGGAAGAGGCTCGGGGCAGTTGGGATAGCGGTGTGCGGTAGTGCTACTGACGGAAAGAGCGTGCAGGGCGCGCCAGTGGAACAGCCGGTCCACAGTCGGGACCGGCGGGGTGTGAGCGGCATAATAAGAATAAAGACAGAGATGGAGACCAAGCTGTGTGTCGTCATAGTCCTTTATTACACAAGTGCGTTACTACCGATCTGCCCTGCCGACCCCCGAATTCCCCATTCGCGGTGTCCGTAGCTACCAGTCGCGTGCCAGCCTAACCGGCGACCCCGTAAAAATATTCCGTGAGAAGTGAAAGCCAGACTGGAGCACAGCCTGCGAGAGATCTGGCGCGTGTCTTCCGTGATCGTGGCCGCTGACCGGAGCGCCTGTCCCGTGCATGTGCATGCGTGCGTGCGTCCGTGTGCGTGTGCGTTACAGTGCATCCAGGCCACAAACTGGAAGACATTGCGCTTAAAGCCTCCACCGCCGAACACCAACATCGGGTGGCGCGTCGAGTTCCGGCCGATGGACGTAAGTCTCTCCGAGAGGGCGACGCGGATTATACGCTGAGGTGGAGTCATACCGAGATGCCTCTGAGCTTGGGAAAGGAGGTGATGATGGGAGGAGGGAATTTCAAAGTGGAGCAGTGCGTGGGAAGGAGCAAAACGAGAAGCGTTGTGACCCCGCAGTGTGGTGAGTGAGTGGGTGAGTAAGTGAGTGGGTGATTGAGTGTTGTTGTTGTCACATGCAGTGTGGTGAGTGAGTGGGCGATTGCGTGGGTGGGCCAGTGTTGTTGTTGTCACATGCAGTGTGGTGAGTGGGTGAATAAGTGAGTGGATGAGTGAATGGGCGATTGAGTGGGTGGGCGAGTGTTGTTGTTGTTGTCACATGCAGTGTGGTGAGTGAGTGGATGAGCGTGTGAGTGAGTGGACGACTGAGTGAGTATGCTGTGACATGCAATCGTGGTGGTTGAGCAGAGTGCGGGTGAGATGAAGCAGCCAGACCGAGTGCCCAGCGTGTGGTGTAGGTGCAGCTCACAGACTTTGAGAACGCGGCCTACGTGGTGTTCGTGGTGCTGCTCACGCGCGTCATCGTCTCCTATGGCCTCAACTTCCTCGTGCCGCTCTCCAAGGTAAGGAGCCACGTCCCTTCCCACCGGCCGCGCGAGCGCCGCCGGGAGGTCCGTCCTGGTCGCATTGCAACCCGGCCGCTTGTATATAGGCTGGCGCAAGTGGTAGCGCTTGTGCCTAGGAGTAAGAATGTCCTGGATTCGATTCCCGACTCGGGCACGTGTGATCGCTGCCGCGAGGCTCGATCTGGTCGCATTGCAACTCGGCCGCATATGTATAAATGGTAGCGCAGTGGTAGCGCTGGAGACATCGTTTCTTTCACGGATCCACACATTTTTTAACTGAACGGCGGAAACAGGAAGAGGAAAATCTTGATTTGAAGCTTTCGTGACTGCAGGAATCCATATTCGTTAGTTATCTCGCGGCAACGTGACTTTACCGAAAGAACCGAAGAGTAGGGAGAGGAAAAGCGAGAACGGTGGAAACAGCACGACGCTGCAGCCAGACTTCTTAACCCGGTTCCACCCAGCCACTCTTGCCGGACACGTGCCCGAGCTGCGGGAGAATCTGTCAATCATCTGTCAATCCCACATCCGTCTCTTCAGTCATCTTGGGGCCCACAGAGAATCAGACTTTTCTATGGAAGACAATTATCCTCGATTGCGACGGATAGCCTATGATTATGGTAGAGGTTGTGCCTCGGAGTAAGAATGCCCTGGGTTTTATTCCAGACTTGGGTACCTTCATCAGTGGATTCTGTTCTGCATGGGTTTCCTAAACGGGTTCTCTGGTTTCCTCCCATAGCTAAAACAAACAGACCTCCACACACAATGTAACTTGTACGGTAGTCCATCGGTTAACAGTGATACCTAGTTAACGGTTTTTGCGGTGAACGTTTCACCTCCCATAAGGACCCCATTGTTTCAACTCACGTTAACATTGTGACTAACGGTACGTTTGCATTACGCACACCGCTCCCCACAAAGATCCCCCCTATAGCCTTAACAGACTGTAGGGGCAAGTGCTGTTAGCGAGCACCTATGAAGGCCATAACGGTACACGAGGGGGTGGGTGGCCAGCACCACGCCCGACCGCCTTTGTCTCCCTAGTCGCAATGTTTACACACCACACCAGGTACTCACTTGAGGCTGAGTCGACCTAGGGGAGGCCCGGGACCGGTTCGGATAATCGTCACCGGTGTTGTCCGTGAGCGGGAATCGAACCCGTGTCGCCGGGTTCATAGCGCAGTGCGCTAACCGCTACACTACCGCTCCCCACACGCACACGCACACACACGCGCACACACACGCGCACACACGCGCACACACGCGCACACACGCGCGCACCTTCATGAAACTCCCGGTGCCGCTCGCGCTGCAAGGTTGCCATCTCCTGGCTTTACCCAGGGTATGTCAGTGCAGCAAGTGAATTCATTACTATATGTATTCCATCTGTAACCTCCCCCCCTCTCCCCCCCGTTCGCACACGGTGGGTTTTCTCCGGGTGTTCTGCTTTCCTCCCACGTGTAGAAACACACGTTCATAGAGTTGGCCTAAGCATCCTAATACGGGAACTCCTCTTGCGAACGAAGTTTAGGTTCCAGAAGTCTGTTCGTAAATCGATTTGTTCGTAAGTCCAACTTTACTCCCATCGATTCCAAATCCGTTATACGGCGTGTACACTAAATACGGGGAATGGCTTCAAAAGTTGAATAATCTTCTGTAGCTGTAGATGCCACTGTGTTCTTCATGCTCTGCAGATGTAGATGCCACTGGTTCTGCAGATGCAGATGCCACTGATTCTTCATGTTCTGTAGATGTAGATGCCACCACTGCCATCTCTTGCACAGCGGTTGAGCTTACGACTGTTCGGTGCGTTTGTATCTCTGAAAGTTCGTAAGTCGAATGTTCGTAAGTAGAGAAGTCCCTATATTGGACCTCAGAGCTTGGGCAATTTTTAGCACCGGGCTCTGGTTCCATCGCCCCTGAATGTTATGAGAACTGTGCAGCGCGTTACAAATGTGTGCGATTTTTTGTTACTTTGCTACTTTTGTATTGCCTCTCTCAAGCATCTTTGGCGCAAAAGGTTGCCACCTGAATGTTCGGCATGTGCCTGACCGCCAATTCTCTTCCACCGCAGATAGATCAGAACATCAGGAAGGCGCAGAAGAGGAACGCGGTGCTGGATGAGATGTTTTATTTCAGGAAGGACATTCAGGCAGGCAAGTCGAGCCATTACAAATCATACGTTGTCTTTTTTTTTCTCACAACTTTACCCTGATTGAGCTCTCGGTGTCGAGTCACGAGATGAAGAATCCATTCAGAAATCTCACGTGGCAGTGACCACCCCCCCCAATCCCCGTGTTAGAGAACAGCCCACAGAAGTTAATATCCCGGAACTATTTTTGAGATCCCTTCTGCATATGACCTCCGGGTCATAAGGTAGGGAGGGGGCAGCACTCGCTCCGCTGCCGACAGAAATGTTTGTCACATGGCAGTCAAAGTGATATTTTACTGGTAGGAACCTCCTGGTTACACCAGCCCACAGGGGATTATTGTGTCCGTCCATCGTGCATCCAAAAATGGGGGGGGGTTGGGTGGAGATGGGAGGGTGGGGAGGGGCTGGGTGAGGAGGGGCTGGTCACCCCGTAGTGCCCTTATAAAACTCAACGTTTAACCTACTCACGCCGGCTTGTGTCCGCCCTCACAGTCGGCCATATTTGCGGAATACACCACGCCGCCGTTGACCCTGGCCATTGACCGAGCAACCCAACGTTCCTACCAGCTCCCTCCGCAGGAATGTGTTAAGTCTCACAACTGGAATTTGGCGAAGTTAAGTGCAGAACCAAATTTTACGTCATGGATTTAGTCATTTTTGAGCAATCATTGTTGACCGGGCTGAGATTATCAACTCACCGCACTTGAGAACCCGGTTTGATCACAGGCGGCCACTGAACCCCGGATTGGGACCCAGGGTCTCAGCAGTGCCGGCTCAGCCACTCTGACCTCCGGGCCACCGATCCGGGCCTCCTGACAACCCGAGCCTTCACCCGACCCTGCCCTGCGTGTTTGTGCGCGTCACACGCACCATCAAACTGCCGTGTGCCGTTTCTTTTTTTTGCGACCAGAGATGGACGCTCCCCCAGCGGACGGCACCGAGTCCGAGGTGGGGATCCTCATGAGCATTGACACCATCATCAACGGCAAGGTGGGCAACCCGGCGGGGCAGTGCGCACGACCATCCTCGCAGTGTCAGGCCCCGCGGACTCTTGCAGCATCGCGCTCACCCTGTGCCGTCCACCGCCGTGGCGGTCCAGAACGCCGCAACAAATCGCCGCGTTTCAACGTCTCGCTGCCGCCGTTTTGTGCGATGGTGTAGTGGTCGGCGAAATCTGAACCAGTTCTGGAGACTCCGCCACGCTCCCAACGTGCCCATAAAAAAAACCCCACGCTGGCATATGTGACGTATGGTAAAAGCCCCCATGACTGTGTGGGGAGGCCATCATCAAGCGGTGGATTGACGGTTGTCAATTATGATTAGAGCTCATCGTCCCCCAGTGATCACGTGAGCTGCCTTCAAGCGTTCAGCTCCACTCAGAGCAGTCACTCGCGCTTCCCGTACAGCAGACCGGCTCGCCACTTCCCAGTCGTGGATCCATCCCACATATCATCATCAGCCATGATCAATCCACTGCTGGATGCAGGCCTCCCCCACGGCATTGCCATCTGTCGCCATCCTGTGATGCAACAAAACGACGTGACAAGCCTGGTGAGAGTAACACTATTAAACTGAAGGCTGTAGCTGACACTGCTGCTATGGTGTGGTGTGGTGCGGTGTGATCAGTTGTCATGTGGTGTGCTGTGCTGTGCTGTGGTGTTTACGGTGTGCTGTGGTGTGCTGTGCAAGCACAGGTCGGGGTGTTCCAGGGCCTCGTCCCCATAGTCTACAGCTTCCTGGAGGACATGGAGGTCGACGTGGAGACTCAGGTGCACGATCTCCCACTACTTGGAGCTCATCAGCAAGCGCGCGTCCGGTGAGTGCACTCCGGGGGAGCACCGCCCCTTTTCCAAGTGCAAGCGACGATGAGTCCTGACCTCGTGCAAACCTCATCGTCGGTGCCCGACATACGATTTCGGTGTTGGAATGGCAGCCATAAGCGGGGAAGCAACCGAAGGGGTGATGACCGCGGATTGTTGATGGCCTGGAGCGTAGAAGCGGGAGCGTAGTACAGTACAATTGAATCTGGGTACACTGCCCTCTGCTGCCGACGACGTAGCACCGCAGCAGCCTGTAACACCTCGGCGTGCGCGGCGGTCTAACATCCAGGCGCTCTCCGGGCTCATAAATCCTGCTCGGGTTGCGCGGTGCGACGAGCCCGGGCGCTTTACGCGCGCGAGAGTCTTCGCGCATCGCTACGCGCATGGGAGCCGTCGTCGTCGTCGTCGTCTCCGCCTCCTTTGCCACCGCCGACGCCGTGGTGACCGCGCGCGCGTCTCGTTGGTTTCCCCCAGGGGAGCTGGGGACGACGGCCCAGCGGCTGCGCGCCTTCGTGAGCGGCCACCCCGACTACGCGCACGACAGCGTCATCTCGGAGCGCGTCAACTATGACCTGCTGCTGCGCTGCGACGCCCTGGCGCGGGCGCGGCCCCACGGCCACGGCACGGACCCCTTGCACGAGCTCAGCCACGGTGCTTGCCAGACCGGCTAGCTTACCTCGCTCACCACGCTCACATCGCACGCCACGCTCAGCGCACTCACCACGCTCACCTCATTCGCCACGCTTACCTCGCTCAACGTACTCACCTTGGTCACCACGCTCACTATGCTCACCTCGCTCGCCACAATCACCTCACTCGCCGCACTCACCACGCTCACCGCACTCACCACGCTCACAATGCTTACCACGCTCACCTTGCTCCCTGCACTCACCTCGCTCCTTGCGCTCACCACGCTCACCACACTCTGATAAACCCACAGGCCCCAGGACAGCAGGGACCCTGTGGCATGTGGGCCAGACGGGGGCCATGCTTTGTTTTTGCGTGGCCCGTCACTTCACTTCATATCAATTAATTGTTTTACGGGGCGCTTCACGTCACATAATTGTGCAGACGTACTCTTTGGAGGCAACACATTCATTGATACCAACACAAAGGGGTAACTGCCCCTTCACCAGATAACAACCAATGGTGGTGGACCACCAGGCTAACTGCACTAATCACACTGGAGTAGCTACAACTGACAGGACCCCAGTTTGGGTCCAGGTCCACGTGTTGGTGACTGTAGAAAAGGCATGTCCAAAGTCCGGCCCGCGGTCAGATTTCATACGGTCCGCAGCTTCGGTCTTATAATGTGTTATTTATGGCTCGCTATCTCTGTCAGAATAAATAAATCATAAAACTTCCTCCTTCCGCCACACGGTGGCAGCACAATTCTAATGCCCTCTGGCTCTGCATCCGTGCCGCGAACCCTTCTCGAGTCATTTCTGCCATGGCGACTGCAAATAAAAGAGAAAAGTTGACAGTGAGGGCCGCCGCTTTCAGGCGCGGTGGGAATTACAATACTTCTTCACTGGAAATCGAGGCAATTGTGTTTGTCTAATTTGTAAAGAGACGGATGCCTTGTTTAAGGATTTCAACATAAAGAGACACTACAAAACTTAACATGCTACAACATATGACAAGCTAACAGGGAGTGACCGCGCTGAAAAAGTGAAGCAACTCCGTGCTGCTCTGGCATCGCAACGGCGATTCTTCACGCGGGCCTGTGAGTCAAAGGAAAACTTCACCAAAGCCAGCTACGAAGTGGCTGTGGAGGCTGCTCGCTTCTGTCTCCATCGTCCCCTCCGTATCATTACCCCCTTGCTGTCTGGTGGGGTCCGGACTTTCGTCCCCCATCTGCTCCCTATCCTGTACCCCCGTGAGTGCTGCGGATCGTGTGTGCATGCTCTCCCTGCGCTGATGTTGGTCGCGGAGCGCAAGTTGCCGCCGCCGTGCGCGCGAGATAGACAGCACGACAATGCGCAGCCGATTACGCGCTCGAGCCGCGGGGTTGGGGGTCAGGGGCCCACCACCGCGCCGCACTTACGCAAGTAACGAGCACACACACGATCGCACAAAGCTAACAGCTTCAATGCGCATAGCGGTTTCGCACACGCGAGCGGGGCACACGCCGACACAACGACTCGTCCCCTCCCGCACTCGCACGTGTACGTCAACACAAGTATCGTACAAGGACGATTCTCCTCTCACACGGCTGCGTAGGCACGCAAACACACAAAAGCGCTCTCCCTCCTCCTCTTCTCGCTCCCCCCGGCCGTGCGATCACAGCGCGCTCCGGCGCCGCGGCTCGCGGGTTCACCGTGTGCGGCTTGCGGGTTTTACCGAGCGCGGCGTGCACACACGCGAGCGACGCCCACGCTCGAGCGAGAGCACGTAAAACCCCCCTCTTGCGCGGCCGCGCGTTTATACAAATACACTGTGCGCTCCCCGGGCGTCAACACACACACCTCCGTACCCGCACAATCGTACAGAGACCACGGCCTTTACGCATACAACGACCACACACCCGCGAATGCAGCGCACGCTAATACCACGTGCAAAAATACCCAACAACACGGTTTTATTACTACGCTCGAGATTTTATTAGCCCTTGTTAACCAACCGAGCCACCCGTGTGTGTGTGCGGGCCAGCAAGGCGCTTCTAACCCACACTCTGGTGGCGTGCAGCCCTATTCTATGCTGCGCTCTCTGTTAAACTGCTTTCCTCTCGTCCTTACCCCGAACTAACCCTTCTCCTACGATCCTACTCTCCGCTCTGAGGTGTTGTAAGGCGCGTAATACGATACCGTTTGTAGTCCTTGGTGGCCTTGCGGCGCTCAGATCGTCCTGCAGACAATCTAGCGGTTCGCCCGATGACTCCTTCATCGCTGACTCCGTGTCAAAACTCCAGAAGAAGAGAGCCTCCCCTACTCTGCCCTCCGTCCTTTATCCTATTCACATCAAAGGCTAGGCGCCCCCGTCCCAACCGCCTTGGTCTCTCGACCAATCCTGAGCCTAGGATTTCCCGCCCTTTTGCGATCCCGCCGGCTTTTGACCTTTCGACCAATCAGTAGCCCCGGGTCCGTCGCTCTCCGCCAACGCTGCTCTTTTTTTTTTTGGTCCTGATCCCAGCTATTCGCCTTGCTGACCCGTGTTTGTGTTTGTATGCGTTTCTAACTGCGGGGCTCTCTGAGCTCGCCGTGGTCGTGCGATCTCAAATCCGCCCACGGCGCCGCAGTGTTACTTGGCCTGGGAAGGGTCCTGTCAAATTCCCTGGCCCTGAGAAACCGTGGGGTAACCCCCCGAGGGGGCCCTCGGGTGAAAACTCAGGGTAGGTGACCCGACCACGAGGCCCTACGTGGGTGCGGGTGCGTGCTTATGTGGGGGGGGGGGGGGGGGGGATGGGGGGAAGTGCGGTGGGGGAAGCCGGGCGGCTCCCTGGCTCGGCAGAGCGGCCCCGTCGCTGTGGCACCACATGGCCATCTTAATAGCTAAACATGGAAAACCTTTTACTGAAGGTGCATTTATCAAAGACTGTGTCATGAAAATGGTGGAGAACATTTTCCCCGAGAAGAAGCAAGAATTTATGAATGTTTGCCTGGCATGCAACACTGTGGCACGGAGAGTTGAGGACATATCGTCAGATATTCAGAGACAACTGGGGGACAGGGGAGTGGCTTTTGATTATTTTTCATCAGCCTGCGATGAAAGCACCGATGCATCTGACACTGCACAACTACTTATTTTTTTTAAGAGGAGTTGATAACAACATGAACGTGACAGAGGAGCTGCTTGACCTCAAAAGCCTTAATGGGTAAACCAGAGGAACAGATTTTTTTCGTTTCTGTTTGTGAAGCTGTTGATATGAAACTACCATGGAGTAAAGTTTCTGGGATCATTACCGATGGTGGCATGGTGCACCTCCAATGGCTGGTGAGCGAAGTGGATTGTCCACACTGATCTGCAATAAAGTCAGCGAAGAAGCAGGCAACGCTATTAAACTTCACTGTATCATTCACCAGCAGGCTCTCTGCGCCAAACATCTCAAATTTGACGATGTTATGAAACCAGTGGCAAAGGCAATCAATTATATTCGCTCTAAAGCTCTATACCACTGACAGTTTCAGCAGTTATTGCGTGACATCCAGGCTGAATATGGTGACGTAATATATCACAACGATGTGAGGTGGCTAAGTCGGGGGTCTGCACTGCAGCGATTTTTCTCTCTCAAAGAGGAAATTGGACATTTTTTGGGTGAGAAGGGACAACCAATGGAAGAACTGTCCGATCCTGTATTGTTGGCAAATCTGGCTTTTTTGGTTGACATAACGAAGGATCTGAATGCGCTGAATGTTAATCTTCAAGGAAAAGATGCAGTGGTGAGCCAGCTATATGCTCACATCAAGGCCGTGGACCCTGATGATGCTCCTCCACAGCTGCAGCTGGAGCTCATTGAGCTGCAGTGTGACGATGAGTGCCGCGGAAAACACCAGCAGTGTTATCTTGTTGACTTTTACCGGCAGCTGGACAAAAGCAGGTTTTCAGAAATGCGGTCATTCGCTAAGAAAATGCTGAGCTTATTCGGCTCCACATATTTGTGTGAGCAAACATTCTCAGTCATGAACTTAAACAAGAACCGATTGAGGTCAAGGATGAGTGACTCCCACTTGCGTGGCATTTTACGCATCTCAACAACTGCCCTCAAGCCAGACCTGGTCTCTTTACTGAAATCTATATCCCCTCTGGGGGACCCGGCTTATGTCCTCCGCGGCGTGGCTGGCCCCGCCCTTAGCCACGCCCACCTTCGAGAACCCTCGAGCAGGATCTCGGCCATGACACGTGACCACCCCTAGTCCCCACCTGGGGGCCCTGTGTAGACTTTGCCCGTTACGTGGCCTCTAGGGTCAACCAGAGTGCCATGGCCCTTAGTAACTCCATTCCCGTGGCCGGCACTCTCACACCCTATCCTGTAGGGGTCGGCACTGCATGCAGAGCGTGGTGCCATCCTGCGCTGTCAGTCAGCGCTCACCGAGCCCCTCTAGGGCCGGCACTGTACCCACATCCACGTGATGCACGTGATGTCACAACTTCGCACGCCGTGCCTATCGAGAGCCGGCATTACACAGTGACATCCGCGATGTTACTACAATTGGATAAAAAAAACGAAGACAAAGCTTTTGTAGAAGTCGTGGTGGTCTGTGGGTTTCAGGTGAGGTCAGCAGGGAACCGCGTGTGAATTGTCCACCGCAGACTAACAAAATATCTAGGTGGACCAAAGTGACCCCGTGTACAGATTTAACGCGTGTAGGCTTTCACGACCCGATGCAATTCGAAATCGCTTTTTGGTCAGATGGCTACGAGTAGAATGTGTCGTTCCACCCTCCTCCACCCGTCACGGCAAATTCATAAAATAAAACTCTTAGAAAATATTTCTGTGCGTTCCTGTTGTGACGCTAAGTGTGTGCTGTAGGGATTGGTGAGTGGTCACTGTTCCTGTGAACTTCACCCATGTTGAGGATCGGCCCACTAAGACTGTCCACACGGCGTTCAACCACGACAAAGACAAATATCCCCCGTGTAGCCTTAACAGACTGTTGGGGCAAGTGGTGTTAGTGAGCACCAATGAAGGCCGACACGGCACACGAGGGGGTGGGTGACAAACACCACACCCGGCCGCCTTTGTCTCCCTAGTGGCGATGTTTCCACACCGCACCAGGTACTCATTTGAGGCTGAGTCGACCTAGGGCAGGCCCAGGACCGGTCCAGATCATCGTCACTGGTGTTGGGGGCCGTGAGCGGGAACCGAACTCGGGTCGCTGGGTTCGTAGTGCAGCACGCTAACCACTACACTTCAGCTCCCCACAACGACACTCACTCAACTCGCCCACAACGCAGCTCGCAACAATAACAGCAGGCTCCATTTGCCACTCGAGTAGTGGTCACCACAGCGCTTGTGCCAGGCTAGGTGCACTTTGAGGCCACGTAAAGTGTCAGAGGCTTGCTCTTTGGATGTCATGGGACAGATCCCAGGTGCTATGGATTAGCTGGGAAGTGCACCACCTGTGCTCCCTACTTTGCAGACTTTGCTGCGTTTTATCCGTCCGGCACTCCACTCGTTGTTGTGAGCGTTGTTGTTGGAGGGCGACTGCCTCCAACTGCCCAGTAGCGTCCTTCATGAGCCTCCTCCACAGAAGCCGATCTTGACACCGCTTGTGTTCGGCAACTCAAATCAGCTCCACATCCTCATGTACCGCATAAGCCCACCACTTCTCTCGCCCGTGCTGTGTCTGTTTAGCCCCCCTCTAATCCGGCCGAACAAAAGCTGTTTGGACATGCGGTGGCTGGGCATGCAGGCTACGTGACC